AGGTCCTAATTTGATCTGTAGCACTTAAAAAAAAATAGTTGAGGGCTTGCTGGGCATTAGGTGTGTGCCTGGAGTCCCAGTTACTCTTCAGTCCAAGAGTTCAAGGACATCCTGGGCAACATAGTGACATTCCACTTCATTAAAAAAGAAAACCAAAGCAAAAACATTGAGGGTTTAAGAAATCATGCAATGAACATATTAAACCATTATGTTCTCTGAGACTTGGGCTACAATCAGTACAGGACAGAGAGATGAAGATCCCTATTCATTTCCCTGAGGAGCACATAAGATAAGAACCACCCACAACCCTCCACAGGAGACAGTGACAAAGTGCTGAGGGACTGGAGACAGGCAGTATGGATGGCTTTGCGGGCCCTGGGTTGGCTTTTGTCATGCCTTCATCCTTTATTCAATGGCACTGAATCCCAGAGAACCCAACCTGTCCTCTCTCTTTCTGTTACCTTCTCATCCCTTGGCAGGATGGATCACCCTACCTGGCTTTAAACCTGAGAAGGTTGAGTACAAAGTCCAGAAACTGGAAATAAAATTGGATCTCCCCAATCTCCCTTATTTCCTTTTGTCACCTTTTTCTCTGGGAATTTTCAACAGCAGTGTTTTTTGTTTGGTTGGTTTGTTGGGTTTTGGCAGTACTAGAGTTTGAACTCAGGGATAGGCTAGGCCTTTATCACTTGAGTCATGCTGCCAGCTCCAGTCGGGTCTCCTTATAGAAAGGGCAGGAGCAGAATAGATCTGGAGCAAAGTTTTAGACAGATGTCCATGAGACAGAACAGAAAAGGTGCATTTCATTCAGAAAGTTCTTAGTTTTTTTTGAGAGTTTCTGGCATGTAGTCCCGGGTTGGCCCTGAACTTGATTCTCTGACTGCTGATTATAGGCACCAGGGTTGTCTGCCTGCAGGAAGAGCTCACCCATGACCACATCACCAATATCAAAATCAACTCTTAATTCAACTGCATGCCTACTATGCTCAGACACTGCTCAGGAGCTGCCTGAAGTGACATCTCTGGCGTAGGGTCCCGGGATCAGAGCCATAGGAGTGTGTACTCCGAGGTCTACTGATTGCACCTTGGCGCCACCCCGAGAAACGGGTTGGGGTCTTGGCTGTGGCCCTAAACAGCCACGTCCCCTCCAGCCTGCTGCGTCATCTGAGATGGCAGGAAGCATCACAGCTAAACCGGGTAACGAATGAGGTAACGGTGCAAAAACATGAAAACACCATGAGGGTTTTTGTCTCTGAATGTCTCCGACTCGGGCTTGAATCCGTGTGGAGATCTGGAGGCGCGGCTCTGGCGAGCCTGTGTCCATTAAGGTCCAGACCCAGGCTGAACGAGGACAGGGTCCCAGGCACACCTGTCCTGCGTTCAGCACCGGCTTCCCGGCAGAGGCGTGGCCGGCGGAGCGCGCGCCCGGGTCAGTCCCGCGAGACTTCGCCGAGGATGGGCGCGCGGCGCTAGTTGCTAAGGGCGACGGCGCTGGGCTACGCAGGCGCAATGGCGGCGTGCCCAACCCGCCGCCACCGCCGCGCCTTCCCCTTTAAGCCCCAGTCGGCCGCGTCGCCGCTTCATGAATGGAGCCCACGTGACCAAACATCATGTGACGTCTGAGGAGCGGCGGCGGCGGCGGCGGCGGCGGCGGATCCCGAGCCCGGTCCGGCCCGGCCTTCCCAGCGCGCTTGGCCCGGCCCGCGCAGGCGGCCAGACCCCCCAGCCCCGGGCCCGGACCCTCGCGTCGCGCCGGCCCCAGCCCCCGCGGCCCGGAGCGCGTGCGGCCCCACCCCGGCCCCGCCTCGGCCCGCCCGGGCCCGCAGTGTGGTGAGTGCGCGGGGGCCGGGCGGGTGGCGGGCGCGGGGTTCCGGGCGGCGCGGGCAGCGCCACGGGGCCTGGCCGGGGGTTTGCCGTGCAGCCTGCGGGCGGGCCGTGCCTCGATTTCCCCGCTAGTTAGGAGCCAGCTTTTGGTGTCTGCCGTCCGGGTGCGGGTGGCACTGGCCGACGGCGAGGCCGGGCGCGGACGCGCGCCCGCGCGCGGCGGACCCCAGGCGCCCCGTGGGGGGCGGCGAGGAAAGGGCGGGGTCGTGCGGGGCGGCCACACGAGCTGCTGACTCATCAAGTTTCTGTCCGCGTCCCCTTGAGCGGGGGTCCCCACCGGCCTGCTAGGGTAGGGGCGGCGGCGGCGGGGAGACCCTTCTGTGCGGCTTGGGCTCGCCACGCGCGTGCAAGCCCAGTGGAGACGTGCTGAGTCATCAGCATGAGGTCACTGGGTGCTCCGGCTGCTGACGCTGGGCTGGGGCCGGGGGCCGCAGCCGAGGCCAGCGGGCCAGGCCGTAGCGGTGAGTGGGAGGGCAAAGGGGCTGGCGATAGGGTCGGGCCGGGGGCCGGGTCCCTGTTTGAGTTTGGCCGAGCTGCGAGTTGGAGGCATCGGCCTTGGAGGAGGTGGGGGGGGGGAGCACGCTGTAGGTTTTCCCGCTTTGGAAGGTGAAGCCCCGGGCCTGTGCGTCCCTCCCGGGCAACTCCGCTCAGGCTGCTGGCCCTGGTCCCACGCCTAGGGCAGTTCCCCAAACTGGGAAACAGTTCTCGGAGTGCGCTGAGGGGAGGAGCTTAGGTGGGCCGAGCCAGGCAGGCTGGGAAGCAGGCTTCCCTTGTGACTGGTCTGGCCGGCCAGGCTGGGCAGCCCCTGGGCGGAGAAGACTGGGAGAAAGAGGTGGGTGGCATGGAGTAAAGGGGGGAATCTAGACAGCAAGTGAGAGCCTAAGGGTACAGGCTCAGGTGAAGAATCACTCCAAAGTTGTCCTGCCTGAGGTATGGTGTCTGTGTTGCCTGAAGTTAGCCAAAAGAGTGTGCCCTGTTGGTTGTCTGCCCTGGTTTTTGCCTGGATACTGTTGGAAAGTATCAGCTTGCAGGTGGTGTGGCCTGAGCAACCTTTCCCTGGGTGTAGGGGTGTTTCCTGGCCTCCCGAGGTAGACAGGCACTCACTCTTCTGTGCTGCCTCTGTTGGTCAGGTTTTCGTGACTAGCTTGGGCTGACCTTGTGGTTTGCCCTCAGGGGTGCCCCTCCAACTCCTGAGGCTTATGGGTGCCATGTGTTTTTGCTTTGGGGTGGAATTTTGTGCCCAAGGAAAATTCATGGTCCTGAAAAGAGGATGTCACTTATGCTTTAGTGAAAATTAAGTTTTAGATTAAAACAGCGTCAGTGGCCAGGACTTCTAGAGGTGGTTTCTGTGTGCCAGAGTCCATGCTGCCTCTGCCTGGGAGTTTTGGCCACTGAGGTTTGTAGGCCACATAGAAGGAACAAGGACCACTGTCTCGCCTCCTGACTTGTGTCCTGGCTGGAGTTTGAGTCCAGTGGGATGGAATGGAGCTGCCCATACCTGGCTCTCAGCCTGAATGGGTTGGTGACCATCAGTGCCTCCTCAGTGAGGCACTCAGCTATGTGGGTAGCAGAAGAGTGCCTGGTCCCAGGTCTTACCTGAGGACCTGAGGGCTGAGATGGGAAGGAGTCTGGTCCTTGATCATCCAGCATCTGGGACTGCCTTCATCAAACTTAAGAAGGTGCCTTGAGCCATCCCTCAGCCCTCCCCAAAAACTGTCTGCTCAGTCAGTGTGCCAGAGGCCAGCAAGCAACTGGAAGCAGTGGCTTTGCTGAGACCTGCCCCTCCCCCACCATGCACATGCATGCACACAAGCATGCACACGCACACCTTTGATCAGGAGGCGATTGGCTGCACTTGTGCTGAGTTCAGGCCTTCTGCAGAGGGTGAAATCTGTTGAGGAGGCACTTTTCAGCTCCCAGCCGCCACACTCGGCACTTTTCTGTGTGATCTCCTCAGGAAGTCACCGTTATTGTGCTCTGCAGTCAGGGTGGGAGGGAGCTCCTGCCAGAGCAGGAGCAAAGGGTTGACCTGAATCAAGGCAGGGTAGCTCCTCCAGTTGCTGCTGGGTGGGCCTGGCTCCTGGTGTGGGTATGTGGCCAAAAAGACCTTCTGACCTCTAGCTCTGGTCTCCTCCTGCCTTTTGATGAGGAAGGATTCTTGCCTCTTGAGATGCTCTTGGTAGCCTGGCTCTAGGGGTGTCTCTGGCTTCCACTGCCTACTTTTTGCATGTAGCTTCACCTCCCATTGTGAGACTGGATTGAGGTGGAGGGTCTCCACTTTAATGGAAACATGTGCCTTTACCTTCCTGGCCCACACTTTAGCTCCTCTGATGAGGGTAAGAAACCCCCAACCCTGCCTCAGCCCACAGTTGCTTAAAGAGCTCATAGCCTCTTCGGAAGAGACTGCAGTCTGCTTTGCCCTGCAGTCTCTCTTCTCCCTGCATCTAACCTGGAAAGGAGCGGGTAGAGGATAGGGAGAGGTCCTTACCCAAGGATCTGGGCTGAGTGGGAATTCCCTGGACTAGGTGTACAAAAATGTACTTGGCAGGGCTTCAGAAAGTAGAAAGTGAAGTTTGAGTGCCAGAGGAGCAGCCAGTGAGATGTGGCCTTTTTGCTTTTGTTCCCTAGCCCTGTGGTCACTGACCCTGAGTAGAGAGCCAGAGAGCAATTGGTGACCCAGAGGGGCTGACTCCTGCCTGCCTTCAGCTAGATAGATCCCTTGAGTGGCTCATTGCAGGGGCACTTGTGAAACACCCTGGGTGGGTGGGGCAGGGGCACGGGATGCTGCAACCGAAAGCCACCGGATGGTTACTCCATCTGCAGAGGAGGTGGACAGGGAGGGCTGGAAAGGCCTCAGGTCAGCTCCTTCCAGCTGGATTGCCTGCCACCTAGAAGGTGAAGGGACTCCCTGACAGTGGAGCCAGAGCTGGCCGGAAGGTTGTTCGCAACCTTAGAAGTTTCCAGTGCTGCGAACCAGTCCTCCTGTGCCCGAATACCCAGGGATAACTCCCCAATCCTTGGGGAGCAGGGGTTTTGTCCCAGGCCAGCCTAGGGGAAGCAGCTGTAGGAGGTAGGACCCTGGAGTACCCTCACACAGGATCCCTGGCTGACCCTCACCTGCTAGCAGCAGGCCTCCTGGGGCACTGTTGGCTTGGCCTCAGGAGCAGGAGTGCAGCTCCAACAGGGAGGAGGGAGGGAGGTGATATGCTGAGTCAGCGTGACTCGCCAGGAACAGTGTGCTCTGGGGCAGCACTGGGGTTATTTTTAAAGCTCAGCTTCCTTCTAGGCTTGCCCCTCCTGCGGCTTAGTCCTTCTAATCTCTCCCCTTGCCCCTTTGTCTTGCCCCTGACTCCTGCACAGCCTTCAGTTCCACTTCCCCCATCAAATCTCCCCCCTGGTTCTCTAGGGGCAGGACCACCAGGAGCAGCCCAGCTCAGGAGAGGCAAGGCCCAAGGGCTGTCCTCGGGTCAGATATCAGGGGAATGAGCAGGTGAGGGGCAAAGCTTTGGGAACTGAGCACCTGGGTTGCAGGCTCCCTGACAGGGTATGAGGGAGTTTGCAGTTGTGAACTGCTGTGGGTGGTAGGTAGTCTGGGGGGTGCTAACCTCTGTTCTGTCTTGCAGAGTACCTGCTCACTGTGCCCCCGGGTTATGACGACCCCTAATAAAGGAAACAAGGCCTTGAAGGTGAGTGGGTAGGGATGGGGAGGCTGGGGTGGGGGAGGTCGGGACTGGGTTGGGATGGGAGTGGGTGGCTCTGATGAGCTCTGACCCTATATGCTATGCTCCTCCAGGTGAAGCGGGAGCCAGGTGAGAATGGCACCAGCCTGACTGATGAGGAGCTGGTGACCATGTCAGTGCGCGAGCTGAACCAGCACCTGCGGGGCCTGTCCAAGGAGGAGATCATCCAGTTGAAGCAGCGCAGGCGCACCCTCAAGAACCGTGGCTACGCAGCCAGCTGCCGAGTGAAGAGGGTTACACAGAAGGAAGAGCTGGAGAAGCAGAAGGCAGAGCTGCAGCAGGAGGTGGAAAAGCTGGCCTCGGAGAACGCCAGCATGAAGCTGGAGCTCGATGCCCTGCGCTCCAAGTACGAGGCCCTGCAGAACTTCGCCAGGACCGTGGCCCGTAGCCCTGTGGCCCCAGCTCGGGGCCCCCTCGCTGCTGGCCTGGGGCCCCTGGTCCCTGGCAAGGTGGCCGCCACCAGCGTCATCACGATAGTAAAGTCCAAGACGGACGCCCGATCGTAGGGACGTGTGTAATTACCAGGCGGGTTTTTGAGGGGCCACTAGGCATATGGCAAAGTCGGCAGCCCTGTCCCTCTTCCCCTCCTCTTCTCTTCCTTTCCATATCCCCCCCCCATCCCTTCCCTGCAAAGCACAACCTGCACCCCAGGGGCACTGGGCTGAGCCCCTTTGATCTCATCCTTGTCGTCGTACGTGTGTTTTGTACGTTGGGATTGGTCAGTTCGACGGTGATGTTGGGTTGCCCCTAACCCCTTTGTACCAAGGCTGTGTGGGCTTGGAGCCCAGACTGGGCACTGTGGGAATGGAGGAGAAAGCAAGTGGGCAGGTGCACTGGGCTCCCCCTCTGCACTGTCCTCCCAGGTGGCCCACAGGCCATCCTGTCTGCCAACTTGAAATGGGACTCAAGGGCTCTCTCTTCAGAAGGACCCAGGTGGGCAGCTCATCTTGGCCTAGAAGAAAGACATGGGCTCTGCTCTGAAGAGTGGGCTGTCCTTGAGGGCCCTGGATGGGTGGGCCACCAACCTGGGCACTGGGGTAGGGGCTGTGGTGCTCCAGCCTGACACAGTGCACTGAACAAGACCAAGTCACTGGTTGTGCGTGTGTTTGGAGGGTGTGTCAGTGTATCCTGCGATGGGTCCGGTGTCACTGTTTACATGACCTATCTGTGTGGTTATATAGCCCTTTATTTAAAAGAGAAGTTCCTTTTACGAAGTTATTAAATTATATGTTTAAGAGCTAAAGAGAAAAAAAGAGCTGCAGAGTATTTATAAAATTGTCTTTTAAAAAAAAGAAAGAACGTTTGACTGTATAAATGGAAAAGGAAAGAAAGTATAGTAGAAACTTTGCTAGTTTAAAAAAGGAAAAAAAAATCCCTTTCTTGTAAACTTATGGACAACTCTTTGTGGCTGTTGGAGTTTAGTTTTTATATACACAGAGTTATCAGACATTATTTATAAAACTTAGTTTAAAAAAAAGACAAAAAAGAAAAAAAAAAAAGCCAAGCCGCGAGCCGACCAGAGGCCGTCCTCTTTGATATCTCTTTTGCAATTGTACCAAAAGTGACTTACTCCTTTGCCCTTCCTGCTTCCGTCTCTTGCCGGTGCCGTGGTGTCGTCAGTGCCTGGTGAGGTTTTGTGCAGCCGTAAAGTGCTGGTGCTTCTGGTGACCTTTGACCTGTGGCTGTCCCTTGTGTGTTTTCTGTGTTTGTTCTTTTGGATTTGTGGTTTTGCTTCTGCTGGCTTGCTGGACCTGAGCTGGGCCAGGGTCCCAGGCAGCACCTACTCCATCAGAGCATGGGGGTCTGCCACCATCCCAGCCTGTTTTCTTTCAGCACCTGCTGTTCCTCTGCCACTCCTACTCCTGTTGAGCCTTGGCTTTGTGTGTGTGTCTGGGGCTTGGGCAGGGTAGGTGAAATTGGAGGGCTGTCTGGAGCCCCCGTGCTGCTTCCACATCCACCACCCATGGCCTTGGGTAGTGGCATTGCAGGGACCAAGGAGTCACTGTGGGTGCCCACAGGACTGTGGCCAAGCTGTCTGTGGCTGTCTTCCTTTTGGCCTCAGCTTTGTTCCTATAAGCTTCAGGTGGGGCCTCAGCTGGGACACCCACCTGGGGGTTCCGAGTCCTTCTACCCATTTATCCCTGATCAGATTCTGTGCTGTGGTGTGTTGCTTCCCAGGTGGAATGGGCAGGGACCCCACATAGGGCAGCCCATTCTTCCTCACTGTGAGGGCCTGGGGGGGCTCCACCAGTGCCAGACAAGGGCTTTAACTCTAAGGCCGGCTCTGTCACTTTCCTGCTGGTCTGTGCTGGCAGCTTTCCCTCTGGGATCTGTGTCTTCCCGGGATCCACTGCTTGACTCGGAGGTGCTTCTCTGCAGGGTCTGAGCCTGCCTTCTTGCCCCAGCTACCCTTTGGAAGTTACCAGTCTTCCAGGGTTGGCTCAGGAAGCTCCTCATGGGCATGTGACTAAGGTGGTGCCCATCTGCCAGAGGCTGCAGCCCTGTCTGGCCACGTGGCTCTTGGCCTCTTGCCAGCTTTGCTGGTGTCTTCTCTGGGTGCCCTGGATCCTTGAAAAGCACAGAAGTGTGGGCTGGTGAGAGGAAAGACTAAAGGTCTTGTAGGATTTTCACACAGTTTGACTTAGCATGGCAGTGCTATGGGAGCAAAACATCTGCTAGCCCTGGCATCTTGATGTGCTCCTTTGGCTCAAGGTGCTCAGATACTCAGTACCTGAGGCTGATGCAGGTGGAAATTTTGACTGTTGGCTATGTTGCTTGGTAACCTCATCCCCTTACTCCTCTGGTTTTCTAATTGGAATCAAGAGGAGTTGCCGATACTGGCTATAGTAGCAGAGTTTGAATGAACCATGTACATCCCTAAAATAGGGAGAGGGACAGGCCATCCATGTCCTTTGGTCCTGGAAGGGTGGTGGTGCATTGCTTAGCATCACTCTCCAAGTGCAAAGCTGGAGCATGCAGAGATAGTATGGGTAAGGAAGAGGAGGTTGAGGCTGGGGCATGTACTGAACACAAGTTGCAGATCTTGGTTCTGTTTTATAGATGCCTGTGGAGTTGGTGAGGCCATGCTTCATTTCATGGGTTTTGGATTTGCAGCAACGGTTCTTGGGTCTGGGAGGTATTCCTGTTCCTTATCAAGTCAGCCCTGCAGGGCCACTCCACTCTTCCCTTCACCCTGATTTCTTGACAGTAAATGCTGTGTCCACATGTGACTGTTGGTTGTGTCTCTGATCCTTGTTATTTTCTGTTTCCTGCTGTGAGGGTATTGTGTTCTTTCTTTCGACTTTTCTGACACAGCGAATCGAGGACTTTGGCTGAACCCAGGTCTCTCAAACTTGTTCGCTAAGTAAACCATAATGTGCAACTTTCTTCTTATCTTGACTTTGTCCCACCTTCCCCCTTACTCTAGTGTAGACACTCAGATTTCAGAGAAAAACCCAGCGGGAACAGCTCAGCTTTTTTGCAGAGTATGGCCCCTGGGAGCCCTCCCTGTGGTCCTGGCTGCTGCTTTGGGTGACACTACTATTAGTGTGGGTACTCCATGGCTGCTCTGTGTTGGATGCTGGGCTTTCTGCCAGCACCAGCTTCCCTGCAGACTGTTCTTAGTCCACTTTTCAGGTCTGTGTGCACACCTTGACTGTTGAGCAGCCTTGGTGGTTTACAGCTTTGATAAGTTACAGCCAGCTTTGGAACAGTCTTCAGGCCATGTCCTTGCTTCCCTTGCTCTGCAGTGACCACTTGGCCAAAACTCCCATCCACAGCTGGGAAGCCTGAGCCCCAGCCTGCTGCACCATTTCCACTCTGGGATCTTGAGTTACATTTTTAGGTTGTGGTCTGATGAAAGGAACCAACACCTTAGTGATCTTCCCCCCCGCCCCCCCCCAAGAAGCCACTGAATACTTGTTTTTTTGGCGTGTTTTCACCTTCCTGTTGTCTGTCTGGTTTTGGAGCAGCTGTGGAGAACAGTGGATGTAGTCAGTGCCACGCAGAGGCAGAGTGTGCTTGAGCTTCTCATGGCCTGTACCTGTTGGGCCAGCTGCACACATTTCCACCATATCCCTGGAGCAGTAGCATTGATTCCATGGGTGACCCTCAAGTCTGAGGTGAAGTGTTCAAGAGACTGTGTCTCCATGAGCTGTGAGACCTCCTTGTTCTTGGTGGCTTTGGGCCCCTCCAGCAACCTCATGTCCCAGCCCTGCCCTTCCTCCCGTTCCCTCTGCTAGTCCCTGAAACCTTTAACCAAACAGGAGTGGGTACTGAAAGCCTTCTCCTGGCTACTTAGGGCAACAGGACAAGGGCTATCGTTTGTCCAGCTCTGTTGGTCTGGCTCTGAGAGGTGTGTCCAAACAGAGTTGATCAGCTCCTGCCTGCCCTGCGAGGGTTGAAGCCAGGGGGAGGTTGGGAGTTACTCTTGAGATGTGCTGGGGCGGGGAGGGGGGTCCTTAAAGATCTAAGTGGGAGGGGCTCCTGCAAGGTGAGGTCCGGGTACCCACACCAGTGTAGGGCGGTCGGGGACCTGGCCTACGCGGACAGGAGCGTTGGTGCCCACCCCTGCCCCATGCAGTATTTATTGCTAAATTATTGTCCAGGAGGGGAGGCGCTGGACCTGGCCCCCCCCCGGGTATTTATTGCTGTACATAGTGTATGTTTGTGATATATAAGGTTTTCTTTATTTTGTATATGATCAATAAACGCCTTTTAAAGAGACCTGCAGGTGCTTCATTGGAGAGACTCGCGGGAGGCCGGATGGGGCGGGGGCGGTTCCGGCGCGCGCATGCGCACGCGCGGTTGCCGGGCGAGGCGGAAGCCGGAAGCGCAGTCCATGGAGAGATGGCAGCCGGCGGCGGTCTGAGCCGCTCGGAGCGCAAGGCGGCAGAGAGGGTCCGGAGACTGCGGGAGGAGCAGCAGCGGGAACGCCTCCGTCAGGTAGGCCGCCGCCGTCCCCGCGCCCACGCCCGCCCGCGCTGTCGTTCACCGCCCGCCTGCCTGCCCACCCGCAGGTGTCGCGCATCCTGAGGAAGGCGGCGGCCGAGCGCAGCGCCGAGGAGGGCCGGCTACTGGCCGAGAGCGAGGACCTGGTGACTGAGCTTCAGGGCCGGAGCCGGCGGCGTGAGGGTCTCAAGCGGCGGCAGGAGGAGGCGAGTCCCGCGCGGCGGTGGCGGGCAGCGGACGGTGGGGGCGCGGAGGGGCCGCGGGCGGGATGACCAACCCCGGCTCCCAGCAGGTGTGCGATGACCCGGAGGAGTTGCGGAGGAAGGTCCGGGAGCTGGCCGGCGCCGTACGGAACGCCAAATACTTGGTGGTCTACACAGGCGCGGGGATCAGCACGGTAGGGAGGCAGGCGGGCCTGCGGGGCCGGGGCGGGCCAGGGGCGCCCCCTTCTGGGAGGCAGAGTACAGTGCTTGGGCTGGGTAAGCTAAGCACCCAGTCTCCAAGACGCCTCTAAAGCAGGACCAAGTTGCTTTCCTGTCTCAAAGACACACGAGACGACTCGATTTAAAATTTAAGGCAAAGACTTTGAAACGCTTGATCTGCGTTACAGCCAGTGAAAGACAAAAAAGGAACAGTGGTAGGAACAAGGCATAGTAGCCAACTGCCTTGCCATTAAGGAAGCCAGTCGATTGGCCCAGTCTGTGTCCTGATCCCTCACTCCTTGTACTCTTTTCCCACCTTGAAGAAAGGTAAACAGAAAGCAAGACAAGGAGAATCGGAATACACTAGGTAATGAAGAGAAATGCACTCTCCTGGGCATCACCAAGAAGCTATTCTGGGATCTGGAACATGAGTAGCTTTGACAGTGTGGCACATCATGACTGTAATCACACAAGTGTGAAGTTTTTGGTTATGTGTAGGCCCAGCTGAGATGAACGCCTGGTGATTTCTGCCCTTAAGAAGCTCTTTGGTAACAACAATCAGGCTTGTGAGCAAGCAAGCAAAATTTGAAACTGACTTCAGGTTCACCGTCATAGAAATCCATGCAACACTGTACTCAGAGCTGGGAAGCCCATCACAGCTATGGGCTTGTGCTGGGGTGTGGCATTGAACCTGGGCCTTGAAGGGGTAAGATTTACAGGTGAAGAAAGTGAGGGTTTGAAGCACTTCAAATGGAGAGCAGCAGAGGTGCAGTCACAAGAACAAGTAAGGTGCTCACAAGCACCTGCAGTGTGAGGATTTGGGAGTCTTCTCTACAGCCACATGGAAAAACCCAGTTGTGGTTATTTGGCAATAGTGATATAATCTCTCACAAAGCTTCCAGTGGCAACTAAAAGCCACCTGTGGCTTGCCAGATTGATCCTAATGTTACTGTCTGAGGTTCCCGTCTTGAATGTGACAGAGTCAGGATCAGGGTGGGCATTTCTCAGAGTTTAAGCTGCAGTGAGGATACAGTTCTTCCCCAGAAGAGAATGCAAAGACACCTGGATCCTGGATGCTTTCTGCTTTCTTCTCAGGATCTGTTTGTTTCACTAGATTGGAAACTTGGAAAATTAGATAAAGTTCCTCTCATCTGTGGAGGTTGTCCTGTGTATAAGTGAACAGGAACTATTTAGAGCTTCAGGATATAAGAATTTGGACAGAAGAGTGCCCCCACCCAGAGGCTTGCCATTTGTTAAATGCTTGAGCAGTGACCTGGCCTGGTGATGCTGATGAACCTGACCAGTTTGCCCTTTCCATATAGGGGACAATGTGACTGTAAACTCCAGGTTTGTACTCAGTGCTAAAGAGGCTCCTGGAGCATGGCAAGGCTGTGGAGTCTGGAAGGATGAGCTATGCCAGGCAGTAAGGAGAAGTCTAGATAGAGGGAAAGAGCTGCGCTAGGGCCAATTCCGCTTATTGTCAGGCAGGTCATCTGTGGAAGGAATAGCAACCAGTCTGTGGGCCAGCCTATAATGTAGCATGTTCCTTCCATTTGGGGGAATTCTGCCAGTACCTACAGTGATGCCCTTTCGCTGGGCTTATCTTTTTATCTGAATGTGCAGGCAGCCTCTATCCCAGATTACCGGGGCCCTAACGGAGTGTGGACGCTGCTGCAGAAAGGGAGAAGTGTGAGGTGAGCAGCTCACACACATCCTTCCCACATGGTTGAGAAGGGGCCGTATAAGCCTTACTCACAGCTCCCTCACCTCTGCTTTCCCTTCTGCCTGGCAGTGCTGCTGACCTGAGTGAGGCAGAGCCTACCCTCACACACATGAGCATCGCCCGTTTGCATGAGCAAAAGCTGGTAAGAACCTGCTGCAGCCAGCATACCTGCCCAGGGTCAAGCCTGAGAGCCAAGGGGGATGCTGCACCCCACCTCCCATTTCACACTGTGATCAACATCCCTAGTGGGTCAGAGCCCTGTTTCGTGCTTCTTCTCCAAGAAGAAAAGTCAGCTCCTGCCCATCTGCAGGGCTGGGGGCCTTGGAAATCTCACTAGCCGCAGGGGAGGCTTATGGGAAGCCTCTGCTGAGTACCCTCATCCAAGTGGGGAAGGGGCAGGTTTGCTTGAGCCCCTGGGAAACTGAAACAGAATGACCCAGAGAGGATATGGATCTGGGCCATTTCTGCCCTTACCAGAGCCCAAGCCACTCCCAGCTTTGCAGGGACAATGCAATCTCTTGCCCTCCTGGCTGTGTCAGTTGGTAGGGAGAGAGTACGATACCTGCTATCACAGGGCCCTCCTGTTAGAATGCATTTGCCTTGTGCTCCAGCTTCCAAGCTTTTTTTTTTTCTTTATTTTTGGCGGTACTGGGTTTGAGCTCAGGGCCTCATGCTTGTCAGGCAGACGCTCTGGCACTTGAGCCACTCTGTCAGCCTTTTTTTTGTGATTTTTTTTTTTTTTGAGATAGGGTCTCAAGAACTGTTTACCTGGGGATGGCTTTGAACTGTGATCTGATTTCTGCCTCTTGAATAGCTAGGATTACAGGTGTGAGCCACCAGAGCCCTGCTCTCCCAAGCTTTTCTATGGGGTTGCAGTCGCCCCTGGACTTGGGACCTCTTGGCCAGACTGGGCTCAGAAGGGTTCTTTCCCTGTCCCCCTCTTGAGCTGCCACCGTGTTCTGCCTTCCAGGTGCGGCATGTGGTGTCCCAGAACTGCGACGGGCTCCACCTAAGGAGCGGGCTGCCACGCACGGCCATCTCAGAGCTCCATGGGAACATGTATATCGAAGTGAGCAGTCCCAGGGGGACACAGGGCCTGAGCGACAGGAGGGTCCCACTCATTGTGCCTCTTGTCCTTAGGTCTGCACCTCCTGCATCCCCAACAGGGAGTATGTACGCATGTTTGATGTGACAGAGCGCACCGCCCTCCACCGACACCAGACAGGCCGGACCTGCCACAAGTGTGGGGCTCAGCTCCGGGACACGATTGTGCACTTTGGGGAGAGAGGGACGTTGGGGCAGCCTCTGAACTGGGAGGCGGCAACTGAGGCTGCCAGCAAAGCAGATACAATCCTGTGTTTGGGATCCAGCTTAAAGGTACAGGCTGACAACACCATGAAATCACCCCTGCCTACCAAACCATCTAGTTGTCATTATCCTCATATGCCTGTGCCACATCTGTCATTTCCACAGGTTCTAAAGAAGTATCCCCGCCTCTGGTGCATGACCAAGCCCCCCAGCCGGCGGCCCAAGCTGTACATTGTGAACTTGCAGGTAATTTGGGTTCCCAGAGCTGGAGCCATAGACCTGGGCCTTAGGTCAGAAGAGCCAGGAGACATGCCACCTCATGTATCTTGGAGGTCTAGTAGAGACCTGAGTGGGTGCCTGGGGAGTGCTGACCAGTCTACAGAAACAAGGAGTTGGGAGGTATCCTCACTCACTTTTCCTGTCTTCAGTGGACCCCGAAGGATGACTGGGCTGCCCTGAAGCTTCATGGGAAGTGTGATGATGTAATGCAGCTTCTTATGGATGAGCTGGGCCTGCAGATCCCCCTCTACTACAGGTGAGGAGGCACAGCTCCAGGGCCTCACATCTCTGCTCCTCTGTGTAGTAGCCGTGTCTGTCTTCCCCTGTGAGCCAAGTGCGGAGGAAGTTCTGAGGTATTCTGAGTGCTGTCTGAAGTGTGACTGAAACATGGTGGCTTCCAGAGGGACTGGCCAAGGCAAGACTCCATGTGTACACACTTCTGCTCTGGCTGGTGTGGTACCCAGAATCTCTGTTGGGAGAGATATTTGGCCAGAGTGTTTTACACTCCATGTCCCTGTTAACCTCAGACAAACCTGGGTGGAAAGGGGTCTTGAGGGGACAAGGACTCTGCAACTCTGGTCAGACAGAATCTCAGTGTCCTTGGTTTTGGGAGTTGACATATTTGGGGGAAGCTTAAACTGTGCTTTAATACAGAATTTGTGATAATTTAGATTTGGTGCATGTACTGAGTAAAAAGTTTACACTTTTTTTCTCTGTGAATTTTCAGGGTCTTATAGGGGAAATCAGTAACTTCTTTTAATCAAAGGGTTCAAGAAATTAAGGATCCCTTCACCTCTGGGCCTGGCAATTCTTGTATGTTATGTTTGTGGTGTTCTGTGACGTGGGCCTATTGTGTCCTGTATATATATATTTTTTTCTTTTTTTTACATTAACTTAGCTCATTTTCTTTACCAGTGCTTATCTGTATCTTATGTTTATAATATGTGGTTCTACATCTCTATCAGACATGATTTCTTCATGACGTAGTCTGTAGGCCACACTTCCCTAGTCAGCTGCCCTTCCCTCCTGTCCCTGTTACGCAGCCTGAGAAAGGGGAGAGGGTCTGGTCCCCCTGCCCCAGCAATACAAGCGAAAGGTGGGACCCAGAGTCACTAGAGACTTGTCCCTGAAGACAGAGGTGCCCTTAGGCTACTGCTGCCTCCCCCACCCCCTTCCCCATGTGTGCACAGGCCACTGATAGTGGATGAGACACCAAGTCCTGAAGAGGCCAGCTAGGGCAGGCTCTGGATTTTGAGTTGCCACCCAAGCAGATCACCTCCCGTAGCTCTTCTGAAGTTTGGAGACAATGCAGATACTACCAAACAAAGCCCAGCCATAGTTAAGATGCAGGGAGGGAAGGGTTGGGAAGGCAGGTGACTTCCTCAGACAGCTTTCCCTGTGCTGGGGCGGGTTGTGACTGTGAGAGGCTCTCAGACATGCCTGATGCAGCTTTCCCTTTTGTTAGGTGGCAGGACCCCATCTTCTCCCTGGCGACCCCCCTGCGTGCTGGTGAAGAAAATAGCCACAGTCGGAAGTCACTGTGCAGAAGCAGAGAGGAGGCCCCGTCTGGGGATCGGGGTGCCCCCCTCAGTTCAGCCCCTATCTTAGGGGGCTGGTTTGGCAGGGGCTGTGCAAAACGTGCAAAAAGGAAGAAAGCAACATAACCTGGTGTTGATGAAGAGCAATTGGCACTTTGCAGGTGGTTGGAAGGAACTCTTGTTCAGGGGCCAGTGTCACTGTGAAGGCCAGGTTGCCCCCATGGAGTCTAGTGAACTCTTGGAGGTGACACTTCACAGTGACTTTTTTAGCCATTTGTCCTTGTGGGAAGCCCCCTTGCACTGCTGTGGTTGCCCCCAATACGGGCTTGACCATTGAGGACACCTCCCTCCTAACTGCCTCCATACAAAGAGGTGGCAACAAGGCCTTTGTGTGAGCACAGCTTGGGTCTGTCCTGGGTCTGGCCAGCAGAGGAGTCCACTGCTGCTTTACCTCACTTACCAGGCTATTCTCAGGGCCTCTCCTATTTCTACTACTTCTTACTAAAAAGTGTTAACTTTATAGAAACCTTTTTCTGTGTTGGGTATGCGGCAACGGGGTGGTTCTGAGCCTTGGCTCTGAGCAGACCTTCTTATTCTTATTAAATATCTCTACACCGTCCTCGTGTCCGAATGACTGCTGTTCTGCTCATCGAGTGGCCAGTGCGCGGGCTCACTGAGTCTAAGACCAAGCCACGCAGGCCTTGCTTAAAACTCCCGTGGTTGGTACGGTCCCCAAGAGTGTTCGCTAAGGCAGCGGCGCAGAAGGCGCCCGGGGCTAACGACGTGCTCCCGCTGCTCCAGGTGAGCGACGATGCGCACAGGCCAGGTGTGGCCTGAGGGCGGGGCCGGGAGGACAGCGTGCGCCATTGGTCGCGCGGGCGGGAGGCAGGGACCGGGCTGGGAGGTGTATACGGTACCATTGGCCAGGGCTGGGTCCCCGGGCGAAATTGGGGTCCACCCTAGTGGCGCCCGCTATTGGCCGCGGGGGAGGGGCGGGGCTTGGAGGTGCACGCCATTGGTCACGCGCCTTTGACGAAGGGGGCGGGGTCCCGGCGGGAGGGGCGGGGCTCAGGTGGCCGGCGTACGCCATTGGCCGTGGGTGGCGGGTGAGGCCCGCGTGACGGCGAGCGCGGGGCGGGGCGGGACGGCGGTTCTCCGAGTCGGCGGAGCTGCCGGGTAGTGCCGGGGCGGCGGGGCCATGATCCGGAACGGGCACGGGGCGGCGGGCAGCGCCGAGCAGCCGGCCCCGGTGGGCAGGCGCGCCATCCGGGTGTGGTGTGACGGCTGGTGAGTGGGCGGCGGGCGGCGGGCGGCGGGCGGTCTCCTTCGAGGTCACGCGCCGGCGGTTGGGCGGCCCCGCGACTTCGGACGCGTTCGGTCGGCGTGCGGCCGACCCGGGCCGGGGTGTTGGAGGCCTGGCCGCAGGCCGCCTCGGGACGCTGCCTTGCAGCTCCACAGCGGTTCCCACCAGCCCGTACCTGGGGTCTTCGGAGGTTCTGACGCTGCGGGCCGCGCGAGGCCAGCCTGTGCTCTGGTCACTTCGATGACATGACCGCAGCGTGCAGGACCCGCTACAACCCGCAGTGCCTTCCCAAAAGGCGGGAGGGGCACCCCGCGGGCGGACAGTGGGGATTACCTGGCTATCCGAGGCTCGGGGGAGCGCACGGGCGCCAGTGGAGCTGGATGCACTGGGTTTCTCTGGCAAGTCAGTGGAGGGCATTACTTTGAGGAAAGTTCGGAGCTGTCAACAAATAGGAGGAAGGTTGATCTTCCCGGACAACTTAACTGCCCTCAGTGCTTTCACGTGCCTGTGCCTGATGGAAGTAGGAAAGAAATCCCGACTGGTCGACCCATGGATTCCAGGAGACCAGGCAGGAACTTGTGCTCTTTTGCACCTGAATCACCTCTGGAGAAGAAACTCAGCTTTGGTTTCGTGTCAGTGGACTCTGACCTTAACGCTGACTGTTTGGGCCACCCCCAGCAGTCCACAATAGTTGGACCCAGTGGCACTCTCCTTCCCTGTTGTGTTCCCCTGACCCAGCCTCTGACTCCTCAATCTGTGTCCTGTTCAGCCTGCCCAGTGAGCACATATTGGCCAGACTTTACCCTAGGCCTGAGCAATGTGGTCCCATTCCACTTTTCTGCTGGGGCCCCCTGCATTGTAAAGGGAGTGGTAAGTGACTATGCTGGGATGAGACTGGGGTGCCCAGTGTCACCTGACCTAAATCCCACAAAGGGTTGGGGAGCTCTGGAAGGCAGCAGAGCACAGCCTGGGGCCCATCACTGGCTTGCAGAGAAGCACAGCGGCTTCTCCCAGCCTGCACAGGGGCACCCAGGGCCCAGTATGTTGCAGGGTGCTGGGTAGCCTGGAGCTTGAAAGCATACTCAAAGCCAGACCCAAATTTGAGGATAAGAGCTTTAACATCAGGTGACAGAGGCTGTTGTTATTCACCCAGAGAGCTAAGCCAGGCTGGGGGGTAGGAAACAGGATTTTCAAAGTCAGTCATTCCCAGGCCCTTACTCTGGTTGGGCTTTTTGTTTTGTGTTGGCACTAGGGAATGTCCACTTGTCTCAGGGTATTACAGAATCCAGCCCCAACCCAGAACAAATGTTTTGTTTTCAAACAAGAAACAAGGACTTGGGATATGGCTCAAGTGGTAGAGCACCTGCCTAGCAAGTGAAAGGCCCCAAGTTAAAAAAACACAAAAACAGCTGGGCACTGGTGGCTCACACCTCTAATCCTAGGTACTCAGGAGGCAGAAGTCAGGAGGATCGAGGTTCAACAACCAGCCTAGGCAAATAGTTCAGGAGACCCTGTCTCAAAAAAGCTCATCATAAAAAAGGGCTGGTGAGGTGGCTCAAGAGATGAGAATGCCTGCCTAGCAAGCACGAGGCCCTGAGTTCAAACCCCAGTGCCACCAACCCCCCCCCAAAAAACAAACAAAAGCCCTTAAAAACACCTTGAAATGACTGTCTCCAGCAGTTTGTATTTGGTAAGAGAGGGAAAAAGGATGGGGAACTGCAAGGCATGGAGATGGCTGTGCAGTTCCCAGTGGGCATTTGTCTCCTGGGACCTTACCAAGGCCTTACGCCTTCACGCACCACCCTTGCAGTTCCTGCAAGGATCCTGCCCTCAGGCCATGATCTGGGGGTGTAAAAACTGAGGGCCCACCTCCCCTCTGCAAGCCCAGGCCCAGTGGTGGCTTCTCAGAGGGCTTCCTAAGGAGTCCTTTTATTTGTGGTACTGGCGTTTGAACCTGGCCTGGCACTTGCGAGGCAGGAGTAACACTTGAACCACACCCATGGTCCCTAAGGGTTCCTTGAGGGAGCAAAACCACATACCCTCCTTGGCCTTCTAGTCCCAGCGCTCCTCAGTGCTGGGCCTGACTGCTCTGTGTGTCCTCACAGCTACGACATGGTACACTATGGCCATTCCAATCAGCTGCGCCAGGCACGGGCCATGGGTGACCACCTCATCGTGGGTGTGCACACTGATGGTAAGTGCAAGCCTGTGTGCCCATCTGTCACCCTGCCCATAGCCACTCCAGCTGACCAAAGCCTACAGGGCACGAGGGGTGATGGTGGGGGTGCAGAAGGCCCGTGCCTCCTTCCTCAGAGCACAGCTTTTAGTGAGAGGTTAGCAAACTTGACCCAGCCTGGCCTCAGCTGAGGATGGTCCAAGCTATAGAGAGCAGGCTGGGGAATCCTGGAGCTGTGCCATCACCGGGCCGAATCTCCCTCCCATTCTTGATGTGACTTCTTAGGCCTAAAGAGACTGAGTACTCTGCTTGGCAAAGGGCCATCCTGTTACCAAGCAGACACTTTGAGCACCTGTGCTGGCTAAAAGACAGCAGTGGCTACCCATGTGTGATGCAGATGCCCACTACATGCCCTCCTGTGTGGACATCAACCCTGCTTGGTACTGGGAAGGCAGCTTCTGAAAAAGACATGGAGAACTGGAGGCCACTTGTCTTTTTCTCTGGCCCTAGAGGAGATTGCCAAGCACAAGGGGCCCCCGGTGTTTACCCAGGAGGAGAGATACAAGATGGTGCAGGCCATCAAGTGGGTAGATGAGGTGGTGCCTGCCGCTCCCTACGTCACCACACTGGAGACGCTGGACAAGCATAACTGCGACTTCTGTGTCCATGGCAGTGAGTGAACGGGGTCTGGGGATGTGGGCTGGGCTCAGTCAGGATCAGACCTCCTGATGAGGCTTCTGGAGAGAAAGGGGCCTTTTGATTCTTCGGGGATTGATAAGAGCAATGGGTCACTCCCTAGAAATGAGGATATAAACCCTAGGGCAGACTGAGCATTGAGAGTGTCCTGGGTCCCCAGGGGGCTCTAGATTGAAAATCCTTCTTTTTGAACCAGTCATAGTGACGTACGCCTCTAATTCCAGCATGTGGAGGAGGCAGAATTAGAGTCTCTGTCTCCAAAACAATACTTGTTTTTGAATGCATGTCACTCCCTAGATGATATCACGCTGACTGTAGATGGCCGTGACACCTATGAAGAAGTGAAGCAGGCTGGGAGGTACAGGTAAGTCCCCCGGTGGCCTGTCATTCAGGGCGTTGGGCTCAATGATTCTCTTCCAGACCACTCTTTGCCTGTTCAGAGTAGCCTGGGAGGAGCACCTGGGCCTGGTCTGGGGACTGCAGAAAGGAAAGAGCTTGTTGTGGGCCTGGGACTGGTCGCCCTCACTTTGTTGTCCATCCCCGCACTTCAGAGCAGCTCTGGGGGACAGGGCTTTACAAGGATGGCAATGTGTTTGTTTTTCCTCATGTAAACATTTTATGTTTCATGTTTTTGAGGAAAAAAAAAAAATTGGGGGGGTGGTCCTGGGGCTTGAACTCAGGTCTTCCTGCTTACTAGGTTTGCTAGGCTTGTTAGGCAGGCACTCTACCAGTTGAACCACTCTGCCAGCCTGTTTTTTTTTTTTGGAGATAAGGTCTCAAGAACTATACCTCCAGCTGGCTTTGAACTGCAGTCGTCCTGATCTCTGCTTCTTGAGTAGCTAGGATTATAGGATTACAGGGAGCCACCGGTGCCCAACTGTTCCTAAAAACTTACCAAACAAGGAGAAATAGAAAAGGAACCTATCCTGTAATGCCAGCTCCTCTGGAGTGGGAGATTGTAAGGATCTAGGTTCCAGGCCATCGCAGGCAAAAAGCCAAATCCTGTGGTTTTTTTTTTTTTTTTTTTGTGGTACTGGGGTTTGAATTCAGGGTCTACGCCTTGAGCCACTACACCAGCCCTTTTTTGTGATGGGTTTTTTTTGAGATAGGGTCTCTCGAACTGTTTGCCCAGGCTGGTTTTGAACTTGATCTCTGCCTCCTGAGTAGCAAGTATTAAAGGTATGAGCCACAGTGCCTGGCCAGATCCTGTCTTAACTAATTACCTGAGCTGGGTGTGGAAGCGTGACACTGTAATACAATGTAAGTGGAAGGCGTATGTAGGAAGAGCAAGGTCTAGACCTGAAGGGCAAAAGAACTAGAGACTCTGTCCGAAAAATAAGTAAAACAAAAAGACTGGGGCATGGCTTGAATGGTAAAGTGCCTGCCTAGCAAACCTCAGGACCAGAGTTCAAACTCGAGTACCAAAAAAAGAAAACCAAAAGCAACAACGACAAAAAACCCAAAAGCAAAAAACAATAGCAACAACAAAAACCCAAAACAATAACAAAAGCAAAAAAATTTCCTTGCCTCACAAGAGCAGGGAATCAGAGTCTCTGGCCCCCTGAGTCTTTAGTCCTCGCATTTATACAAAGGTCAGAAATAAGCGCTTTGGTACCAGTTCAGCTGGGCCAGTGGTACATTAACCCCAAAAGGCCCCCGCCACTTCCATGTGGTGGGAGGAGGGTAGACAGGAAGGCAGCAGAAGAACCCAGCCACTTCACAGGCCAGGGGGATAAGGGTCTGCAGACCCCTCCCCTCTGAGTAGTGAGTGCCCACTGCTCATCCCCACCACCCAGCTTAGTACAAGGGACTCGGGTCAGGCACTAAGGCAGGGTGCTTGTGGATGCTGTCAGAATGGCAGCCATAGACCCTGTGTCGTTGGTGAGCTCCATGGTGTGGCTGGTGCCCCTGGGGAGCTGGCTTATATCTTAATTAGCTGATTTAAAGAGCCAGCTGTTGCCAGGGCTTCCTGCATGGGATGGTCAGCTGGAATTCCCTTAGAGAGTGTGTAGGAGGAAAGGCCTGGGTGTGAGGGGGCCTGTGCATGATAGCAAATTGGGCCCCAGGTCTGGCCTGCCCAGGCCCCAGCCTTGCAACGTGGTTCAATGATCCTCCTGCTCTGCTCCAGCCATTTCCTTTGGCTGATAAAAGCAGAGAGCTCTTCCCGTTGTGGGGGCAAGGTTAGTCATGTTCTTCACGTGGGGTCTGCTGAAGGCAGAGCCCCATGGGCGCGTCTGGGATTAGAAGTTCAGCTCCACCTCTGCCCCAGGGAGTGCAAGCGCACCCAGGGTGTGTCCACCACAGACCTCGTGGGCCGCATGTTGCTGGTGACCAAGGCCCACCACAGCAGCCAGGTGAGTCTGCAGGGACAGGGCACGATCTCTGGGACCTTTGCTTGAGGATACTATAGGGAGGGAGGGAGCACCTCCTGAGCACCCTCAGGGTCATCCTGCCCTGCCTCCCCCTTCCCATCCCTTCCATGGGCTCTGCCTGTTGGTCCTTGGGGCTGGCATCTGGAGGAATAGGCCCCTCAGCCCCTCTGCCCTTGTGTGCAGGAGATGTCCTCTGAGTACCGGGAATACGCGGACAGTTTTGGCAAGGTAAGTGCAGCCCTGGCCAGTGAGGCCATGCTGGGAGTGTGGTAAACACTCCGTCAGCTACCCGCCCCAGGCCTTCCTTTGGAAAGGTTGGTCCAGGCTTCAGTGTCTTCCCTCCTCCCTCCTCTCTCCCCTCCCAGTGCTGACTACCAGGCTCAGCCAGCCAGAGCGTGCTGGGAGGGAGGACAGGCAACAGGTGGCCTCTAACCAAGTGGCCTGGCCCTCTCTCCCTTTGTAGCCCCCTCACCCGACACCTGCCGGGGACACACTTTCCTCAGAAGTCTCCTCCAAGGTGACCAGATGGTGGCCTCAGGGTGCCGGGTCCCTCCAGAGGGCTGTGTTTGCCAGCCACTGGGCTCTGTGCCTGCTCCTGGTGGTGGGTTGGCAGGTTGAGCTGGTGTTGGCTGCCGTACTTGTGGTGGCCACAGGGCAGAGCCACAGGCCTGCTGTCTGCCGTGGCCCTGCCTGGACTGGCCACCTTGTGTCCTCTGCCCCACCCCAGATGCCTGCCTTGGCCTAGTCCCCAGCTGCACTGCTGTGTTGCTGGAAGGCTGCAGTGGGGGTGTGGAGTCCTGTCCTATGGTGCCTCTGCACATGTTCCTGTCATCTGTACCTATGATGGGCAGGGATGCACCTGGATGGCCTCTGCAGCTGACCAGCTCCCTCTTTCGGCTGACAGTGCCCTGGGGGGCGGAACCCCTGGACAGGGGTATCCCAGTTTCTACAGACGTCCCAGAAGATCATCCAGTTTGCTTCTGGAAAGGAGCCCCAGCCGGGGGAGACTGTCATCTATGTGGCTGGTGCCTTTGACCTGTTCCGTATCCTCCTCAGGTTTCTGCTGCCCCAGACCCACGCCACACGGGGACCTGAGCCTGCAGACTCCAAGTCTTTAGGACTGGGCTAGGGTGTAGGGGAGCAGCCATCAGCAGGGAGACAGTGGCTAGTTGGTGGGAGTGAGCTATAGGGGAGGCGGAAGCCCTGCTCTCATGGCCCATTGCTGCTAGTTTTTTGCAGTGCTGAGAATCAAACCCAGTGGCTTGTGCATGCTAGACAAGTGCTCTGTACTGAGTGACAGCCCTAGCCCTTGGTTTTTTGAGACAGGGTCTGGCTATGTAGCTCAGGCTGCCTCCAACTCATGATCCTCCTGCCTCCACTTCCTGAGTACTGGGATTACAGGCATGAGTTACCATGCCCAGCCAGTTACTGCTTCTTAACTTGGACACAGACATTGGGCATGTGGACTTCCTGGAGAAAGTGCACGGGCTGGCAGACAGGCCTTACATCATCGCTGGCTTACACTTTGACCAGGTCTCTGCCCCACCTGCTCACTCCCCAGCACCCCAGTTGGTATTAGGCAGCAGTGGCCTCTTAGAGGAATGAGACTCCAAGTGCCTGGGGAAGAGAATGGAGACCCATGGGGGCTGAGTTTAGGGTCCAGGACCATCCTGTCTGAGGCATTTTCATGAGTGGGGGCACAGGAACTTCTCTCCAACTTCTGTCCATGAGGGCCAGGTGGAAGGAAGGCACTCATTCATCTGGGGTCCTCTAGCTGAGCTGACCTTACTCTGGCCCTAGGAAGTAAACCGCTACAAGGGCAAGAACTACCCTATCATGAACCTGCATGAGCGGACCCTGAGTGTGCTGGCCTGCCGGGTGAGTGTGGGATGGGAGCTGGCATCTCTGACCCCTTTACCCAGGCTTCCCTGAGCCAAGGAAGGTGGAGCAGAGGGTGATCGGGCCCCTTTGTGCAGTTGCCTCTTCCCACTGAGGAGTCCAAGGGCTCCCCAGCCATGCTTCCCTGTTCCTGCTGGCTCTCCTGCAGCTGTATCTGACTCTGGGCTGTCTCTACCACCCTCAGTCCTGTGTTGCTGGGAGTGAGGACTCCTAGCAACTCTGCTTCCTGTGTCTCCACAGTACGTGTCAGAAGTGGTAATCGGGGCACCATACTCAGTCACAGCAGAGCTCCTGGGTCACTTCAAGGTGAGGCTCTTGCTGGCTGGGCAGAAGGTGCTCCCTTGGGCTCTCAGAAGTGCCTGGTTGAGGAAGGGCAGGGCTAGCTCTCATTGGCCTGGGCTTGCCTTGGGTGGTGGTCAGTGGTGGTGGTCTCTCTTGGGAGGGCTCCTGATCCCTGCTCCCTTCCCAGGTGGACCTGGTGTGTCATGGCAAGACAGAAATTGTGCCTGACAGGGATGGCTCTGATCCCTACCAGGTGGGTTGCACTGGCCCTCACGGTATTGGTAGCTGCGAGCCCCCTAGGCCTTCTGTACCTTTGGGAAACAAGCACACCACCCTTGCTGCTGTAATTGCCCCACAGCTCAGGAGGCTCCCGCTGCCTGCTGCTGGTTTCCCTCTGGGGCAGAGCAGCTGGGAGGGTCTCTGTGCAGTCAGGAGGACCCTCATTTGCTCCCTCTCGGTCCTCCAGGAGCCCAAGAAAAGAGGCATCTTCTGTCAGATCGACAGTGGCAGCAACCTCACCACAGACCTCATCGTGCAGAGGATCATCAAGAATAGGTAACATTCCTGTGTTGTCCCTTCCCCCACCCCAGCTCTGTTGGCAATGTGAAGCTGCCACCACCCCCCTACCCCAGGCCCAGCTTACTAAAGCCTGGTCCCCCAGGTTAGAGTATGAGGCACGCAACCAGAAGAAAGAAGCCAAAGAGTTGGCCTTCCTGGAGGCTATGAGGCAGCAGGAGGTGCAGACCATAGGGGAGAATGACTAGACTTCTGACTGGAGGAGTGGTACAGAGGGTGTTACCTCAACGCCAGTGACCCCACCCTTTCTGCTTCTGCGTCTTAGTTTGGCTCATGCGATTCTAAAGGAAGCAGCAATGCCGTCCTCTAACTGACCTGGCTCCTGAAGGGCTGGCGTGGAGGTCCTGCTCCTACAGGCCTGCAATTAACCTGTTTTGTAGCAGGCTTTGAGAGCTTTCCCTTAAGCCACTCAGAAAGGGTGTCCAGCACAGGGAAGTGGTCCGAGCAGGATGAGGAGAAGGCACCTGTGACCTCAGGAGCATATGGAAGCTGCTTCTGTGTGCTTCTGTCTACTGGGTCCAACTGCCAGTGTCACCATCTTTGACAGAAATACCCATCCTGTCTGGCTGGAGGACAACTACTTGCCTACCCAGCTTTGGTGGGAGGTGAAGAGCGGAGGGCTTTGGGGAGCTATGGCTAAGGGTCACCCCCTAAGTGGGCACCCTCTGCCCTGAGGCACGTCTCGGCACGCTGTGCCTGGCTAGAGGAAGATGCCCTGTGGGCCTGGCCACCTTCCCCAGACTTGCTGGCCTCTGTTTTGTACCTTGGATGGTGTAAATCTCTTTGGTGCAACTGAATAAAGCCTGGTGGAAAGTACTGCACTGGGCTCCCAGCCCTGTGAGGGCAAGAAAGCCACCACCTGGCCTGCAGCAGGGTGATCCCCAGGTGCTTTATACCACTTGACCACCACAGGGCCTCCTTGAAGAGGGAGGAGGAGGCGGGAGGCCAGGAAGCTGGGTCACTTGAAGCTGCCCTCAGCTTCTCCACAGACCCAGAGGCTCCACCTCTTGGTTGTGGTTGTAGGCTTGAAGCGGAGAAGTCACTGGAAGAAAGCTTGGACCTGGAGCCTGGGCTGGGACCATCCTGCACAGCAGTACAGGGGCCAGGCCCAGACACAGGAGACTTGCCAGTCATGGCCTCTGGCAAGCGCACCATGACATGGGAGGCAGGCTCAGGTTCCCCAAGACCAAAGCTCAGTACCTCAAATTTTGGTACTTGTTTTGTGCCTGTGTCCTGTGTCTTAGGCTGGCTGGAAGGGGATGGCAAGAGGCAAGCAGCCGAAGGCCTCAGCTCATGTTCACAAGGGGCTTGAGTCACCTTGTGGCCATTTGGAGCCTTTCAGTAATCTCAAGGTAGTGGAGGCTGCTTCCCTGTGAGTGGAGGAAGGTTGGACCCAGAGCCTCATCACCAAGAAGGAGGCTGAGCCAGGTGTGTGCCCAGCTTTGTGGTTGGGTCTGAGAACTTCTGGAGACATCAGGCCACTCTGGTGTAGTCACATCCTTGCCCTGGACCTGCACACCTGCCTGAACCAGACTGGAAGCCCTTGTCCTACTCATGAATTCATTGGACACAGTGGCTCTGTGCCAGTACTTGAAGATCTCTGTGAGGGACTCTTAAGAAAGGCAGTGCCAGGGTGAGGATTGGAGGCAGTGGGAACCCCAGAGGCAGGAAGGTCACCTGGGGTGGTACAGGACACAGGCAGGGCCTCCTGAAGGGACTCAGGAGTTCTGGCTGTTAGAAGGCAGTTTGGGAAAGCTTTGAGGTCCACCGAGTAAGGCAGGCGCCCCGAGAATGTGCCACAGGAAGCTGGTGGAGTCATGGCAGTGGAGCCTGGGGGTCAACCTGGCAGGAATTGTCTGTGCCCAGAGGCTGATGGGCTGTTATGCTGGATCTGTTAACCAAGTAGGAGGGCTCCTGTACACACACCATTCCAGTGAAGCACCTGGGAGCTAGGGGCCCCTTCCTGCTTTGCGGAAGAGGGAATCCAGGAAAGGCCCAGGCAGCTTAGCCAGAGGAAGGGGTGTCCTTGTGGAACCGAGCTGGCCTCCTGGGGCTTGCTGGGCCAGTCAACCATTCACAAGGCACTTATCCAGGTCCCTGTCCCTCTGCTGCCCCACCCTTTACAGTGACCTTCACTGGACACCGACTTGTTTCTTTATTCAGGGGGTAGGTCTCAGGGTAGGAGAGCGTCATCTCCTTCCATTGGGCAAGGGGGTCCCGAAGTGGGCAGTGGGTGTCAGGGGCACCAACCAGGATAAGGCGAGATCTGGATTGGGGTGCGTAGCTCAGGCTTGGGGGCAGTCAGCGGCATGCAGGGACAGGAAGACATCTGCCTTACACTGGAATGTCCCAAGGCCATCGATGAGCCGCTCGCAGCTCTGCAGGTTGGGGGTGACGTGCTTGACACACCAGGCCTGGGTGGGTGGTGGAGGCTTAGATGCCGCTGGCAGCGCACCGGTCCCCGCCGCCCGCCGCCCGCCGGCCCGTGCACTCACAGGGTTCTGAAGGCTGCTGGGGCGAAGCTCGGGAGAGGCCCGGCTGTAGCGCTGGGTCCGCGCCGACGGGGGCTTGCGGAATCCGGACAGCAGCCCTGCGGCGCGCCCCACCGAGTAGTGACGCGGCCCCGCCGCCGGCTTGTACCACGCGAGGCCGGGCAGCGCCAGCAGCAGGCTCAGCGCCAGGGCGGCTGCCACCAGCATCGCGCGCCGGGCCATGGGGACGCCAGTGGCGAGCAGGCGGCGGCGCGGGCGTCGGGGCTGAGCCAGCAAGCCTGACCGTGTCTTATATGTCCGCGGCTGGGACGGGGGCGGGGGACTGGGCGGGGAAGGGACTCCGACGACGGAGCCAGGCGTGCTGCGCGTCGCAGGGCCCGGAGGAGCAGCAGGTGGGCAGGGGCGCAGGGCTGCGCTGAGGACAGGTCAGGCCCCGCATGCATTCCAGAGCCGGATCTCGCCTGTAACCACAGACACTCTCATGATTGGACACACAGACCCTCCCACCAGCCGGGTCCATTGACCTGGGCCGGCCTCAGTGGGAGCCTGGGAGGGGCTGGCTGCACTGAACCCCTGCAATGGCCCAAGAGTGCCAAGCCCCGGGAGCCTTTGCTTCACTCCTCCCCAGTGTTGCGGAGGCTGGAGAGCCAGTGGCCGCTCGGTGCTCAGGAGGCAAAGGGGGCAATTTCGCCCACCCTGAAAGAGAACTGATCTCAGGACCCAAGACTTCCTGACCACAGGCATAAAAGTCCACAGGTGGGACATGGCGGGGGCAACTTGTTTTATGCTCATGATGGGTCATTCTGCTACTTGACCTGCTCCTCTAGCGGGAGAAGGGCAGCAAAGCCAGGCCCCAACTTCAGGAAAGCCAGAGAGAGCGACTACAGACCCAAGGCCCCTCCTGCCCAGCTCTGCTCCTGAATGGGTGGCCCAGGAGCCTCTCCCACCTGGCTGTGCACCTAGAGCCTTCTCTGAATGCATTTGGCAAACATCAGTCCAAGCGCTCTGGACACAGTGCAAGGTTAGAGGCATTGAACACCTGCTCTGTGCCAGGGCCCAGAACATGAATTGGACATGGCTCCTTGAACCAGGAGCAGGTGGGGACAATGAAGGGGTACTCCAGGGAGATAAGGGGATGCTTGGAGACAGTCTAAAGACTGGGCTGAGCTTCCCCCAGTGACTCCGAGCCTGCCTGGGAAGGGAACTGAGGGTGAGCCCGGGCTGAGGTTATGGGGTTTGATGAGGACCTTACAGATACCCTTTCTTGGAAAAGGCAGGTGGGAGAACAATGGGGAAGAAAGCCCAGAAATCAGGGACCCCATGTGCAGAGAGGGCACCTGTGCCTAGGGCAGGTTGTGGATTTATGACCTCCAGAGACTGGGTGTGTTTGGGGGTGGGACTGGTCCTTAGAACAAGACTCTCTGGGCACCCAGGGGCAAGGAAGCCAGAAGTGAGCCTGTGGCTGTGGAGGGTTCAGAGGTGAGCCTGGGAAGGTGAGGCCCTCATGGGGACTTCCTGTCCCACAGGAAGATGCTTTAGAGACAATGAAAAATGGGTGGATTCCCATGGGAAGGTACCCAGGAGGGGGAGGGCACTCTAGGAGGGGAGGCAGGTAGAGGTAGGGGCAGGCCAGAATGAACATGAAGCTTGGACCTCAAGATGGACATGGCCTGTGAGCCAGCCCAAGCAGCTCCAGACCCATGGACCTTGTCCCCCCTCTTTGCAGTCACAGCTCAATCACACCCACCTCCCTCCTGAACTGTGACCTTCTTTACTCTTAATGGCTGGTGCCAGGTCCAGGCCCCCATGTGTAGATGGCCCAGCAGAAAAGCTTGGTGGCCTGCCCAGAGCCACAAGCCTGACTGCACTTGCAGTGGGTGGACCTCCAATGGCCCACATGCAGACAGAGGTGGGACAGAACCTCTGCCCTTCCAGGTGATGCTTCATTTACTCCCTAGGGCTGTGAGGACAAAGTGGAGTACAAAGCAGGTCACACCAGGTGTGGGCGCTGAGCCCATGGGGACAGGGGTTACAGAACTGATGGAATGATTCCTGAAGGTTCCTAGAGACAATCTACGTCAGTCTCAACCCAGGACCTTCGTGACACCCAGAGCTAGGCTACTGCTTCTCCAGTGGCTTCCGACACCCAGGTGTGGGGAACAAAGGAGCCTCCCAAGGGCTGTTCTTCCTTAGGATACTTGGGGACATCCCAATGTCAAGGTCCTGTACTGGAGCTGGCCATCAGTCTCAGTAAGGAGAACAGACCACCACAGCAGTCTCTGCAGACCATCTGGGCATGACCAGAGCCTGCTCAGCCACTTCTTCCTTCAGCCAGGAAGACACATGAACAGTAGCTGCCAGCTGTGCCCACTCAGAGCTGAGGGAGGGTCCCAGGAGCTTCCATCAGAGGAAGTGTCCTGGTGCCATGGTGCCCCTGCATCCCACACTGGAACAAACATACCCCACATTCTTTGCCTGGCCAGCCCCTGCCCCAGGCTCTTCTGTCTGCTCCCGCATTCTTTCTCCTGGAGTTGTGACTCAGGATTTGATAAGGGTCTCGGCAGTGTTTCATCATCATGTTTATTCATGAGTTTTCATTCCAAAACACTGTGATGCTGCATCAATATGCCAAGAAAACAGGCGCCCAGAGGCCTCCAGCAAGGCTCAAGTACTTTAATGAGTTTTACTTATTGAATAAAAGTGTCAACATTGTGATAGAAAAAAAACAAACGAGGGAAGCTACAGTCCTTGTTTCAACCCTGTTACAGCTAAAGGGGAACAGTCCCCACTAGAGACCATGGCCACTGGGTTCCACAGTGATGATGGGGGTCTTAGGATGCCATCTCAGGTGAGGGGAGGGAGCTGCACAGCATGCAGCCTCACTCCTTGAATTTCCACTCCTGGCGGCACATGGGGCAATGCTGTTGCACCTGCTGTGCATTGAGCCACTTGAGGATGCAGTGCATGTGGAAGCAGTGAGAGCACTGGCCCCACACCAGAGGGCAGTCGTCACCAGGCACCTTACCTGAAAGGGGGACCAGGAGAGGACAGAGTTACAGAGGGCCTGCACTTGGGATTAGGCAGGTCACACAGAGCACATGACAACCAGGCAGGGACCCTAGGGCATTGGCTTCAGCTTGTGGACTAGAGTGGCTCATGTGTCACACAATGGAGAAGACAGAAAGTAGGAATGTGACCTAACTCACTCACAGGCATGACTTCCCCGCAAGAAATCTGCAATGAGCCAGGCCTCATCCAGGGTAAGTGAAGTGCAGAGGGGAGCTTAGTGGCTCCTAAGAGGGGAAGACCTCTGGCCTGGCCTTCCACTTCCCCCTGGGTTTGAAAGGCAGAGGAAGAAGGGTGCCCTGTGACATCACAGGCCCTGGGTCCATCCGTAGACACTTGACATATAAGGCCAATAAGCGATCAAGGTGCCAAGGAAACACAATTTGAGCAGGGAGCTGTTTTCTCATCCAAGGGCCAGGAGGCGTGAGGCCTTGAGACTTAGATTCCTTCCCTAAAAATCTTGTGCACTACAAGAGCCTTGGGGACTGGTGTTTACAGTCCACATGTCAGTGGCATGGTGGTTCTGTCCATCTTTTCCCACCTGCAACTTCAAAGGTTCCCACCTCCAAGGCCAGGGGCACAGGTTGCAGGCACCCACCCTGTGGGCCTGGAAATGCTTCCTCACTGGAGAGGGCCTGCGACAGTCCAAATCGTGATCAAGAGGACACAACAGCCCCTCGTTGCCCAGAATCTGGACAACCTGGTTCAAGCAGCGCACAGCAACACCCTGGGTCCTGCCCACATCACAGTCCTGGCACCAAGGAGCTAAATCTTGCTGCCTGTCCTGTGGTGCCAGCCCCTCTAAGTCACCTTCCCCAGTCTTTCAAATTCAGCATAAAATTGCCCCTGCCCAGTTAGCTTTGGAGCCTGCTAGCCCACCAATGGGGAGCATCTAGCTGACGCACTTGTGGGAAGACTTGTATGGAGAAAGGTGCTGTCTTGCTCTGAAGATGTCCCCACAGGCAGTAGGCCTGGGATATCTGACGAGTGTGTGAATACACTGGGGGTGATTCATGCAAGGATGTGCTAATGTCTTGATGAAATGATGTTTTTAATTAAAATACCTCTTGACAAGATTGTTTTACCCCAAAGCCCTATGGGACATGCAGCAGATTTATTATAGCCTTACTAACTCTGGATTTTCATAGGAGTTCAATTTAGCAAGAGAAATATGAGGCTACTTCATGAGGGAGGGGAGAAACAAGTTAGACTCATCAGACAGTTTGCACATTAAAATTGGCTCAGCCAGGCACTAGTGGCTCATGCCTGTAATTCCAGCTGTTCATAAGGAGGATCACAGTTGAAGACAGCCTAGGCAAAGAGTTTGTAAGACCCTATCTCGAAAATACTCAACACCAAACAGGGCTGGCAGAGTGGCTTAAGTGGTAGAGTGCCTGCCTAGCAAGCGTGAGGACCTGAGTTTAAACCCAGTACCAAAAATAAAACAACAAAACAAATAAAATTGGCTCACTTGGGCTTATCAGCAAATCCAAGAACTGACTACTGACTACATTCCCTACTTTTTTCTTTTTTGTGGGACTAGGGTTTGAATTCAGGGCTTCGTGCTTACAAAGCAAGCACTTTACCACTTGAGCCACACCTCTAGTCCTACATTCCCTACTCTCTACAGCCAACAGACCCTGTTTTGGTCTTTTTTTTTTTTTTTCTTTTTCTTTTTTTGTGGTGCTGGGGCTTAAACTTAGGGCCTACATCTTGAGCCACTCCAGCAGCCTTTTTGTGATGGGTTTTTTAGAAACAGTCTCTTGAACTATTTGCCTGGGTTGGCTTTCAACCATGATCCTCCTGATCTCTGCCTCCTTAGTAGCTAGGATTACAGGTGTGAGCCACGGTGCTCTGTCTTGGTGTTTGAACTTATAGTCTTACTCTACCACTCCAACAGACACTGTTTTAACAAAACCCAAGCACAATGAAAAGCTTGAAATGCTGAGTGATCAACTACATAGGATCTTGTCTGGATGCCTCAGTCAGGCCCTCCCAGGGATCTAGGCTGGGCTCTGCAGGCCATGTGTGGGTACACCCTAGTGTACCCACCCTGGGTACACTAGGTTCGGGTGGCTCATGCCTGTGATCCTAGCTACTCAAGAGGCAGAGATCAGGAGAAAAGCAGTTCAAAGCCAGGCTGGGCAAATAATTCGTGAGAACCTATCTTGAAGAAACCACCACAAAAAAGTGCTGGTGGAGTAGCTCAAGGTGTAGGCCTTGAGTTTAAGCCCCAGCACCACAAAAAAAAAAAAAAAAACTTTTACCAAGTCAATAGCCTATTGCTCTGGAAGTTAAAAGTGTTTGCCCTTAGTCTCCTCATCTTTGTGGCATCCTTAAGTGATCTGATGGACTGGCAGAGTGGCCTAAGTGGTAGAGCGCCTGCCTACCAAGCATGAGGCCCCCAGTTCAACCCCCACTACCACCAAAAAAAAAAAGTACCAATGAATGATTGTTTTGATTAACTCCTGAGTGATGAGCTTTCCTTTTCAGTCAAGGCAGATGCAGAGAGTAAGCCTAGCCTAGGTGTAATGGCATAGGCCACACCTAGGAACTCGGGAAGCTGAGGAATGAGGATCTTCAGTTTGAGGCCAGTCTGAGTTACACAGTGAGACCCTGTCTCAAAAGTTTTTAAAAACTGGGCACAGGGCCTGCCTAGGAAATGTGAGGCCCTGAGTTTAAACCCCAATGTGGCCTGAGGCCGGGGGAAAAAAAAGTCATTGATAACAAAATATACTTGAAGACAAAAAAAAAAAAAAAGACAGACAGTAGCTCATGCCTATAGTCCTAGTTACTCCAGAGGCAGAGATTGGGAGGATCTAGGTTTGAGGCCAGCCAGGGCAAAAAAATCCATGAAACCCCATCTCAATCAATAAAAAAGCTCAGAGTGTCTGTCATCCAAGCTACATGGGAAGCATAAATAGGACGGTCAGTCTAGGCCAGCAAGGATGTAAGTGTGAGACTCTTCACCATCTGTCTCCAAATGTCTTTTTTTTTTTTTTTAACGCCAAACTCAACATTATTCCTTTTAGTTCTTTAAAAACAGTCCCTCCTCTATCCCTTTTATTGGTTTTCAAGGTATTTGTATCTTAAAAGTTTGGTGTGTTTTACAGTTTATTTCTTTTATTGTTCCTTGGTCCCCACCTGTGTTCTGTGAAACGAAAATGTTTGATTACATTTAGGTAAAAGGTGGATTTGAGGGGGCGGGGCGAGGGGGCCTGTGCTTGCCGCTTGATCCACTCTACCAGCCCTTTTGTGTTCAATTTTTTCGAGACAGGGTCTAACTATTTGCCTGGGCAGGCCTTAAACCTTGATCTTTCTGATCTCTGCCTCTCCAGTAGCTAGGATTACAGGTGTGAGCCACAGGTGCCCTGATCATTCCTGGCTTTTGACAAGAGTACTTACTTAGTTTTTGGTGGAACTGGGGTTTGAATTCAGGGCTTCACGCTGGCAAGTAGGTGCTCTAGTGCTTGAGCCAAGCTCCGGTTGATTCTGCTATAGCTATTTTGGACATAAACCATTAGCCTGGGCTGTCCTGGACTCGCCATCCTCCCAATGTCACCCTCATGGAGAACCCGGCATGACAGGCGTGAACCACTCGTGCCCAGCTCGTTCACCACTATTTGTGATCACTGTTGGCCTGAACTGCCTGGTTTCTACTCTGTCAACTTTTATGCAGAAAAAGAAAAACAAAACCCAGAGACGTTAAGGCTGGATGTGCAAGCAGAGCTCTAGAGAACGCAGGGTGCAACACTTACAGTCAGGACAGCAGCCATTAAACGCCATCCTGCAGATGCCACAGTTCTCGTCGTTGGCCACCCAGAGCCAGGTGGCCACGCCGTTCCAGCACTTAATTTTCACCTTCATGGTGGTGGAGCCTGCGGGCTGAAGGAAGAGGATTACTTGGCCAAAGTTAGTGGCTGGACCCCGCTGGAAGCACGGGGCGCTTGCGAGGGGATCCTTAAAAGTCTACGACCACGAACGAGCACACTGCTTTTCGCGAACAAGTGCAAAACTCCGCCATGCCATTTTTTTTTTTTTTTTTAAAGGCTATGACTAGGAAAAAAAAAGCGATGGTCGCTCTACTTGGCGGGGAGTCCAGACTCCCGCTCGCCGGGGACCTTCGTCTTCAGGGTAACAAAACCAAGACCAGATCGCAGCCCCCCGAAGGGCCCCGCGCCGCCCAGCTTCACGCCGAGGGGACGCACCCCAGGGTCGGCGCCAGGAAGCTGGGCGCCACGCACAGGCGACCGCGAGGGGCGTGGGGCAGCCGGGCTACGCCGACCCCTTCGCTAGGCGGAGAGGGAGGGGAGTACAGGCCCCGCCCACCTCTCGGCCCTCGCACCTTCGCCACCTAATCACGCGCCGCCCCGCCCTTCCGTTGGCGGCGTCGACGTCCGCGCGGGAAGGTACAAAAACGACCGCACCGCGGCCGGCGCCTCCGAAGCAGCGCCCGCCGAGTCCTGGGCCCGGCACGCACGCGCCAGTTCGCCCCGCGCGCGCTCCTCGGCCAATCAGCTTCCGCTCCAGGGCCGCGGCGCCGGAAGACCGCGCGCGGCGCCGGAAGTGACGCGCCGGCGTGCTGACGCGCGGGCTCGAGCCGAGGCCCGATTCCGCGCCCGCCATGGCCGACAAAATGGACATGTCTCTGGACGACATCATTAAGCTGAACCGAAGCCAGCGGGGTGGCCGCGGCGGGGGCCGGGGTCGAGGCAGGGCCGGTTCCCAGAGTGGCCGCGGCGGAGCGCAGGCCGCCGCGCGAGTGAATCGAGGCGGCGGGCCCATGAGGAACCGGCCGGCCATCGCCCGCGGCGCGGCGGGCGGCGGCGGCAGGAACCGGCCGGCGCCGTACAGCAGAGTGAGTGAGGGGCCGCGCGGGCATGGGTGCGCGTCCGGCGGGTGTGGGGCTGCTTGGGCGTCTGGCCAGGTGGGCGGGGGCGAGGTCGCGCGGTGAGGTCCGGTCCCGAGGCGGGGATTCCCCCCCCACCCCGCCCCGGCGCTTTGTCCCGTGTCTACCCGGGGCTCCATGGCGGCGGCGGAGGGGACGCCGGGCCCGGGAAGTTAGGCGGCGGAGCGGCGGACGGGGCCTTTCGGCCGCCCGCCCCCCGGGCACCGCAAGAGGGAGCGAGCGTGTGGCGGCGGGGGCGAGGGGAAGCCCGGGGCGAGGCTCACGGGCGTGTTCCTGTTCTTGTGGGTTTTCCTGCAGCCGAAGCAACTTCCCGACAAGTGGCAGCACGACCTTTTCGACAGCGGCTTCGGGGGCGGTGCCGGCGTGGAGACGGGGGGGAAGCTGCTGGTGTCAAATTTGGACTTCGGAGTGTCGGACGCTGACATTCAGGTAGGAAACCGTGGCTTCTCGGACAGCTGCTCGCCCTGCACACAAGGGATGGGGTCTTCAGTCCTCTCCCCGCCTTGGAACCCGAGCTCCCCCAGCTGCCCCGGGCCAGCCGGTGTTCCTGGGGGGCTGCAGATGGAACCCTCGGCGGACCCTAGGTCCGGCTGCTGGAAAACAGGTCCTCGGTGGGCTGAGAGGCGCCCCTTTAGTGCTGTGTAGCTGCTGCGACTGCAGATCCTCTGCCTGGACGTCCCCTGTGTGTCCGATAGACACTGCTTCTCAAATTTTGCGCTAACGGAGAAGCAAAACCTCCCTATCCATGTCCGACAAAGCACAAAGGCGAATCGTAGCAGTGTGTTTTCCACTGCTGTTTGCTTCAAGCTCTGCGTCTCACCACCTATCCTTGGTCCTGTCAGTAGGATGACTCTCAAACCTGTCTTTGGGTGAAGTGTTTTCTTTTTCTTTTTCTTTTTCTTTTTTTTTTTTTTTTTTGATTGGACCCCAAAGGCATTTAAGGTTTTTTGGTTAACAAATTCTTGGGAATGAGTCTTGGAGATGGCAGGGTCAGAGTGCTGGGCCTCCCTGGGTTCCATTTCGTAAAGCCCAGCCATTTGGCCTTGCCTTGGGAGGGCAGAGTAAGGCCAGTGAGCACTCACAGTGTCTCAACACTTTTTTTAAGGTGGTTTCTGGCATCCACTGGAAACCGCTTTTGGTGAACTCCACTTCCCGCTGTGTGCCTGCGGCCGGAGTATCCCCACACTCTGGGTTCCCTCTCCAACTCCCAGCCTGCCAGAGGTCAGGGCAGTTTCCGTGGAGCGCTTGACTTCAGACTTTGCGGCAGGCTTGAGTAGGAGGAGAGGGAAAGGTGAGCCAGAATCTGCCTTTGGGGGAGGGGCTGGGGTCAGCGCTCCTGAATCAGCGGGCCCTTCAAGCTGGTTTGGTCTATTGGACAGTTTCCCTTGCTTTTACTCTTAGGTTCTGCTCTTTGGTGAAACAGTCCTTGGGGAACTTACAAGTTTTCCTTTTTTGAAAAAGATAGTGAGATAATCTGTGTCCTGTACCAGAGCATTTGCGACTTCCTTTACCTGCATCATGGTACAGATGTCAGGTCCCCAAGTGGGCAGTGGCCCTCCATCCCAGGTGTTTCTTGGAAGTTGCTGTTCTCCTGCCCCATCCCTTCCCTCAGCTCCAGTTACGTCTCCCCAGTCCCCCCTTGTAAACGGCTGCCTGGAAAGCACCCCTAAAGCACTCATGCTGGCAGGGACTGGCCCTGGGCCACCAGAAGGAAAATGGCTTAGCTGCTTTGGTAACAGTTGCCCTTTCTGGCTCCCAGGAACTCTTTGCTGAATTTGGAACGCTGAAGAAGGCAGCTGTGCACTATGATCGCTCTGGTCGAAGTTTAGGGACAGCAGATGTGCACTTTGAACGGAAAGCAGATGCACTAAAGGCTATGAAACAGTACAACGGTGTCCCTTTGGATGGTGAGTCTGGGGCTAGGCCCAGGATGCCTGAGGGGCTTGTTGGAGTTTGGGGCTGGTACCTGTCCCTGTAGGAATATGGGTTGCCCCTCTGGCTGAGGACACTTTGCATTTGCCCCTTTGTCTCTCTCTTCCATTCTGCCACCTCTCATGCTGCCCCACACATCTGGACCAACCTCTTGTGAACCCCCATCCAGCAAGCTACATCCCTCCCCTCCTTCAGCTCCTTCCGGAAGATTCACTTCTGTGAAGCCTTCTCAGAACCGCCATAGTACACCTGAGTGCGGGGCTGTAGTCGTAAAGACAAAGGTACCTGTTCTTCTTCCATCAGGTCACCCACACCTGTCCACCCATAAGCACCCCGGACACCTGACCAAACAGCCCTCCTAGCTTGGACTGAGAAGGAGTGAGGAGGTGTTGGTGGGGTTGATACCGTTGCCACTTTGTTCTCCCACCAGGCTCCTCAGGCCATTTCCCTTGTCGGGGGTGTTGGAGACACACAAAGGCCCTTTCCAGAGCTTGCATGGAGACCAGGGTATGGTGTTCCCTGGGTCAGCTTCAGAGCCTCTGGAATGAGATTTCTTGTATTCTTTGCCACAGGCCGCCCCATGAACATCCAGCTTGTCACATCACAGATCGATACACAGCGGAGACCTGCACAGAGGTGAGCTCTTGGGGTGAGGGATGGGCCTGTGGTATGGAATCACATTGCCCACGAGTCCTTTCCAGTTAGGTCAATGAGTTCTGTTTTCCTTGCTAGTGTAAACAGAGGCGGCATGACTAGAAACCGTGGCTCTGGAGGTTTTGGTGGTGGTGGTGGCACTCGGAGAGGGACCCGTGGAGGCAGCCGGGGAAGAGGCAGAGGTGCCGGCCGGAACTCAAAGCAGCAGCTTTCTGCGGAGGAGCTGGATGCACAGCTTGATGCCTACAATGCGAGAGTAAGTCCTGAGGGGTCTTGGAGTCAGGGTGGGACTGACCAAGCCAGGAGGGGCCAGGGCCTCCTCAGTCAACCGCCTCCCTCTTGTTTCAGATGGATACCAGTTAAACAGCCGGCAAATCCACGCCTGCAACAAGACCCAGATGCCTCGGCTGTGCTCCCTGGTGGGAGGGGTGGGAACTGGGCTGTGTGGCCAATGATGGATTTGGTTTTTGTTTTTTTTGTTTTTTGTTTTTTTTTTTTCAGTTTTAAAATAGGATTTAAAACTCATGTAAAGGTTTTCTTTCTTTCTTTCTTTGTTTTTTTTTTTTTTAAATTCTGAAACAGACCTGTTTTGTACTGAGTTATTTTTGGGATAAATTTTACTGGTTGCTGTTGTGGAGAAGGTGGCGTTTTCACCTTTGCCATAATAAAATAGAAATGTGTGTAGAACTGGAGCTGTCTGGTCCATCCCACTGCTGGAGTGTTCCTGGGCCAGAGCTGGGTGTCTGGCCAGTGGGCTGGGAGGGCAGCAGGCCAGCTGTGGCACCCAACGTAGGACTGGAATCCAAGGCTGTGACTTTCCTGTCTCCTTCCCCATTGTTCCTAACTCCTTACTCTAACTCGGCAGATGGGAGGACACTAGAGCAGCAATAGCCCTTTGCTTGGAGCTGCCTGTTCATTCTGTGCCTGCACCATGAAATGAAGGGTGTGCCATGCTGTGTTGTGTCTTGAGATCTATGACCCTGAAATTTTGGGATTGTACGTTTTCCTTTTTATGTAGTGTTCTAGAGAAAATTGGAATCAGCATTTCGTACCATGTACTCTTAATCCTCTTGTGCTTCCCTGATTTTCTGTTGGCAGGAAGCAAACTATAAGAGGGCTCCCTCAATTGTGCACATTATTTCTCAGTGTCCTTGGGCCTTACTGGTTCCAGGACCAAAATTTCTCACGTAGAATGCGTGTTGTTTACGTAGAACCTATCTATGTTCTCCTTCCTGTAGGTTTTAAGTAACGTCTTGGCTAATAATACTTACCGCAGAGTAAATGCTGTGTAAGTAGTTGTTACGGCGTATTGCTTAGGGAATAATGAATGACGTGGAGAAAAAGAAAAATTGCACGTGTACAGTTTACTTTTGAGTATTTTCAATATTCTGTTGGTAAAATCTGTAGACAAAGAGCTGGCTTGATGAATTTGGTAAAATATCTTCTGGAAACAGACAGAATCTTAACATCCAGACTGTGGTGGCCGTAATCCCAGCACTAGGGAGGCTGAGGCAGGAGGGTTGAGGGTTTTCATCTTCTCTCACAAACGTACAAAAACCAATGTCCATTTGAAGATCGGGGCAGGGCGAGGAGGGAGAGCCTTGTACCACCTGATGCTAGGTTTGGTGGCAGCATTTTGAGAGTAGAGTAGGGCAGGGAGACTGGAGCTTTGGAGCTTTGTCTCTCACTGTCTAACTGCTGGTATACTAGGAAGACCAACAATGGGTGAGTGAGGTGGGGAGACAGCTCTGAGGAGGAATTCACTGGGGCTACTGAAGCGCCTCTCTAGGCAATAGCTTCCACTGGGCGCATGCCTCAGGCTAGTTCTGCTTCCATGTTTGGACGGGACTGAGTCAGGGGTGGGGTGTGCAGGGTGATTCTGTCAGTGACAGTGATGCTACTACAGAGCATAGACTGCCACTAGAGCATCCTGCTGTGTGTCAGGCTGGGCCATGGTTAGAAAGGTAGGTGGCCAGTGTGGCTAATTTTGGCCCTCTAAGGAGCCCAGTCTGTCTGGAGAACGGCTTACTGAGTGTTTGTTTTTGCTGCTGTAATAGTGGGGAATGGATGTAAGAGGCAGAAGTTATTTCATGTAGTGCAGGTTAAGCTGTCCCTGAGGATGTGGCCCTGGCTGGCCCCTGAATGTTGGAGCAGACATGAGCAGACACATGCCACGTCTGCAGGTGAGCACACTGGTGAGGACTTGGTGCTGTTGTGAGGCGATGCACACTGGGATTACCTGGCATCACTGGCTTGGCAGGGGATGATGCTTGATGGGAAGAATAAGCAGGGCTTGACAGCCCAGGGTTTTCTTGGGAGGAGAGGAGGGCACAGGAATGAAGGTTGTGGGGCATGGCCTCTGTAGGATGGACAGGCATCAATGGAGAGAATGTCCTAGAAAGGAGTGAATGTGGTAGTCATTAACTCACTGTGGAAGACATTGGAGACTGGGCAGATGTATCCAGGGATTCTACATGAGAACTTGCTGCTTTGAGCAGGACATCTTGTTTGATAGCAGGTGGCATGTGAATATTAATGAAGTGTGTGGCCTAGAGAGGGTTGTATGTGAGGGAGCGGGAAGGATGACATTGCTGGAGCAGGGACCAGTGTTTGCTGGTCACATGGGTTCTGTGGAGAAGGTAGAGGACAGTGGCCTGGGGATAGGGCTGACCGTTTGTGGTAGGGCCAATCTGGAGTCCACCTCGTCTTCCTGTGGGAGGTAAGCAGGAGAGCTGGGACAGACCTTGAAGTAGGCCTATGCTCCCTTATCTGCAAAACAGGGAAAATCTTTCCACACTTGGAGCCAGAGGACCATTTTATTTGTGGTTCAAGGCAGGGTACTATTGAGGTAAGAAGGGACTCTTCCTTTACCTGCACAGACAGCTGGTGGAAATGAAGGGTGTGTCTAGCAGGCAGTCATCTGGAGGGCAGTGCCAGGGCTTCCTACCTGGGGATGGAGTGGAGTATCCCAGGCCAGTACTCTGCTGTCCCCCAAAAGTGAGTGACAGGATAAAATGTGACTTGGTGTTTTACATGTCGTTCTCACTTATATTGCTTGCTCGACCATAAGCTGAAGGTTTCTGGCTGGCTGGCTGCTGCACCCTTACAGCAGCTAGGGAGACCCTGTCCCTTGTGCTGCTATGTGGTCCCCATGGGAAAGCAAAGATTGGCCCAGCAGTGAGTACACGACTTGTGTGTGGCCAAGGTTAGGCTTTGGGGCTTTTAGATATGCCGAGGGAGAAGGAAGGGAATAGCTAGCTCTTGGGGAGAGGAGAAGCAGCACTTTGGGAGGTCAGAGCTCTTCCTGGGCTGGCTCAATGGCACTCAGCTCTGCCTTCAGCCTGAGATGCTTAAAAGTAGCTCTGAGGAGCAACTGTGAAAAAGAGCCTTGGCTTTTGGTTGATGTGAACAAAATTTCAACAAACTTCATAGGCTGAGGAGGAGCTGTACTCCCTGTGGGCATCCAATGGTATCAAACATAGCACAGCCTCAGGCTGCCTTCAGACTCCTTTTTGAGACTCCGTTAGGCTTCTGTTTCTATACTTAGCAAAAGAGCTGTTAAGTTTTGTTCCTTAGCAAACTGATAGTTTCAATGGAGGAAATACAAAAGTAAGAAATTGTAACACAATATGATAATGATAGTAGAATAAGAAATGTGGGAGGGGAGTGGGAACATAGACTGAGAGCTTTTCTGTCTGTTAATGGGCTGTATAGTCACCAAATGTTTGTTGACCGTGGCCTGTGCCTCCATCTATACTAAATATGGGTTTACTATGTGAGTTCTTACCTATCCAAGAATCTACTAGTGATACAATCTTTTCATTTTAAAGTTTAAAGAAGCTGGGTGCTGGTGACTCACGCCTGTAATCCTAGCTACTTGGATAGCAGGAGGATTGTGGTTCAAAAAGCCAGCCCTTGGCAAATAGTTCGTTAGATCCTATCTTAAAAAACCATCACAAAAAAGGGCTGGCGGAGTGGCTTGAATAGTAACAGTACCTGCCTAGCAAGTGTGAGGCCCTGAGTTCAAACCCCAGTGCTGCCAAAAAAAAAAAAAAAAAAGTTTAAAGAAAATGAAGTTTATTTAAAAAGGAATAAAAACAAAAAAAAAATGGGCTGAGGGCATGGTTCATGTGGTAGAGCACCTTCCTAGTGAGTGTGAGGCCCCTAAGTTTAAACTCCAGTGTTGAAAAAGAAAAAAAAAATGAAGTTGATTTACTCACACAGTGCAAGTTGTGAGTGCCTACCACATGCCTGACATGGTTTTCAGATACCAAGGAAAATAGTGACTAAAACACACCCTTTGCCTCAGAATGAAGTCCATAGAGAGCAGACAGGAAAAAGGGAGATGCAGTATGTCAGGTGATTGAGTTACAGAAGAAAACCAACCAGGAAATGGTAGGGAAGACGTGGTCTAGTCCTGGGGACGCCAGAACTGGGACTGATGGGCTGCAATCTCGGGAGATTTTTGTTGCTTTTTGGTGGTACTGGGGCTTGAACTCAGGACCTCTCACAGTTAGTTAGACAAGCACCCTACCACTTCAGCCACGTTCCAGCCCTGAACAGTATTAATAATGTTTGGAATATGAAGTGCTTTTCAAAGAAAACTGGTGGGTTTTTTTTTAATAAAAACATTCTTTTTGTTCAAAAGAAAACTAATGTTTTAATTGAAGAAGTAACAGCGCAAAGTGGGCACAAAGCAAGGTGCCTTCCATACTCTCCGAGGGATCTTGTTACTCACTGCAGGGATGTCTTCAGGAAGGGCTGTGAGGTTATTGACATTCCTTAAGTTTCACCCACTACACAGTCCAGTTTCCGCTGAATTTGCAGCATCACATCCTACCACCATTATCAGATTCTAGAAACCCCACACCCATTAGCAGTCACTCCCTACTACCTTCCCTAACACCCTGTAGCAGTCTGCTTTCTGTCTCTTCTTTTGCCTGTTCTGGACTTCTTGTGTGTGGTGGTAACTGGGAATCAAACTCATGTCCTTGTTGGCTAGGAGAGTGCTGCAGAGCCCTGGACAGTTCATGTAAATGGAGTCAGCAGTACTCTAATCTGGCTTGCAATCTTTTCACGGATCGTCATTCTTCATATTGCCAAGTATTCCATGTGTGGGTGTACTGTGTTTTGTTCATCTACTCATTTGTTGATGAACATTTTGGTGGTTTCTCCTTTGTGACTGTTACAGCATTTATGTTACTTTTTTTTTGGCAGGGGGTGGGGGATGGATTACTGGGGCTTGAACTCAGGGTCTGCAGTGGCTCACCGCTTCACCAGCCCTTTTTTTTGTTTTTTTTTTTTTTTTTTGAGATAGGGTTTCTCAAATTATTTCCAGGGCTGGCTTGAACCACACTCCTGCCCTCTGCCTCCTGAGCAGCTGGGATTACAAGTGTGAGCCACCGGGTGCCTGGCATATTCATATTTTTGTATGTATTTTCTCTTGGAGTGGAATTGTCATAGGGTAACTGTTTACACTATGGTGGATCTGAACTCGGGGCCTCATGCTTGGTAGGCAGGTGCTCTACCACTGGAGCCACACCCTCAGTCCTTTTTTTTTTCTTTTTTTGGGGGCGTTATGGGATTTAACCTCAAGGCTTTAAGCTTGCTAGGCTGGCACTCTATCACTTGAGCTTGAGCTATACCTTCCAGCCCTTCAGTTATTTTTCAACTAGGGTCTTGTGTTTTTGCCCAGGCTGGCTTGGATCTCTTTGGTGAGACTGGGGTTTGAACTCAGGGCTTCACACTTGCAAATCAGGCACTCTACCACTTGAGCCATACCTCCAGCCCCTTGGACCTCTTTTTATGCCTCTCTTGTAGCTGGGAAGACAAGTGTGTGCCACCATGCCCAGCTTTATTGGTTGAAATGGGGTCTTGCTAACTTTTTTTACAGGCTTTGCTCAAACCATGATCTGGGGTGAATTCAACTATGATATATTGTAAAAACTTGGTAAATGTCACACTGTATTATTGTATAACAATAATAATAATAAATTATTAAAAAAGGAAAAAATAAACCATGATCCTCCTGATCTCTGCCCCTGTAGGGATTAAGACATGAGCCACTGCACCTGGCTTAATTGTTTTAACTTTTTTGAGGAACTACAAACTTTTTCAAACAGTCCTGACAGCAATGCATGAAAAGTTCCAGTTTTTTCATGTCCTTGTCAGCACTTTTTTTTTTTTTTTTTTTGGTGGCACTGGGGTTTGAACTCAAGGCTTCATGCTTGCTAGGCAGGCACTATACCACTTACCACTTGAGCCACTCCACCAACCTAGCACTTGTTTTTTTAGTTTAGCTATCCTAGTGGATGTAAGTTGGTATCTGCTGGTATGCTTTGTAGTTTCCTTTTTTGTTGTATTTGTTTTGTTCTTCTGGGTGGTATTGGGGGTTTGAACTTGCTAGGCAGTTATTCTATCACTTGAGCCATGCCCCTAAAATAATAAGCCATACTGTTGGTACCTCTTTTTTTTTTATTGGCAGTACTGGGACTTGAATTTAGGGTGTTGCTCAGGAGGCAGGTGCTCTACCGCTTGAGCCACGTCTAGCATAAGGAGACTTTTGTTCTTTTTTGCAATGCAGAAGGTTGAACCCAAGGCCTTGTGCATGCTAGGCAGGCACACAGTCTACCACTGAGCTACATCATCAGCTCCTTTGTTTTTTTTAATGTCTCTTTATTTTTTCTTTTGGCAGTACTGCAGTTTGAACTCAGGACTTTGAGTGTTTGCTACATAGATGTTTTACCACTTTGACTCATACCTCCAGTCCATTGTACTTACCTTTTTTTTTTTTTTTTTGGTGGTACTGGAGTTTGAACTTGGCCTTGCACTTGGTAGACAGGCTATCACTTGAGCCACACCTCCAGCCCTCTTTATCTTTGTCTGGATTGAACAGAAGTTACTATGTCTAAAATTTTCCCTGGGAGATTTGGAGTTCTTTATTTGGGAGCATGAATGGCCTATATGGGATTAAGTGGCCTATTTATGAACTGGCATTCATCACATTCAACAAGATAGAATCATAAGGTGTGAATTCCTCTTGCTGCACCCAGTAGTGTGCACCTCTAGTCTCAGCTACTCTGGAGGTTGAGGTGGGAGGACAGCTTGACTCCAGGAGTTAGAGATCAGCCTGGGCAACATAGTAAGAGCGCTTCTTAAAAACTAAAAAGTTGAGATGGGTATGGTGGCACACATCTGTAATCCCCAGCACTCAGAGTAAGGCAAGAAGAATGGGAGTTGGACGCCAGCCTTGGCTATGTAGCAAGTGGGCTACACAGCAAGACCCTGTCTCAACACAAAGCATCACAAACCAAACCATAAAGAGGTCCATTGTATTGAATATGATGAATGCTTGTACTTCAGTTTTGCAAGTTAGAATCGTATCTCCGCTGGAAATGTGGTGCACACCCATACTCCTAGCCAACTCAGGAGGATCTGCCTCAAAAAACGAAGGACTAGTGGCCCTGAGTTTAATCCCAGCACTGCAAAAAAAAAAAAAAAAAAATCACACTTCTCTTCTTACTGCCTAGTATTACTGCTTTACTTTGGATCTGGCATATTCCCTGAAGTCCTATGTGCTGAAGACTTGGTCAACAGCCCATGGTACTATTGGGGGAAGATGTTAGGTCATTGGGGCCATGCTCTTGAAGGAGATATTAGGACCCCAATGCTGCCTCTCTTTGCCTGGCCACTATGACCAGCTTTCTCTGCCATGCATTCCCACCATGACGTACTGTGCTGCAACAGGGCCAAATGACTATGGAATGAAACATCCAAAACTGTGAGCCAAAATAAACCTTTTTTCCTAAGTTGATGGTCTCAGATGTCTTTGTCTCAATAATAGAAAGCTGGTTAGCACAATTACGTTAAATTTTGTAGTAACTTCTTCCTAAAATGATATAGCTGACACTGCTTCTGTTAGCCTGTTTCTCTAAGTGTTCAGATGTGTTTTATGTAATTTCAGTGTTCAAATTTACAGAAAAGAAGTCAAAGTGGTGCAAAGAATTGCTGTGCATCTACCTAGACTCCAGGATGCTCATGGTTTACCACATGCTTTTTTGTTCTCTGCTTTTTCTGAATTAATTGAGAGTTGTAGTCATGCAGCATTACCCCTAAAACTACCTTCTGTGCTTTTTTTTTTTTTTTTGAGACAAGGTCTTTTGCTATGTGAGCCAGGTTAGCCTCAAACTCACAATCCTCATACCTCCACCTCCAGAGTGCTGTGGGATTACAGATGTGCCAACACGTACAGTTTGTGATATTATCAACCAGATGTGGTACACACCTGTAATCCAAGCACTCTGGAGGCTGAGGTAAGTGGATCACAAGCTCCAGGCTAGCCTGGGCTGTATAGGGAAACGCGATCTCAAAAGAACCAAAACAAAACAAAAGTTAAACATAGGGCAATGAAATAGAATAAAGAGGCCCAAAGTAAACACCGGTCAGATTCAAAACAAAACAAAGCCAGGTACCAGTGGCTCACACCTGCAATCCTAGCTTCTCAGGAGGCAGAGATCAAAAGGATTGCAGTTTGAAGCCAGCCCCTGGCAAATAGTTTGAGAGTCCCTATCTTAAAAAAAACCCATCACAAAAAAAAAAAGGTCTAGTGGAGTGGCTCATGGTGTAGGCTGAGTTCAAACCCTACCACTGCAAAAAAAAAACACGTGCTCTCACACAATCAAGCATTAGCATTGATGCAGTTAGTGCTATTAAATGATTGCCCTAATAGGCCTATAATGTTTTTCCAGTCCCCATCCATTGCACTTAATTCCTGTCAGCCCCGCTCCATTTTTCTTGAAACTAGCCCAGGCTGTCCTAGAAGTACTGATCCTCCTGCCTCTGCCTCCCAAGTGCTGGGATTGGGCTGTCACTGAGGCCTCTATCCTGTTTCTTTGTTGTTGTTTTTGGCAGTATTGGGGCTTGAACTCAGGGCGTCATGTTTGCTAGGCAGGTGCTCTATCACTTGATCCACTCTGCCGGCCCTTTTTTATGTGTGTTGGGTATTTTTGAGATTTAGGGTCTCATAAACTATTTGCCCATTTTGGCTTTGAACTGAAATCTGATTTCGCCTCCTGAATTGGTAGATTTACAGGCGTGAACCAGTGGTTCCTGGCTTACCTGTTTGTTTAGTTGTCTTAGATTTATAGGACTTCAGCCTTTGTCTTTTATGACCTTGGCATTCCCTTGTCTTCACACTGGTGTTTGAGTAAGGACTAATCACTGGAGCCGTGCCTCCACCACATTTGCTTTCAGTTTGTTTTTCAGGTTGTGTCTTCCATTTTTGCCTGGACCAGTCTGAGATTGAGATCCTGCCACCTTCACCTTCTGAGTAAGCAGGGCCGCAGGCATGCGTCACCACACCCAGCATCTGTGTGGCACTAGGGTTGAATCCTAGCACACTTGCTAGGCACTTGGTCTCCCATGTGAACCACTCTGGCAGCTGTCTTTGGCACTTTTGACTTTGTCAGCTGTTTTGGAGAATATCCTCACCTTGGGATTGTGCCACTTTGTCATGATCAGAGTAGGTCTTGCTGTAGCTGTGCTGCTTTCATGTACCTGTTAACTTTTTTCTATTTTTTTAAATGGTATGGGGATCAAACCCAGGGCCTCATGAGTGCTAGGCAGATGCTCACAACTGAGCAACTACCCAGCCTATTATAAAAATTTGTTGTTTGGTTTTGGTTTTTGAGACAAGGTTTTGCTTTGTAGCCTAGGCTGGCCCCAAACTCATGATTCTCCTGCCTTAGCCTCCAAAGTGCTGGGATTACAGGCCTGTGCCACCATGTCTGACTTCAGCTAACTTTTTTTTTTTTTTGGCAGTACTGGGGTTTGAACTCAGGGCCTACACCTTGAGCCACTCTACCAGCCCTTTTTTGTGAAGGTTTTTTTTTGAGATAGGGTCTCACAAACTATTTGCCCAGGGCTGGCTTCAAACTATGTTCCTCCTGATCTTTGCCTCCTAAGTAGCTAGAATTGCAGGTGTGAGCCACCAGCAACTGGCAACATTTCTGTATTATAAAAATACTGCAGTTGCCAGCTGTGGTTGTGCACACCTATAATTCCAGCACTGTGGAGGCTGAGGCAGGAAGATCTCAAGTTCAAAACCAGACTGGCCTACAGACTGTTTCAGACCAGCTTGGGCTGCATAGCAAGAACCTGACTCAAAAGAAAAAAAGTCTACAGTAAATATCCTTGTGACTAAACCTCATGTGTGTCTAAGGTTACTCCCTCAGGCCACATCCCTCAAAGTAACCTCACTGAGCCAAAGGTGTGAGTGCTATTCCACTGGAAGGCACTTCTCATGGGATTGAGCCTCCCGACTGCTCAGTGCTGGGGATAGCATTCCTATGCTCTGCACTTAGTCTCTCCCTTTTGCAATCTTGATAAAAGTTAAAATTAACATCAACCCTTCCTTTGTATAAAAACTACAGGAAGCACCATTCCATGTTCAAATGGGTCCAGGTCACGGGATTGTCTTTCAACAGAATGTTACAAAGAGCAAAAAAAGAGGCTTGCTAAGGGTTGAACGATTGTGTCCTCCCAAAATGCTAATGTGGAACTGTTGGCTCCCAAGAACATAGTATAGGAGGTGGCCTTTGGGAGGTGATTGTATTACTGTTTAAGGAAAGAACCAGTGTCACTAGACACCAAATCTGCAGAACTGTGCACTTATAATAAGTTTTGGGGTTTTTTGTTTGTTTTTTTAAATTTTTATTTTTTGGGTTTTTTTTTTTGTTGTTGTTAATTGTTTTGTAATACAAATTTAGGTTAGATCGACATGAGTCCACAAGACAAATTTCAAAGTAGGAGGGGTCATAAAAAGCTTTGGGAAGATTCACACTTGGAGCTCAGCTGCTGTAAATCTGGGAGTTGGTATGCAGGTCTTGGCTCATGGCCCAGGCTCATCTAGGTATAGGACTATGAACCTGAAGAGCCAGCCTGGGACACTCCTGGGCAGACTGAGCCACCTGTGCTTGCATGGAAGGCCCAGCAGAATTCCCTCCCATAAACAGAGGGACTGATCAACTGCTGCTGGAGTCACTTTGGGATGTTTGCCCAGAGCAGTAGAGACCTGGAGTAGACGGGATAATGGAACTGCAGTTGTTTACCAAACTAGAGCACAGATTTGCTTCCAAGGTGTACATTTGCAGAGAAAGTGGGGGCCTGAAGGAGACAACTGGGCCCTGTTGAAGAGGGTGGTGGGTTCACAGGGTTCGTAATGCCGTATTTCTACCTTGGTGTATGCAGCAGCCTCCTGCCGCTCCCACACCACCTGCACAGGTCTGTGTGGCCAGCAGAGCAGGACGTGAAGATGGTCTTCTGGGACTTGGTTATGAAGTTGCCCTGGCTCCATCTTGAGCAATTGTCTTCTCTCTGTTCTGAGGCCTCTCGAGGGAAGCTACTGCTGTGTTCTCAAATTCACCTTATGGGAAGGCCAGCAGCCTGGGTGCAGAAACTGAGTCCTCAGGAAGGAAATGTAGGCTTTTGCGACAGCCAAGATCAGACGCCCCAGTGAGGCCCTGGAAGCCACTCCTGATCCCAGAACTCAGAACCCCGTGGTGCCTGGAACTGCTAAATCTCAAGAGTTCATTTTCACATAGCAATAAATTGCGAAGGAAACGTTTGAAGTTTTGTGTAGTGAAGTTTTGAGGGTGTATTTTTAAGCACTTGATTTATGTGAAAGCAGTTCTTTCTTCAGAATGGAGGCGTCAGAAGCCACTGGGGACATTTCACACCGATGCAGAAAGCTCTGCTTAGGGACCGTGCACTTGCCTCCACCGTGCGAGTCACACAAGAATATCCACAGACCCCTCCAGACCAGACCAGTAGCTCCCAGTACGTCCTGTCGCCACTGTGCCCTGCCGTGTGCACCTCAAGACGGACTGAAGCAGTCGTGCGCGCTCGAGGGCGCCTTCCCGAGGGTGTGCGGGAGCGCAGAGAAGCCCGTCCGTTGTTCAGGGGACGATGCAGCTGGAGGGAGACTTCGGGCTGGCCCACATACCCGAGCTCAGTGCCGACAGCCGCAGCCACGCACGGCTGCACAGGCGGCCGGCCGGGCAGGGCGCACAGAGCCGACAGCACGCGGAGACTGCCACACCCACGAGGGTTGCCCTGTCTACAAGAGCCGGACCCCTACGCGGCCGGCGCCGACACCAGGGGCCCGGGACAAAGGGACAAATCCTCGGCAAAGCAGTCTGGGGACCGCCCGCGAAGAGGCCGCGGAGCGCCCGTGAGCGGGGCCATCGGGCCCGAGCGCTGCTGCCCTGGTAAGGGACGGGACGAGCTTGATTTACAAACACGATCACGGGAGGCGCTAGCTGGGCCCGGTGATGCTGCGAGCCCACGAGGCCGGCCGCAAGATGGCGGTGGCGCCCGGGGCCGCCCCTCCCACCGCGCATGCGCGAGCCGACCCCGCCCGAAGAGCGGAAGTCGCGTGACCCCGGAAGTGACCGTCCGGGCGGCGGGCGGCCGACGACGTTCGTCATTTGGTGCGGGAGGGAGCGCGAGCGCGGCGGTCGAGCCTCCGGTGAGTGGCGGGGCAGCGCGCGGCGAGGGGAGGGGGCCACCTTTGTGCGGCTGAGCCGGGCCTCCGCGGGTCTCGCGGGGCGGGGCGCGGTCACGGCGGCGGCCGCCGGGCGGGCGGGGCGCGGGCGGGGCGGCGGGGCGGGCCGGGGGCGCAGCGCTGGCCCCGCCCGAGTGGGCGCCTCTTCCCGAGCTGTGATGCCTGGGCTGGGGGCTCGGCCGATCTCCCCCTCCGCGGGTCGTTCGGCCGGGGGTCTGGGGTGGGGACCGACCCTCACCTCCGGTCGTCCGGCCCCGCCCAGCCCGGATTGCGGGCCCTGCGGAAGCGCGGGCCGCGCCCGGGATGCTTTCGCCTGTAGACACGCGCGAACGGCGTCGGGCGGGGCGCTTACAAGGAGCGGCCGCCTGGACTGGCTTGCGGGCCACCTCGGGTCTCGGAGGCCCGAAAGCCTGGCGCTTTTGGTTGGGCGCCTCCCCGGGCCTGCGGAGAAAGCGCTGGTGTCGTCCGGCGGGCTGTGCTCCACCGTTACCACCGCGCGGAGATACCCGAATGCGTTTCCGGGCACCCCTCGGGAACCCAGGGAGCTGATGGGGCAGCGGAGGTGGAGGGAAGCCCTGCGGGGAAGAACCAACCGGGCTTGGTCACTACTGGGTGGGCACCGCCCTAGGCGCTCTTGGGCCAGGGCCCAGAAAGAGGATCCTGAGAGTGCTGAGCGTCAGCTCTCAAGTTGTAGCCACAGACCCTCACAAGTGAGGACAGCTCTGGCACACATAGGTTCCCCCGTGCCCCTCTGAAGCGCTGTAGGATTCAGACGATCCCGGGAAGGCTGGCTTAGGAGAGCTTTGCCTGGAAGAGCAGTAGAAGACGCTTCCTCTGCACGTGGGGAGGACGCGAAACATCCTTCCTTAAAGGGACCTATATCTGTGGCCCAGAAGGGCCCTAGAGATTGAGCGTGGGCCTTGCCAGATTGGGGGCTACTGCCTCTTTGAGGGAAGTAGAGAGCTGTGCCCTGCCTCCCTGAGGAACAGGCTGTGGTCCCCAGTTATTTCTTGGGCACCATACCTGAGGTGGGCAGGGGCAGCAGCCAGGGCATCTCAGGAACCCACCTTCAGAACTGGAGACTTGGCTCAAGTAGTAGAGCACCTTCTTTGCAAGCGTACAGCCCTGAGTTCAAACCCCAGTTCTGCTTTAAAAAAAAAAGAAAAAGCCATTCCTGCCCAGAAACTGCACCTCCCTGTGCCTCCTCCTTCCTCCTTCGGTACAACCTGCTGGTAGCTGGGTTCTCACTGCGAGGTGGTTGTGGTTGGCCCCAGGCTGTCATAGCCCTGCCCCACCAACAGGTGTCCCAGGCTAGAGGTGAGAATGGCTGAACAGGAGCCCACAGCGGAGCAGCTAGCCCAGATTGCTGCTGAGAATGAGGAGGACGAGCACTCCGTCAACTACAAGCCCCCTGCCCAGAAGAGCATCCAGGAAATCCAGGAGCTGGACAAGGACGACGAGAGTCTGCGCAAGTACAAGGAGGCTCTGCTGGGCCGTGTAGCAGTCTCTGCTGGTGAGTAGGCTAGGCAGCAGGGAGTCAGGCAACCCTGAGCTCACTCTGGGAGCTGGTGAGCTCAGTTGCTGAGACACCTGTCACTCTCAGTTTCTTCCCCTGTTCCAGGGCCCCTCCCCCTCTGGCTGTGTTGTGGGAAGTCTCATGGGGTGGGGCTCTAACAGACTGTCACTCCCTAGACCCCAACGTTCCCAACGTCATCGTGACCCGCCTGACTTTGGTGTGCAGCACCTCCCCAGGGCCCCTGGAACTGGACTTGACAGGTGAGTTTGTGTGAGGGTCCCTAGGTGGGGCCAGCTGACACCCTACTGCTACCCCTAAAAATGATTTCCTGGGACACTGGCACTCTCTGGTGAGGTGGACAAAAAGTGCAGCCAGGTGGTGTTGAAGGCTCTGCTTTGTGCTGAGGAGGGGTTGGGTGCACTGAGTGTGGGAGTGGCAGGCCTCCAGGCAGCCAACTGAGTCTTCTCCATAACGTAGGTGATCTGGAGAGCTTCAAGAAGCAGTCATTCGTGCTGAAGGAAGGGGTGGAATACCGGATAAAAATCTCCTTTCGGGTAAGGTTCAGGAGACCTTGGGTGAGAGGAGTAGGGTGTGGGGGTGCTGGCTGACTTGCCCTCTTCCTCACAGGTGAACAGAGAGATCGTGTCAGGCATGAAGTACATCCAGCACACATACAGGAAAGGTGTCAAAAGTGAGTGGAGGGTGGGGAATGGAAAGCCTGTGGTCTTCTAGGAGGGACAGCAGCACCAGTGACCATGCCCTTCCTGTGTCTCACAGTTGACAAAACTGACTACATGGTGGGGAGCTATGGGCCCCGGGCAGAGGAGTACGAGTTTCTGACGCCCATGGAGGAGGCGCCCAAGGGCATGCTGGCTCGGGGCAGCTACAACATCAAGTCCCGCTTTACAGACGATGACAAGACTGACCACCTGTCCTGGGAGTGGAATCTCACCATCAAAAAGGAGTGGAAGGACTGAGCCCCAGAGGGGGAGGTGGGCAGGGCGACGGACAGACAGAAGGACCGATGGGCCCCACCCCACACCCCTCCCCACCCCAAACCAAAGTGCTGACAGGGCCCTTCCCCACCACCACTTCTTCCTGGTCCACCTCTGGGGCAGCTCCTCTGCCTGCCACTCCTCCATCCTCCTGCCTGCAGGCCCCTGTGGTCTCTAGTGTCACCTTGCTGCTTCTGCCTGTGCAGTTGGGGAGGGGGTCCGGCCTAGAACCCCACCCCTATCTGTGTCCCTTCAGGTTCCCTCTGCTTACCCTTTCCCAGGCCCTGGCTGGGCCCTGGCTCCTAGAAGGGAGTGGAGCACTGTCCAGGTTGCCCAGCCCATGTTGTCTGCCCTGGCTGAGCCAGGAGCACACAGTGCAGGGTCCAGGCCAGGCTGTCCTCCAGCCCCACCACTCTCTGGCCAATTCATGTATCGCTGTCAGTCACTGTCTAACCATGATGCCTTAACATGTGGAACGTGTACTGGGGCCGTCGCTAACTCTTAACTCCCCATCTGCATGAGCATGGTCTCCCCTGTCCTTGCCCTGTCTGCCATCCCTATCCCAGTGACCTGGGGAGGCCTGGGGTGTGCTGCTATTGCAGGCCTGGTCAGCCCCTTCCCTTCCCCCTGGCCAGGGCTGGGGACGGCTCTAGTGGCTAGGGAAGGGTCAGATTGCCAAAACCCAATGCCTCCAGCCCCATCTGGGAGGCAGGTGTCCTCACATCTCTGCATTCTCTGTCCCAGTGGGCAGTGCTCAGCCCCATTCCCCACAGAGAGCCCCCAAGGGACAAAGCCAGCAGCCGAGCCTTACTTGTCTCACCTGGGCCCCATGGCCTAGAACCTCGTGCCTGGCCTGTCAGTATTTATTGCCTCCATTTGTGCCGTCCTCTGGGCCGGCTGGCCTGCCTGCCACCTCTGCCCTGGCTCAGTGCCACCATCCCTGGGCAGGCCCTCCCCGGACCCAACCAGGACAAATGTGGGACCAAGTGCACACACAGTTGGGAGCTGTCTCCTGTGCCTCCCCTCCCTGTCCCCGGTCCCTGTGTGGTGTCTGCCAGGTCCAGGCCTTGATAAGCAGACAAGCCTGCCCCTGCTTCTCTTCTGATTGGGAAATAAATGCCCCTGAAAGAGCCTGGGGGTCTTTGTTTTGCTTTGGGGGTCTGGAAGAGGTAGTTGGACTCCAGTTGTGGGGAAGGGGAGTAGAGGCCTCTTGGGTTAGGTCTTTGCTAGCTGGGGAGTGAGATCCGCTGCTCCCCAGCTCTGGTACCTTTGTTGCTGCCTTGCTGTGGCTGTTCAGTGGGAAAGGAATCTTAAAAAAAAAAACCCTGGGGAGGATTATATGCAGAACTTGCAGGAAGTTAGAATGATGAGGCAGGAGTCACAGTGTTGACCCTAGACCTTGGCCTTCAGGATATGGACCAATGTAAAGATACTGCTGCTCAGGAGTGATGTGTGGCCTTGGCTAGCATCCCCAGCCTGCCTCGCCTTGGGGTATGACTTCTAGTGTCCACTGGGATGCTGAATGCTGCCCACAGGTGTGTGTGATCTAGGCAGTTGACAAACACCCAACTCTACACAACGGGAACCTGGCTGGAGAGTTAGGGTCCTTGTCACACAAGTAATAAGCAATGTCTGGTCCCAGGGAGTGCCCAACCCCTAGATGTGGGTCATCCTAGGAAAAGGAATAGCCCATGTTTCATGTTGGAGAGGCTCAGGCTGGGGCAGGAAGTTGATAGTTGGAAAGCCCCCGACTGGATGGGGTTTCCAAGAGCGGAGTGGAGGGGGAGGGAGGATGGTAAAATACCAGACCGTGATACCATGTGGAGGTGCGGGAGAGCTGATAGGAACCCTACAGATCACAGTGGTATCAGATCTCACCCAGTGCCCATGTCTCCAGTGACTAACCTCTAGGGACTAGGATGGACTCAGCACCTCCAAAGTTGCAGCCAGTAACTTCAAGCCCACGTCCCACCCAGCTGCTCTGGACAAGGAGGGATGGACAATAACCAGAGTACCAGGCAGGAGAAGCCACTGCAGAAACTCCTGACCTGGTGCCAGCTTCTGCAGCCCAGGCTGCTTAGGAAAGCATGTCTATTCCACACTTAGGCAGCTGGAGGGGGGCTGCTGCTGCCAGAGAGCCCTCCTGGTTATGCCTGTATGGGCTCACCACCGTCCTGGTGCTGAGCACTGGGGTGAGCCCAGCTGGGAACTGGCCAGCTGGTCCAGAGGGTCCCTTCTTACCATCACACACCCACCCATTCAGAGCAGCTCCATCAGGCCAGCAGCCACCTTAGCCATCCTTAGCAGGCCCTGTAAGACCCACAGAGAAACTAATTCTGACCCAGCCCTCTGCAGATGGCAGCCCTTTGCAGCAGCTGGTCCCTCACAGACCCAAGAGCAAAGACCCTATGTGACCTCTCCAGCTAAATTCAGCAGGCTTGGACATGGTGAGAGGCACTGCAGTTTTCCCACTCCTATCAGATTGACCACTTCTGCTGAGGAGGAATGGGGCAGCAACCCCAGGCCAATCAACTCTCCCAGCTCATTCTTAAAACGTTCTTTCTTCTCAGCAGCTGTTTTTTGGGTAAGGGCTTCTGAGGTTCTGGTTTGGCAAGAATCTTAATCTTTTCACTCTGGGATTTTCCTAGCCTGTTAGACATGTGAACTCAGACCTCAAGTGCCAAGTTGTGCAGGCATACTGCCAACAGGCAGGACTTTGCTCTGGCTCCTCCCCGCGCAGGCTAACATGAGATGGCACCTGCACCAGGTGCCATGAATGACGTGTCTCTCCAGTCCCAAGTCTAACCTAATCCTAATCCTCCCAGTGCCACCCTGACCTGTAGCCTGGTGTTCCTGAGCCTGGCCTCCCTGCTCTCATGAGCCAGTGCCCAGGGTCCTCTCTGCTCACCTCTCTCTGTGGTTCCCAGGAATCCCCAACATCCACCTCCTCCACCACCCCAAGATGGGCCCTTCTCACACAATAAGAGTGACAGGTTATAGCTAGTGCCAGTTGGTGACAGGTTGGGGTCTGTGATGTAGTGGTGAACTAATCACCAGCTACAATAATTTACGAGAATCTTCTCCAGCCCAGCACCATCCTGCACTAAATAAGCCTGCTTCAGAGCCCACAGGCACTGCTGTTTCAAACTGTTCTCACCTGTACGCCCTCCGCACAGCCCTTACCGTCCACATACCTGCTGGCACAGTAGGACCTGCAGCCTGCAGCCTCAAGAGCCCGAACACCTTTGGTAAGACTGTGGGCTGAAAGGCAGGTGTTTTGTTTTGAGAATTCTGAGTAGTATTAATCAAAACATTTGCTTAGTTGGCATTTCAGCCTGTACTTAATGTGTAACTTCTCTGAGTGTGGGACTCCCTGAAGGATGTCCTGCAGCACTTCTCATGGCCCAGAGAAATGCCAAATGCTAGTCTGTCATAGGGTGGAACCTGGCCCCTAAAGGCATATTCCTTGCAGGGCATGGGCACTAAGGCAAACCGTGGAAGGAACAGGACAAGCCTTGGGAAACAGTCACACAGCAGCCATTCCGTCAGAGCTGAGACCAAGTTTTCAGATGACCCAGCCTACGCTCAAGGGGTGGAATGCACACCCGTGCACCTTATCCAGCTACCAAAGAACCCCAGACAGCCTGGGATTCTCTGGTATCTCCCTCTGGCTTCACAAGAACCAACTTTGCTGTGGGCCAGCAAAGGAAGTCAACATAGGAAGGGCAGAAGTGCCTGGAAAAGAGCCAGAATAGCCGCCCATGAATTCAAGGTACTGTGGTTATCCAGGGTACAGTGCTGTGAGACCCAGGTTTTCACAGATTAGCTTGGCTGGTGCCAACACATCAACACGCCCCATCCCCAAGGTGTTTAACTGCGCCCACTCCCGCACAGTGGCCACTGGCTGCCCAGAGCCATGTGAGACTCAAGCACAGCTGCTTGGATCCATCTGCTCTGTGCACCTGGATGGAGTGTTCTCTGCTTGGTCCTGGAGTCTTTTTTTTTTTTTTTTTTCCTGGCTATACTGAGGCAGAACTCAGGGTCTCTAACTGCGATCCTCCTGATCTCTGCCTCCTGAGTAGCTAGGATTACAGGAGTGAGCCACCAGTGCCCAGCTGGTCCTGGTGTCTTAGTTGTCTGTGAACTTTTCTTCATACTTTGCTGTATATTCTAGGGCGAGGCTGCCTTCAAGCCATCACACTCTGGTATCCCAAATCCCTCTGCTCTGCCCCCCCTCCTTGAGTGGACAAAACACATGCCCCAATATTTAGGCACCTAAACTTTGAAACAACTCTATACCCAGAGGTGGCTCGTCTTTTGTCTTGGGCCCCAAACTGTGGCTTGTAAAACAGGTCAAGGGCAACCAAAGATAGCTGGGAGATAGTGCAGCAGAACTAGAGCGACCTCCACCAGACCAGAGACCAGTTCAGCGAGCAAGCGCCTGGCCAAGGGCCTGCTGAGGTGGGAAGGAGGCCAGTATCCCGGCGGGGCCCTCGAAGGGCACACTCGTTCATAGCTGTCCTGGGCCTGTTAAGGGCACCCCCGGGAAGCAGGAAAGTCTCCCAGCAGCCACAGCCGGCATCTGTGGCCTTTGTTCGACCGCGCAGGCGTGGGGCGGGCACAGGGCACTGGTCCCGGAGGCGAGGACTCGAATCTCAGCTGAGATCCACTAGGAAAGGTGGGACATGTGCATGCGCCCAAGTACAAGGGGTCAACAAACTCAGGCACGAAAGCGATTTCCCCTGCGTTTTGCACATTTCGGAAAACACGACGCTGGGACAGTTTAACATGGGAGTAGGCGCTGTCTCCGGTGAGCTTTAACGCTCTCGGGTGCTTCTGCAAGCGGACGGACGCGCGAGGAACAGCGAGCGAAAGCGCGTCGAAGGGGCGGCGGCTTTGAGCAGCGGGAAGGGGAGGGCGGGCGGCTCTGCAGTGAAGAGCTCAACAGCCTGAACGTGAGCTGCTCCGTAAATCCAGAGCTTCTCGCAGCTACGGAAAAGAGCACTGACTTAGTTCAGTGCACGTCAAGTGCCATTTCCACTTGAAGCCAGTAGGAAGAGCCATTAAATAGGCACTGCTCATCCTCCATGCCCCGACCCCCGGCTCCCAGGGCGCGCACTGCACCCCACGGGGCTCTCGGGCGCAGCCTCCCCGCGCACAGGGGCCTCGGCCTCGCCATGGAGGAAGCGAGGGTCTTGGAATGCGCTCCGACAACCAGAGCCAGAAACGGTACCAAGCAGGGCGGCTCGCGCCTGCGGAACGCGACACCCGCTCGCTGGCGTTGGCCGCGAACGCCACGCTAGTCCCTCGGGGTGCCCACCTCCCGGGCGTACTCCCTAACTGGCGCGGCCGCCACTGTGCAGCCAGCACTTCGGACGGCGCTTCAACAGGACCCGCGACACCGAGTTCCAGCTCCCGGGCAGGCGCAGCACGAGCCGCACGCGCGCCGGAAGTTGCGTCCCTTCAGTTTCCGATCAGAGCAAACGGGGGCGGTGCCAGTTACGGATACGCGGTCCAGTCAGAATGCAACACGAGGGGTTTCGGGGGCGCAGGCGTAGCCCCGCCCCCCAATCGGGGACACCGCTCCACTGCCACGTTCCACAAAGGAACGCGCAGGGTGCGCGCACCTCTTAGCCAATCAGGAGCCAGAGAGTCCGGGCAGCCGAAAGCAACAACCATTCCAGAGCCACCGAAGGTGTGGGAAAAAATTCACCAGTGAGAAGTCGAGGGAGAGAAAGTTCTCCTCCAGGAGCCAATCACAGACTGGGGAAAAGAGTGAGCGCGAGCATGCTAGCCAATCCTGGGCTAGACAAGGGAGGCCCCCTCGCGGCGTTTCCGACTCCAGGGCCGGCCCTAGCAAGGGTATCCAATCCGAGCGCAGCGAGGATGGACGCCACAGCCAGCTGCCCAATCGGAGGGCGGCGGACGGCGCGTGCGCGCGAAGGCGGTGCTCGAGCTGGGGTGGGGGACAGGCGCGCTCCCGGTGCAGGATTTATAAAGGCGAGGCCGGGACCGGTGCGCGCTCTCGTCGCCTTGGCTGTCCCGGCGGCGCCGACCGAAGCGCCCCGCCCGCTGCAGGCTTCCGACATGCTTAGCCGCGCTCTGCTGTTCCTGGCCCTGGCCGTGGCGGCCCGGGTGGGTGCCGACGTCCCCGAGGAGGAGGACAATGTCCTGGTGTTGAAGAAGAGCAACTTCGCGGAGGCGCTGGCGGCGCACAAGTACCTGCTGGTGGAGTTCTGTGAGTGCGCCCCGGGGCCTGGCCGGCCGGCCGGGCGGGCTGGGCTGGGCTGGGCGCTGCTTCGCCGGCCCCCGGGCTGCCGTCGGGGTCTCCCGGCACTGCCCGCGCGTCCGGGCCCTGGCGTCCGGGCGCCTCGCGGCCCGCATGTCCCGGCTGGCCCCGCAGAGGACGGCCTGCCCCGTCCCGGGCCGCGACTTGCTGGGCGCCCCGACTGTCAGCGTTGGCGCTCCCAGCCTCGCGCCGGGCATCCTTCCTGCCCGCGCTGGACGCCGTGGTGTCCAGGGCTCCTTGAGAGTGGCGGCCGGGCTGGGAGCCAGGAAGGTGTCTTTGTGCCCGACGTCCGCATGGCACGAGCCCTGCTAGCCAGGAAACACAGGATGCACTTGTGCGAGCCTCGGCAAAGTCAGGGCAGCTGGCCGAGAAATGCCCTGTCCTGCCCGCGCCCCCAGGCCTCCATGGCTCCCCACCACGTAGAGGTCCCTCTGCCCTGGGACGCTTACGGCCGACACACCTGCTGTCTGGGTTGACAGATTGTCAGTTCCCACGCTGGAGAGCAGCCTAGGTGTGCACACATCGTTAGCACAGGGCTGGGCCAGCGACCTCTTGACCTACCCCGGATTTGGTTATTGATTTATTGATTCACTTTTTGCACCACTGGGGTTTGAACTCCTGGCCTTTGCACTTGCCAGGCAAGCGCTCTACCACTTGAGCCACACCCCCAACCCCTTCCCGGGATTCTTAAAGGGAAATCCTAGAGAAACACTGACCCCGGTTGCCTGCATTACAGGACTTGTCTTCTTGTATTGCTGGCGACTGGGCAGAGTAGGGGGTTGGTGTTCGTTTGGCACTCGTGGCCTCTGTACCGGTATTGCCCAAGAGCACCAGCTATCAGCCCAGTCTCGTGTGTGCATCAAGGGGTTATCTTGGTGTGCTGATAAGGTTTTTATGAAGGGAGGACAAAGGAGAAGGAAGGGGAAGCAGTGGGTCTGAATCAAGAACTGCTTTCCAGCGTCCTGCTTTCTTTTTCAGATGCCCCTTGGTGTGGCCACTGCAAAGCTCTGGCTCCTGAATATGCCAAAGCAGCTGGGAAGTTGAAGGCAGAAGGTTCAGAGATTCGACTGGCAAAGGTGGATGCTACTGAAGAGTCTGACCTGGCCCAGCAGTATGGCGTCCGTGGCTATCCTACAATCAAGTTCTTCAAGAATGGAGACACGGCCTCCCCCAAGGAGTACACAGGTGTGACTGCAGCACTACCCTTTAATTGTCTTTGCTGAGGGATTTGCCTGCAGGCTTTCAAAGCTAACCTAACTGAAAGCTCAGCCTGTGGTGTGTACGAGAGGTGGGGATCCTTTGCTCGACTGGGTTCTCCATCTACTTCCACACCTGAAGGTCCTATGAGGAAGGTTCTGTCCCTGATAAAGTTGCTCTTGGATCGTGAGAGCTTTGTCTGCAGTGACATCCTTGGTGGTCTCTGTCTGAGGCTTGTCTGATGACTGATCAGTGAGGAGAAGGACCATGCCACTCTGACCACACAGGGCTCCCAGCCATCAGAGCTTCCAGGAGCAACAGTGTAGCCATAATACTTAGGCGATGCTTGCCAACTATCACTTGCAGTATGTCAGCACCAAACCAAGCACTCCTCTGATTCTCACTGCACCACTCCATAAGGGCAGCCTGTCACCAGCACAGCATCACAGCTGGCAGCCACAGACCACAAATTCAAGCCCCAGCCACTTTTAAAGCAGTTTTCATGGAGGTTAGACAATGTAGGCAAGCCAGTCACTGGGGACAAAAGAAGACTTTTTTTTTTTTTTTTGCACAACTGGGGTTTGAACTCAACTTCACGCTTGCCAAGTAGGTGCTCTACTGCTGAAGTTTCACCTCTGGTTCATTTTCCTCTGGTTGTTTTGGAGATGGTCTCACAAACTATGCTTGGGCTGGTCTCAAACCATGATCCTCCTGATCTCAGCCTCCCAAGTAGCTAAGATTACAGGCGTAAGCCACTGGTACCTATCAAAAAAAGACTCTTGTGTCTCTAAAAATCAGGTCTGTGGATCTTCTGTCAGACCCATGTGGTGGGCAGTCTGAAACCAGCTTGTCCAGTATTAATGAAATGTCCCCTTAAGCAGTCTCATCTTGTTCATTGTCAGCTACTCTGGTCACCTCATTAGGCTATCTGATCTCTACTTTTTATTTGTGTTATTTGTGTTTACTGTTAGAATGGAGAGGGTGTTATCCGCAGTTACTGTGGTTTTCCACTAATTCCTGGGTCTTGTAGATGAGATGACTGTTTCTCAGTCTCTTGTAACTGGCAACTCAGCTTTTCCTTGCCATTGAGCGCAGAATCCTGATAAATTAAATGGGCAGCTTGGCCCTGGTCAGCCCAGGTAGTCCAGCACAGGAGAGGAAAGAGTGGCTTCACTATCCTGCACCTTGACAGAGAGCAGTCTTTCTCTTCGTCATTGTGTCTGCTTTAGGTGGTATACATCTTGGGCTGGTGGAGTGGCTCAAGTGGTAGAGCACCTGCCTAGTGTGAGGCCCTGAGTTCAACCCCAGAACCACCAAAAAAAGTGCCATCTTTCTCTGGTTCTTACTGGTCTGAGAGGTGGATAGGGCAGGCCCTGGACAGGAACACCTGGCCCACATGAGGGTGTCAGGCAGGGTCAGGTTGAGCGTTTTTTAAGGTGGCAGAACTGGCACTGAGGCTCACTAACCCCATTTCTATAGGCCTCCCCTGGTGTGAGGGCATTGTGGGAGAAGGTGGGTGTGAGTTTAATGAAATTTAGAAAATACAGAGGGATTACTGGAGAAACTTGGTTTGTAATCTTCTCTCTCCCAGAGGAGACCACTTTTCCCTTCTAAAGCACAGCTGTAACCTTGTGCTGGAAGCAGGAAGTGAGTAGCCAGGCTCAGGGCTTCCCTGTATGGACACATCTTGCTCTAAGGGTCTTCAGCTCACTGGGCAGAGCTCAGATGAATGGGCCAGGCAGGGAGGGCGGCACCATTTCATAGGAAAATCTGCATTTGTTTGGGGTGTAGCTGGCAGAGAAGCTGACGACATTGTGAACTGGCTGAAGAAGCGCACAGGCCCCGCTGCCACCACCCTGTCTGATGCTGCAGCTGCTGAGTCCTTGGTGGAGTCCAACGAGGTGGCTGTCATTGGCTTCTTTAAGGTAAACTTTCGAGCTCCATGTCTCTTTTCCTTCTTGAGGGAGGATCCCAACACCTGGGCACCATGATGTCTGCTTGCTGTTGTGCTGGGTGGCCTCTTCAGTGTTGGGGTGTGTGGTCACCTCTTGATTTCCTTCTTCTAGGACGTGGAGTCAGACTTTGCCAAGCAGTTCTTGCTGGCAGCAGAGGCCATTGATGACATACCGTTTGGGATCACATCCAACAGTGATGTGTTCTCCAAATACCAGCTCAACAAAGATGGGGTAGTCCTCTTGAAGAAGGTGAGTGACCCTGGGTAGCTCCTCCCGGGGCAATTCAGGTGTTGGTCTGCAGGGGTAGTGTTGCTTTCTTGATTGCTAAGAGAACCTTGCCTCAGAACTGGGCTGATGATGTGGTTATGAAGGTTATGAAGGGTCCTGGTTCTGCCTTCTCAGAGACATATTGCGGCAGCCATTTCACACTGTGGTCTTTGGACATTGGAGAGCAGGACTATTGCCCAGCTTCCTGTGGCAGTCAACATTCTGGGTCTCCTGAAAGATACAGGGTGTTGCTTTTGACTAGTAGGGATTTTTTTTTTTTTTTTAATTCTTTTTCAGTACTGGGGTTTGAACTCAGGGTCTACAACTTTAGCCACTCCACCAGCCCTTTTTTTGTGTTGGGTTTTTTGAAATAGGATTTTGTGAACTACTTGCCTGGGGCTGGCTTCGAATTGTGATCCTCCTGATCACCACCTCTTAAGTAGCTAGGATTACAGGTGTGAGCCACCAGCACCCAGCCAACGAATAGCTTTTTGTTTGATAAATTTTGTATTTGGGATTTGAACACAGGGCTTCTTGCTTGGGAGGCAGGTAATCTACCATTTAAGCCATGCTTTCAGCCCAGCTTTTTACTTTAAACTGTGGTAAGACACATAGAACAGTTGGCCTTTTAAGTGTCTAATTTGGTGGCATTAGTTACATTCACAGCACTGTGAATGTAATATGTCCTATTTTCAGGATTAGTCAATCTCCAGAACTCTTTCCTCACTCCACACAGCTTGCTTCCTCTGTGTATGTTCCCGCCTGCCTGGCAAAGCCACGCCTCCTGTGTCCCCCTTAAAACTGTTGCTGCTGGCCTGGCACCTTCCTCGTTAGAAGCAAGACTTCTCTTGCTTCTGCCTGTTACAGGGACACAGGAAGCGCTGTGCCTGTAGTGTTCCTGATGGGGCTCTTGGGTTTCTTTGGCTGCGCTGGTGCTTTTGGAGAATAACTGTACCAGATGTGTGTACTTGTAGGTTAAGGCCACCCACGTAACGAGAAATCCAGGAGAAAAGTAGAAAAAGTTCTGTGGAAGCAAAGACGAGCGAGTAGGGGTCGGGTGTGTCCTCAGTTGAGGGTAGACCTTCGAAGTGTTATCCCGTCCTATTTCCAGAAGGAGGAAGATTGCAGAGCAGAATGATACTAGACTGTAATCAGGAAGGTTGCAGTGTTTCTGACAGCAGACACTTGGTTTGGAAACCTTGTCCTCACACCTGAAGTCATTTTTTGTATTTTTCACCTCTGAAACTGCTTCCCAGGCAAGGGTCTGAGTGACACTGGGGCTAGAACTGTGACTCAAGCAGTAGAGTGCCTGGCCTACCAAGCACAAAGCCGGAGTTCAAATCCCAGTTTTGCCAAAAAGTAGAAAGGTTAAGGTGTAGGACCAGTTAGTGCTCTGTAGTAAGGCCTGAGCATCTGGCACTTCTGGGACTGGGAAGAGGGCAGGAAGCCTCTCCCAACAACTACTGGAGTATGAGTGAGTGTTCCGTGGCTTTCTGTGTCCTTGTTCTTGGCATTTTAAATAGGGGGGGTGGGGGCGCGGGCCGGGGGGGAGCGGGGCGCGCGGCGGCGGACGAGCGAGCGGGCGCTGAGCGAGCCCGCGTTGAGTCGGACGGGGACCGGAGGGTCCCCCGTGACGGTCGGAGGTGCCGGAGTCCCATTTTCCAACCCCATCCTCAGAACTCCAGCCACCTGACACTCCACTCATACAAGTGCTCATGTCTCCTAAAGGGAACAGAATTACTGAATTACCAATTGTCTTTGCACACATGCCTAGGGAATGTTAATTTGATGCCTGACTAGAAAAATCAGGAAGTACTGAGTTAAGCAGATAGCATAAAAGCTTTTTGGAATATTAGAAAATCACGAATCTCATTCTAAAGTTGAGGTTGTAAAGACATTTCCCTGAGTTCATCTACACCTGCCCTGTGTTTGGGTGACTGTCTTAACACGACATGGATGGTTTTGGTGATCGCAGATCCTTGGAGGTTAGAAGGATCATTTCTTGTTCTTTCCTTCAAAGAATGGAGTTCACAGTAGACTTGCTGTACAGGCTGTCGGTTTTTCTTGAGACAGTGTCTTCACTATGCTGCCCAGGGTGGCCTCAATCTCCTGGGTTTAAGCAATTGTCCTGCCTCAGCCTCCTGAGTAGCTGAGACTACAGGTGTGTGCTGCCATGCATGCCTTCTACGTGTGGGGTTTTTCTGCCTAGATTGTCTGGTGTCCATTCAGGGATGAGGCTGGTTAGTGGGTAGTACTTCCTCTTGCACTCAGAATGCTCACACATCCATGATGGTGAATTGCCACAGGGGCTCAGCAAAGCCATGGACTTGCTTACCAGTAGCTGTTTTGTAGGGTCAATAGGGTACACATCTGGAATCAGACAGAGGAGGATGACACTAGAGTCCATTTGGATCTCTGACTGCAGCTGTACCCACACTCCCTATTTCTCCACCAAATATATTTTCTCTGTCTTTGTTCCTCTTCCTTCAGGATGTTAAACGTCCTTCCACCAAGTGATCTGGGTTTTCCTGTCTGCCTGGGGACCGTTGGTGGCAGCATGACAGTGCCAGATACTTCCCCAGTGGGACCAGGCAGACCAGCCTGCTGCTTGCTTCTTTCCATCTTGGCTGGAGAGTGGTGGAGCGGCCAGGGCTGAGAAACAGAGCTGTAGTGCTAGGGCAGCCAGTCAGGGCCACTGGGTACAGTGTTTGGCCTATAGGATTCTGAGTTTATTTATTTTGATGTCTACTTCATTTTTTCTTTTTGGGAAGCTAGAGTGTGGGGCTAGGGGCCTTCCCACCAGCCTATAGTATCGGGCCTTTTCAGAAGTCTAACATAGTGGCCTGGCAGGACGCTGTTGGCTCATGGAAGAGACAGTGGTCTCTGTGTAAGGCTCACAGCCAGGCCACATACAGCTAAGTGGGAGCTATTTGTTTTTACCAAAGTAGACTGAACAAGTGCCATGTGGCCGGCCACATTACCAGGATTGCAGCCCAACACAGGTTTTCAGCTGTGTTCCTGGTTAGGGTGAGGCAGGCCAGACAGTACTTGGTGTTCTGACGGGAGCTCAGCATTTTACCTGGGGAAAGTAGGTCTGGGTCCTACTGAGTACCTGACTGGCAGCTGTTTAAATGACACTTTCAAAGGGCCTCCTGGCTTCACCTTTTACCCCGTTTTCCTCTCCACATTTGCTGATTTGGGGAAATGAAAGCCTCTACCCTTGGGACTCAGGTGGAGAGCATTGCACAGCACAGTGCTCTGCCTGGTTTGTGGGGTTTTTTTTGTTTTTGTTTTTGTTTTTTCTTTCTTAATTCACAACCAGGCCACATACAGCTAAGTGGGTACTTACTTAAAACTCTACCATGGAGTTGTATACCGGCTTCACCTGGATGTAACCTACCGTTGTGCTGGGAAGTGGTCGCCACTGGGCTCTACTCCCAGCCCAACCAATGTTTCTGTGGGGAACATAAAGGGAATTGGCCATTGTGGAAAGATATGTATAGTCAACTTACCACATCCTTTGATCTAACCAACCTGGATCAAAAATACTTAGCAGTAAGGCTGGGTACAGTGGCTCATGCCTATAATCCTAGGTAACCAGGAGGCATAGATTGGGAGGATGGCAATTTGAGGCCAGCCCAGGCAGAAAGTTAGTAAGACCCTACCTCAACAAAAAAGTAGGTGTAGCTGGGTACCCGTGGCTCACAACTGTAATCTTAGCGGGTTGGAAGGCAGAGATCAGGATTGCAGTTCAGAGCCAGCTCAGGAATAGTCTCAAAAATACCCAGTACAAAAAAGGGCTAGTGCAGTGGCTCAAGTGGTGGAGTGCCTGCCTGGCAAGTGTGTGAGTTCAAACCCTAGTACCACTAAAAAAAAAAAAAAGAGAGAAAGAAAGAAAAGCTGGTTGTGGTGGTAAAAATCTAATCCCAGCTCAGGAGGCATAAACAGAAGGATCAAGGTCTGAGGCTGGCCACAGGGGGAAAAAGGTGCAAGACTCTATCTAAAAAATAAGTAAAGAGAGTTGGAGCATGGCAAAAGCGGTAGAATGGTTGCCTACCAAGCACCAGGCTCTGGGTTCAAACTCCCAGTACCACCAAAAAAAAAACCTCAGAAATAAGCCGTGCTGGTGTGCACCTGTAATTCTAGCACTTGGGAGGTGGAGGCAAGAGGATTGTAAATTTGAGGCCAGCCTGAGCTATATAGTGTCTCAAAAAAGAAAAAAAAAAAGTACCTTTGGCCATGCAGATACTCTGAGAGGGTCTAGGGTCCCTGGTTTAAACACCATATTTTGTGACCTGCTGTTTTAAGAACTTGGAAATGAGGAAGGTAACATATAAAACCTGACCTCCTCCTCAACCCACAGCAGCTGGAGGCTCCTGTCTTGTGGGCAAAGGCAGTGTTACTTGTCACGTGCTCTGGTCTGCAGCAGGCCTCTACTTTGCTGCTTCATGTACTTGTATGGAGTGCATGGATCTCTGCAGTGACTTGGCCTGCCCTGGCTTGGCCTGATGGAGAGGCAGCAGTTTCCGGTGGGCTTGTAGGGATGGGATCCAGTCATACCTGTGACTGTCTGGCCACCCATACCCTTCAGTCAGAGCAGCTGAAGGACCATGAGCCACTGGGCTTGAGCTGTGGATGTGAAGCCAATTTGTAGACTTGCTGCTGGTTGAAAGGTGATAGCTAAGTCCAGCCTTGACAGTCAGAGAACAAGTGTGTTGGCCCCCATTGCTGGGACTCTCCTATGCTGTATTTGGCCAAGCCTGGGAACCTGTCCCGTGGCACTGACTCACAGCAGTAAAGCTCACAGCTCCCTTTCTGTCTACAGTTTGATGAAGGCCGGAACAACTTTGAGGGAGAGGTCACAAAAGAGAAGCTGTTGGACTTCATCAAGCACAACCAGCTGCCTCTTGTCATCGAGTTCACAGAGCAGGTGTGGCTCCTGCAACCCTGAGTGGGGGTGGACGGTGCGGCAGAGACCTCCAGCTCCGGCAGGAGGCCGGTCACCACTGTTTTTAGGTGTTCAGTGGTCTTGGGGCCACTGAGAAAATGCCACCAAAGCTTAGCTTGTGGCTCAGGCCCAGTAACTTCCATTTGTAACACAGACGGCCCCGAAGATCTTTGGAGGTGAAATCAAGACGCACATCCTGCTCTTCCTGCCCAAGAGTGTTTCTGACTACGATGGCAAACTGAGCAACTTCAAGAAAGCAGCCGAGGGCTTCAAGGGCAAGGTGGGCCACCTCGTCTCCAACCTTGCAGCGGAAATGGGGCTCATACCAGGAGGTAGAGGCCAAGCCCTCTACAGCTGCTTTCTTTGGGTGTGGGTGTTAGAGAGTCCATGAGGCTTTCCCTGCTGCTGCTTTGGTCAGGCACCCTGGGTCTGATATGGAGGAGAGTAGTTTCTTGGGCACAAGTTGCTTTTGGGTGGGAGCCTGTCTGGAGCCTGTCTCAATTTGCCTTTTCTTCCCCAAGATCCTGTTTATCTTCATCGACAGTGATCATGCTGACAACCAGCGCATCCTTGAGTTCTTCGGTCTGAAGAAGGAGGAGTGCCCAGCTGTGCGGCTCATTACCCTGGAGGAAGAGATGACCAAGTACAAGCCAGAGTCAGATGAACTTACGGCAGAGAAAATCACAGAGTTTTGCCACCGCTTCCTGGATGGCAAGATCAAGGTGCTCACCAGGCCTGGATTGTGCTGACCACAGTTAGTTTTACAGAGTAGAGAATTCACCCCTGGTCTCTGGGTTCTAGTGTCTCAGAACCTGAGCACAGAGCCCATGATAGTGTGAGGTTTCCATTCTTGTCATCTACCCTTGAGGACCATGGGAAGCCCTCTTGTTGAATTGTCTGTACAGTCATGTACCAAGGTAGCTTCAAGGTCATAAGGGCACTTCTCTGCACTTTCCATTGGCTGACCTTGCAGACTCAGTACTTTCTTGTTAGGTTCTTGGCAGCATCAGCTCTGGCAGTCTTGGGACAGCGCTGTCCCTAACCATGGTTTCTCTGCCTTCCAGCCCCACCTGATGAGCCAGGAACTGCCTGAAGACTGGGACAAGCAGCCTGTCAAAGTGCTGGTTGGGAAAAACTTTGAAGAGGTTGCTTTTGATGAGAAAAAGAATGTCTTTGTGGAATTCTGTAAGTGAAAGTCTCTGGCTTCCCAGCTTGCTTCACCAGCACTGCTTGTGAGGCGCACAGAACTCAGTGCAAGTGTCTGCAGGCAGTTCTGTGGTCTAGGATGGCCCTCAGCTCTTCTTTGCTTTCAGATGCCCCATGGTGTGGTCACTGCAAGCAGCTGGCCCCCATTTGGGATAAACTGGGAGAAACATACAAGGATCATGAGAATATCGTCATTGCCAAGATGGACTCAACAGCCAACGAGGTGGAGGCGGTCAAAGTGCACAGCTTTCCCACACTAAAGTTCTTCCCTGCAAGTGCAGACAGAACGGTGCGCCTTCCCAACAGGGCTCTGCTGGGGCTCTGGAGTGTTCTGTTTCCCATGCCAGCTTAGGGCCCCTCTCATCCAAGGAGCCTGGGTCCAGGAAGGAGTCGGGAGGGACCACAGGGGCCTCCTCTTCAGAAGCAGCTGTTAACCTGCATGGTCCAGTGGGGCCATGACCAGCTCTATCCCCTTGTTTCCCACAGGTCATCGATTACAACGGGGAGCGGACGCTAGACGGTTTTAAGAAGTTCTTGGAGAGTGGTGGCCAGGATGGGGCAGGGGATGACGATGTGAGTGTGGTCACACAAACCCCAGGCCAGCCTGGATAACCCAGGATAGCCTGGGTCCATTTGGGAGGTGCTGGCCTTAGAGTTTGATGTGGGAGCTGGAGTGGTCCCTTTTGAGGGGAGGCACCTGTGCATCCTGGGACCTGGGAATGCACACCTCTTTTGGATGGCTGAGGGCAGGGCTCCCGAGACTCTACTGTAGTTCTTCCCAAGGGAGGGACTGGGAAGGTGCCTTTGAAAGCCGGATTTGGATTGGGAAGTCTCACATTTGCCCCACAGTGTCCACATATCCCTGCTAATTTGGACTCAGATGTCCAGCCTGCCAGCTAAGCCCTGTGTATGCTTTGCTGATGTGACCACTTGTGACTGCAGTGTTCCACAGGCCCCAGATTCAAGGGTGGACGTGGGCTGACCCTTAGGAGCTCAGTCCTGTCCAAACCATGACGATGTGAGTGTGGTCACAGAGACCCCAGGCCAGCCTTTGGGGACAGCCTGGGTCCATGTGGGAGGTGCTGGCTTTAGGTGTGACCAGTGACCATAGTGGTGAATACTGTGGAGGAAGCAGAGGACAAATCAGGAGAATTTGGTGGGAGCGAGTAACCACCACCATGGGGAACATTTTAAACAGGAGTGAAGGACATGGTGGTTGGACCGGCAAGAGCCCCTTGAGGGTGCTGGTGAAGCAGATAGGGAAAGCAGACCTGTTCCAAAGGAGCCACTGCAGCCCTGGGGGTTGGGACCTGTTGAGGGAGGATGGCCATGGCTCCTGCTGCCAGTTGCTATTGCAGGCCATACAAAGCCTGGGATAGGAAAGGGATGAGCTGTACCTGGTGGTTACTGTACTTGGGCTAGCAGTGGGACTGTTACCCGTCAGGTCAGAGACCCTCTGGTCGGAGACACCTTGGCACCACAGCCATTGGAAGGTCTGAGAGCTGGGCTGTTTCCCAGGGCTCCTGTTTCAGGAGGTTCTACTGCATCCTGCTTTGTAGACAGAGACCCTGTGCCCTGCTCAGGGCTGCTCTTGTAACTGGAGCTGGGTCCAGTGTATGACCAACTGGTCCCTGGTATGCTGGTCAGCCTCACCTGGATACTGCTGCACAGCCATGGTCCTTTAATAACTGCCCCTTTCTTCCTGAATTTAGGACCTAGACCTAGAAGAAGCCTTAGAGCCAGACATGGAGGAAGATGACGATCAGAAAGCTGTGAAAGACGAACTGTAATGGGGAAACCAGACCTGGGCACCCAACTCGACACCTCGGTGGGCTGCGCTCCCAGCTGCCCATACCTCCGGAGCCCGATCCTCACCCGAGGAGGGCACGTCATCGGAACCCAGGGAATCTTTCTGAAGCCACACTCATTCTAATGTGTTTGCTTACACTCGTCTCCTTTTGCTTTTCAGTTTTGGAAAGGGATCCTCTCTAGGCCAGCCCGACCTGTGGGCTACTTTTTTTTTTTTTTTTTTTTAAATGGTGACGTACTTTTTGTACATGGGTTTTGTCCCGAGTGCTCGCTAAAATGTTGGGATCTCACATTGGTAAAGTCTTTCCTGTAGAGGGGTTTATACTATCGCTTAAAAAATTCCATCTGTGGGACTTGTATAGACATTTTTCGACATCAGGGTATTTGTTCCACCATGGCCGGGTCTCCCTGGGAGACTCCCGTCCCTGGTGTTAGGAGGGACGAACCCAGGCTGGACTCACTCATGCTGCACCTCCACCTGTGCCAGTGTTGCCAGCCTGGCTTTTGCAGTTTTTGATTAAACAATCTCTGGATTGTATCAGGGTGGGCCTACCATGTTTGGAGGAGGGGACAGTAGTTGCAGGCTACTGGGCCCAGGACAGGCCTCTACTGCTCCCCCTAGCTCTCCCCAAGCCAGGACTACCCTGCCTGCCTGCTGTGGGCACATCGCTCCGTAACCACTGGATTCTTATCCAGTGTGGTCTGTGGGAGGCAGAACCAGGACCCTTGATTCCCAGGCTGGAAGATGGCCAAGGATATTGGGTCTGAATCAAATGTTAACCATTCTTCAGGCATTTCTACAATATTGGAATTGAACACATTGGCCAAATAAAGTTGAAATTTTACTATCCATCGTCACCTCTGCTTTATGACCTCTTTGAGCCATGTGAGCTGGGCTGGAATTCTGACCCTGAAGAAGACCACAGGCTTTGGCAGGGTCTTTTGTTGAAATGCCCTAACAAAAGCAGAAATGTACACCTGCCTCACGATGCACAGCCTAAGGTCTGAGTGTGTGCAGCCCTGGGATGGATGGTGTATATGTGCCGTGACAAGTGGAGGCCACTCAGACCACCGCCTGCCATCCGGGCCATTGCCCTGGCTGCTGCCATTCCCTTCTGTGTCTGATGTCATGACATGGACTGCACGTGAACCCCATCACAACCGTGGACGTTGCCCCACGTACAGCTATCCCAGCCACAAGTGACGTGGTTGGAATGTGCTGGGTCATTGCTGGGCCATCACTACACTGATGGGAATTCCAGGCCTCAAGAATTGGTAAGTGAATGAGTTGCCAAGGTTGATACCAAATCTAGAAATGAGCATCTGGTGGCCAAGGGTACAATTCACTGGTTGGGGGGAGGGGGGAAGGGAGGGGAGAAATCTAAAAATAGGACATTTCCTGGTTTTTTTTAAAATGAAACTTGAAGACAAATTTGGGGGCACTCAGGAGGCTGAGGCAGAATGTCAGATTCAAGGCCAGCCTGGATTAAATAGTGAGACCCTTAGAAAATGGGCTAAGCTGGAGGTGTGGCTCAAGTGTTGTAAGTGCAAAGCCCTGAGTTCTAACCCCAGCATAGCAAAAAAAGAAAGGCTGAGACAGGAAGATCTCAGTTCCAGGCCAGCCTGGGGTACATAGCAAGACCCAATCTCAAAAAGAAAAAAAAAAATGGAGCTTTACTTAACCTTGGCTTGTTCATAGTTCATGAAAAAAATACAAGTGAAATCAGTTTCCCAGACTTGAGCTGCTGCCTGATGTGTAAGAGGCAGCGACGCTCTCGACTTTCCTCAGTCATGCTGGTGGGGACAGGAGCGCTGAGGCCCACAAGAGCCAATAGGCCTTGGGATGGTCATAGGGTTCTGGATGGGACGAGTGGGCGAAGGGGCCCGCAGAGGTCTGAGGTCAGACAGCACAACCATATCAAGGGTTCCCAGAAGCCCTGTGTTCCACCCTCTGTGCTGACTTGTCTCCTGGAGTGCAAAGCCTTCAGCGCCACCAAGACCCCTAGGTGCCCTCCGCTATGTTCGTGGCCTCAGATGGCTGGTGAGGGCCATTGCTGCCAAACCTGGCTGTCAGCCTCAACCTCGACTTTCTGAGTGTGGTTCTCTCCGAGGTCTCAGCCCAGGGGAACAGGTGGGTCATCTCCCCAGTGCCCAGCCTTGCCCTGCCACACAGGCCCTCACAAGCCCAAGGCTGCTTGTGCCTGATGGGACTATGCAGTGTGCAACTAGCAGAAGACCTGTTGTCAGCTGCTATCACTGGCTCTCAGTGGCCAGTGTCAGAACTGGTTTCTGGCTAATTTGGCTCCAGGCGTCTCAGCAGGGGTGGGGTGAAGAGTGATGCCTGGGTCCTGCCAACACAGTGGGGTATGTCCACTGTCCACTGTGGGCACACAAGGGGATTGGTGGAGTGGTTCAAGTGGTAGAGTGCCTGCTTAGCAAGTATGAGGCTCTGAGTTCAAACCCAAGTACAAAAGAAGAAAAACATAATTAAGTGGGCACACTTGGGAGGTTGGATAGGAGGATGTTAGCTCTGTCCCCCAAAATATGAGCGGAGGCCCTACAGGGGAAGACATTGGGCCTCCAAGGGAGGAACGAAGACAGCAGGGCTGAGAGCAGTTGAAAGGAATGTGCTGTGCTCCCTACCTGGGAGACAGTGTGTGTGATCCTGCTGCCCAGCTGTGCAGGGACCTGACCTCTGCATAGAAAGTAGGGACCAGACAGCCACCATCACGCGCTCCTGGGAGGGGAGTGAGTCACGGATACCTTTCCTCTTTTGCAGAGGCAGCTGATGAGTGCATTCCTGGGCTATGCCAGGAGGCTGTGGGGTGGTATCCAAAACCTCTCTGGCTAGGCGGGTGGATTAGCAAGGCAGCTTTGAAGGCTCTGTGGGAAGGCAGGGAAGGCTTAGCAACTGGGACTTCCCAGTCTCTCTCCCTCTCTCCTCCTCTCCTCTCTCTCTGTCTTCAGGTATGAGAAACCATTGAACCTAAAGAAACAGATACTAGACCTAGGCCCTGCCCTAGGGGTCCTCTGGCCTCAGAACCCACCTGGCCCACTGGGCCTGCCACAGACCCTTGCCAACTTTCCTTGCAGCCCCCTAGTATTCATTGTGTTTTGTGCAAAGCAGTGGTGGAGGCATTCTCTGGACTTTTTAAAGTTTGGAGGTAACCTTTTTGCATCAGTGTTTTGTCTTCCAAAAAGTAGAAAATTTAAATCACATCAACCAGGTCACTTCACAGGTTCACACCACCTGAGAAAAATGGGGGATAAAGCTACTGAGCTTATCAGTAGCTTATCTGGCCTTGTCCACCACAGCAGGTTGTACAGCTCATGGCCTGCTCCTGCTGAAAACCTCAAAGGGGAGAGGTGCCAGCCAGCGTCTGGGGCTCAGAATACCATCGCCCTTTCCAGGAACTTGCTGGAACAAAGGCATGTCAGGCCATTCTAGGGGGTCTGTGGCAGCTGGAAGACTTTTTTCGGAGACCAGACCCTTCTCTGATCCAAACAGAAACCCTAAAGCCCGGCCCCCCATGCTCTCTCGGCTCACTGTTAGCAGGAAGGGACGGGGGCTCCCTCATGGGGTTACCAACAGCCTCACCTGACAGACTTGCCCGGCTCCAGCATGCCCAGAGGACCAGTCGCTGCTGCTGCTGCTAGAAAAGGCCTTTCTGCCAGTCCTCTGGCCACGGTGTTTGTAGCAGCTTCACTTTCATATGATCCTCTGAGCTAGGAGTGCAGGCAGCACTTTTCCACAACACAAGAAAAGGCAATGTTCACATCAAAGGAGGGTCTGTCACCTGGCTGGAGTATAGAACCTGAAGCCTCTCAGCTTCCTGTAAATGAGTCAGGAGAACCTGTACCTGACTCCTCCCAAGTGACCAGGAGTTGCAGCTGACCAGCACTTCCCTCTGAGCTCTGGACCCACCCAGCAGAGTCTCTGTGGGCCAGGGCCTGGCCAGAGTTTGTAGGGTGCTACGACACATAAGTGTTGGAAGCAGCAGCCCCTGAGCTGCTTTTGCACAGAGACGTGGAGAAACCCCCTCCAGGGAAGGAGGCCTCGGTCGGTGCTATCCGTCCTGTAGTCCGTAGCCCACGGCTTTACACCTGCCGAGTGTGTAATACGCTTGATAACTTGATTTGCTGGCTGGAGACCAGCCTAATGATGTAAGGCCTGCTACTGAACACACTGCCTCCCCAGCTCCCCGCGTCATTCAGGCCTCCAGTGGCCACCTGGAGCATCTCGCCATTGTGGTGGGTTGTTATGCCCCAGTACTTCCCAACGTGACCTTATTTGGAAATAAGGCCATTGTTAATATATTGATTAAAATGAGTTCATGCTGGACACCAGTCATGGTGTCCTCATAAGAAGGGCAGATGTGAGGAACACCCTCCTTGCTGTCCCCCTTATGTTACTGTTATGACACCAGGTCCCGATACAGGCTTTCTTAAAAACAAAAAAAAAAAAAGGAAGGGCAGATTTCAGCCAGGTATGGTAGTGCACACTTATAATCCTTCCTCCTAAAGCTGGAGAACCATGAGTTCCAGACCAGCTCCAGCTGTACAACAAGTTCAAGACCAACCTAGAACAACCCGATCTCAAAAAGCAGTGGGGAGGGGTACTGGTGGCATGGCTCAAGCAGTAGAGCACCTGCCTAGCAAGTACAAAGCCCTGAGTTCAAATCCCAGTACTACCCAAAAAAGAGTGTGTGTGTGTTGTGAGGAACTTGGACATAGACACAGGGAGAAGCCATGTGGGTGATGCTTCAACAAGCCAAGGAACACCAGGATGGCAGTGATCTCCAGGAGTTGTAGAGCGCCTGAAACAGATCCTACCTCAGAGCCTCAGAAGGAGCCCACCCTGGTAACCCCTGGGTCTCAGGATGCCAGCCTTCAGAGCCATGAGAAGACTTAATAAGCCCCTCTGTGATGCTTTGCCATGACAGTTCAGGCAGGTTTAACAGCCAGCTTCCAGTGGGCAGGGGAAGCCTGCAGGACCTAATGGGGGCTGGGCCTGACCCCACAGTCATGTTTCTGACTCCCATGCCGCCACATGCACCACCTCAACCTCACAAAAGTGAGGGCAGCCAGCAGTGAGCTCTGTGGGAGGCTGGGAGCATGAGACCAAGGTATGGGCAGAGTGGGCTCCTTCCCAGGCCGAGGGCAGAGGAAACACACCAGCTGGTAATGGTCTTCTCTTCGGGGAGGAGACTGGACACTATCGGCAGTGTACCCAGAACCTGGAGTCAGGAGAAAGGGTGATGGGCAGAATCGTGAGTGTGTGGGGAGCGGAAGCGAGCAAGGCATGGGGGTAGGGCCGCCCAAGAGCCTGCAGTGCCGAGATCCCAGCCTGGCCTCCACAGGTTTCTGAGCAGGAGGCTGTGCCTTCAAGGCAGTTCTAGGGAAACCCTCCTGGGTGCTAGAAGTCATGGGAAAAGGTAAGTGATGGATGGGTGGTGGGCAGGGCTGGGGCCTCCTCCATAGCACAATAGCCTATTGCTTCTAAGACGTGGGGAGGGGCAGCCCCTCACTTTCCAGGAGGCAGACAGGTGAGCCATTCTCTTATCCTCGACCCTCCTAATGCCCTTGGCATCTGCCTCGACCTTGAGTCCACATCCAAGGCACTCCTTACGGGCTCTGTCCTCATGGGCTCCTCCTTCTGCCCTCTGTAAGGCACCTTGTAGGTCCAGCTGTGGGGCAAGGAGCAGTAGCCAGGAAGGATCTGACCCTTTTGGCTGGACACGGTGACAGGTGGGCTGAAAGATGAGCCAGTAAACATGATCTTGTGTGCAGGGAGGGGGGCGGGGGAGCAGCTCGGTTTCAGCCCCCCCCCCCCAATCGCATCCAAAAGCATGACTGCGCAGCTTTATATAGCTCTTCAAGTCCTATATAAGCTGGAAGTGAGGTCTCTCAGTCCCAAGAACCTGCACACTGATCTGCTCTCTTTACCCTGGTGCCCTAGGTCCCCAGAGGGGCAGCCCACCCCAGTCCCCAGAATGCCCAGCAGAACTGTACGCTATGCCCGCTACAGCCCCCAGCAGCGGCGCCGACGGACGTTGGCTGATCGCAGTGTGCGTTTCCCTAATGATGTCCTCTTCTTGGACCACATCCGCCAGGGCGACCTGGAGCAGATAGGACGCTTTATCCGGGCTCGGAAAGTCTCCTTGGACACCATCCACCCCTCAGGTGAGTGAGCACCAGAGGAAGAGGTCAAGGGTCTAGGGGGCTGCAGGGGAAAGCCAGTGCAGAAGACTCCAGCTTTGACCTCTGCCTTCATGACCTGCCCAGGCCTGGCAGCGCTGCATGAAGCCGTACTCTCTGGAAACCTGGAGTGTGTGAAGTTGCTGGTCAAATATGGGGCTGACATTCACCAGCGTGATGAGACAGGCTGGACACCCCTGCACATTGCCTGCAGCGATGGGTATCCTGACATAGCCAGGTGAGAGGGTGGGTCAGGGTGCAGAGGCCCTTATCCCAATCCCTCCAGGATTCAACTGATCTCTGAGGTGTGAGTCCCCAAAAGATGGCCCTGAAGGTGGGCAGGAACCTTAAGGGCTTCTGGCGCCGTTTCTACTCTATTGCTACACTAGAACAAGCTGGAAAAGCTGCCCAGTTTCCAACGAGTCAAGTTTCTTCCTCTTCACTCTGCCTAGAAAAAAACAAACAGGTGACCCTAGGACTCCAGCCCTCTGTCCTGAGGTGGGCTATGCATGCTTCAACAAAGCTGCCCTTTGCACCCCAGGTACCTCATCTCCCTGGGGGCAGATAGAGACGCGGCCAATGACGACGGCGACCTGCCCTCAGACCTCATTGACCCAGCCTTCAAGGACCTGGTGGAGCTCTTCAAAGGAACCAGGATGGACTGAGCCAGCCCTGCCCTCCCAGGCTCAGCCTCCCTGGAGAAGTTGCTAGCAACTCACCCCAAGGGGCAGGATGTGAGCATTCCCTGGGCCAGGGAAGCAGCCAAGCTGGCCAGACCTGTCCCTTGAGACTCCTGCCCCTATACCCATGTTTCTGGCCTGTTTTTTTCTTGAGGTTAATTTTTTATGGTGACACTTTTTACTTTTTCAATAAACATGATTCCCAAGACTGTGGTGGTGGCCTGATTACTGGGGACCAGTGCAAGCCCTTGCCATCACACTGGGCTGGGCCGTGCAGGCAGCACAAGGCCTGGGCCAGAGCCTCTTGGTCGCCACACCTCGGCCCACGCCCGTCTGCCGTCTCCCAGCTGCGCTCTCCCACACCTACCCTCTACCTGTACCGGCCCCCTGGCTTCCCTCTTCCATCTCCCCGGCCCCCGTGGTTTCCGGTCGCCCGGGGTCCCCTGTCTCCGTCCCCGCCCGGGCCCCCATCTCTTGTCCCACACTGCCCCTCCGTACCCCCGAGCTCCGCGCGGCCCCGCGCGCGCGGCAGTCACGTGGCCGGCGCCGTCTGCGCCTGCGCGGCGCGCGTCACTTCCGGTCGGCCCTCCGGCGGCGGCGGCGGCGGCGGCGGAGAGGCGAGCGAGGTGAGGCGGGCGCGGCGGGGTGGAGCCGGGCGGGGCGGGCGCGGGACCCGCGGGACCATGACTGGTCCGCCCACCGTCCCGCCCTGGTGTCGCCTCGTCGCCAGGCCGGACGGGCGGGGAGGGTTGCGGCCGGTCCTCAGCTGCGGGGCCCACGGCGGAGCGCGGACGTGGCCGGCGGCCGCCACGGAGACGCCTTTCCCGCCCGGAGCACCGGGGCTCGCCGGCCACGCGCGCGCTCCGGGCCGCCCTCTGTGTCCACAGTGCCCGAGGGGGACAGGTGTCCCGCTGTCCCCAAGGTCCCGGGAATGTTCCCGAGGATGCTTCCTGATTGTTGGAAGGCGCCGGCCTGGCCTTTCCCGGGTTTCCTTCTCCGTTGTCCGCCCTCCGCGCTTTGCTGCTGTCCTGAGGCTGTGGTGCTGCCCCATGACCAGGGCCTGCCCCTGAGGTTACTGCCCAGTGCTGGCTGGATGGGGTGGTGGCCGTGCACCCCGTGCCCCTAATGACAAAAGCAGTCCAGGCCGGAGGTCTCCTGTCCCTGTCTCAGAAAAGGTGGCCCTGCGGCTGGACCTCCTGGGGGAGCAAGATCGTTTTAGGCAGAGGGCTTTAAGTAGGGGTTTATGGGTAAGGGAGTGGCCAGGGCATTTAGAGGATGAGACGTGGGGCTGGACTTGGGGTGAGTTGAGGATGTGAAGGCTTCCAAGTGCCAACGGACAGACAGGAGGAGGCACATCTCAGATCTGACGATCTGCAGCCAGCGTCCTGGAAGGAGGGCAAGTCCGTGGGCAGGACATAGAACTCTTCAAGGGACCACCAGATCCATGTGGTACCTATCACAGCGCTGACCCTCTGGCCCCTGCTTGGTTGGTGAATTATTTCCTAGAGGTTTCACTGGGGTCTAAGAAACGTGGCCATTGTCAGGTGTCTTCTTCCTGGTCCAGCTGGGGGGATGGAAGCTGCCCTTTCTGTGATCAGCCCTTGGCCCGGGTCTGTCACAACCAGCGTGGTCTCTGCAATCCCCTGTACTTTTCTGGGCCTCCACATCTGCCTACAAGTGAGTTGGCTTTACACTCCACTTACTCAGAACTGGCCTGGCTCATGATTAGCAGTCTTTCTCTCTCTCTCTCTCTCTCTCTCTCTCTCTCTACCTCCTCTCTCCAGTAGTGTGGTTAACTTTTTTGTTTTGTTTTTGTGAAACTGGAGTTTGCAAAGCAAGCACTGTACTGCTTGAGCCACGCCTCCATTCTGTTTTGCTTTGGTAATTTTGGAGATGGGGTCTCGTGAACCCATTTGCCTAGGCTGGCCTCAAACTGAGATACTCCTGATCTCAGCCTCCTAAGTAGCTAGGATTACAGGCGAAAGCCACTGGAGCCCAGCTCAGTACTGGGTTTGAACTCAGGACCTTCGTGCTTACCAGGCAGGCACAGTACCACTTGAACTATGCTCCCACCCCGCCCCTTTCCCTCTTAGTGTTGCTCAGTTGATGCTGCAGGATGGGGCAGCCTTGTCCATCATTATTTTGGATAAAGAGCCGTGGAGACCTCATTGGAGGTAGTGGTTTCACATGCTGTGTTTAAATATTTTTTTTTCTTTTTTTTTGGTGGGACTGGTATTTGAACTCAGGGCTTCAAGCTTGCAAAGCAGGCACTGTACTGCTTGAGCCAAACCTCCAGTCTATTTTGTTCTTGTGATTTTGGGAAATGGGGTCTCACGGACTGTTTGCCCAGGCTAGCCTTGAACCATGATCCTCCTGATCTCAGTTTCCCAAGTAGCTAGGATTACAGAAGTGAGCCACTGGGCCTGGCTAGTTGATATTTATTAGAGCAGGAGGACCTGGGGACCATTCCCTGGGGATGCTGTGGCCCAGAGGAACTTATGTGGAGACAGTAGAGAGGATGGATGGCCTCTGGCCAGGGTCCTTATGGCCCTGTGGGCTAGACAGTCAACAAGCAGTCAAGACCTGCCAAGTTCACAGCCTGGAAGGTCATGGGGTGGAAGGTGATTCTGTGGCCAACTACTTTTTGGGATTGGGGCTGGGGTATAGCAGCGGATGACACCTGAGAAAACAGATGAAATACTTGGGCTGTGAGCTTGATGGTAGCCAAGAGCCTGGGCATCCCGCTGGTGCGTGGTGAGGAAGATCTTGCTGCTATCCATGCACACCCTCCCCAGCTGGGGAGGCTGATGTAGTAGGGTGGGGTGTGCAAGTCAGCGGGTAGGTGGCAGATGGGGTGAAGTATATTGGTGGAAGGACTTTGGAAGAGAGATCCTTGAGCCAGGAGCCTGGCACTGAGGGTCATCAGATCTGAGATGCCACCATTCTGAGCTGTGCCTCATTTTATGGTCCACTGAGAAAGAAGAAACACTGCCAAACTTTGACATGTTAGTGAGAGTCAGGTGCAACCCAATTTGAAAGGTATGGAAAAAAAGTTAATTGTGGAGTTGATGGGATGTGTATGGTATATGTGGCTGAGATGTTGAGACACACACCCCTCCCGTGTTGAGGAGATGGTTGTGACAGAAAGAGCAAAGAAAACAGGACGGGGAAGTGTCAGTGTGGAGCTTGCCCGACCTCTCTTGCCGTCATTCTGGTGGTAGCCTTGGGAGACGGAGACCTGGGAGTAGCACGCAGGATGGGCCCTTGAGACCTCTGAAGTAGGGTTCTCTATGGCTGCTCTCTCTAAATGCAGCAGCACCTGCCCTTCTATGTCCCATGGTCGGCCTCAGTCAGGGCAGCACTCACCTTTACCTGGCCTGCTTAGTAGTAGGCTTGACCTCAGGTGGTCCTCTGTGGCTTGGTGGGACTTTTAGGCATTCCCTGACGCTTCTGAAGGCTGTGCTATTCTCCCAGCCCACTCTACCTGCTGTGGTCCTGCCCCTCCACACCCACCCCTTTAGGGACCCTGCTCATCTGGAGTCATGCTTCTGGCCTGGCTGGTAAACATGCTCAGGTTTCCCTTGCTGAACCAAACGCAAACACCACTGCCAGCCAGACTGGTGCCAGCAGAGAGACCCAGGCAGAGGGCATAGTATGTATGCAAGCCAGGCAGCCATCCGAGGCTGTGGCCCCTAGAGGCTGAGGCTGCACAGGGTGGAAAGTCACCAGAGGAAAGCAGTCCAGGGGTGCAGGAGCCCCTGAAGGAGCAGCCAGTTCAGGAACTGAAGGCAGCTCGTGCCCTGGGAGGTGAGATGGACTGGCCAGCCTTCTGGTCTTTGAGCATTTCTGTCCTGGTCCATAATTGGAGCTTACCTACCTTATCCCGCTGCCATTGTCATGCTGGAGAGGGATTTCCCTGTGCTCTGGTATTCTGGGCTGGTGACCTGGGGAGGTCCATGGGAGGAAGACTCTGGAGTCTAAGAAGTCACAGGCTACTCAGCACTGCCTTGGGCTAGGAGCCAGGCCTGAGGAGAGGCACAGGCTCTGGTGTCCTAGTGGAAGCTGACTTTACACCGTTTTATTCCTGTGGGCCCGTGTTCATTTGTGCTGGGTCTTTCACATGTGATGACTCAGTGGCCACAGAGGAAGAGCCTGAAGTGCCCAGCCCCCTACCCTTTGTGAAGGGCTGCAGCTGCACACTCTTGGTGCTTTGGAACTCCCCACTGAGCATTGGGACGGGCAGGGAAGGCATTTGTGCTAAAACCTCCTTCAGGGGCTCCCTTGCTCCCGGTATCTGGGATTCCCCCCTGTGGAGCAATTCCTTTTTTGGGACTAGCCATGCATGGCTAGCTTCCTCACCTTGGGGCTGTGTGTCCTCAGTTGGCCACTGTAAGAACCTCACCCTAAAAGTTGATCCTCCCAGGACTGCAAAAATCTCCTAGGCTGAAACTGAGGCTTTTTTTTTTTGGCAGTATTGGGGTTTGAACTCAGGACCTACACTTTCTGCCAGCCCTTTTTTATGAAGGGCTTTTTTTCAAGTTAGGGTCTCTTGAACTGTTTGCCCAGGCTGGCTTCGAACCTCTGTCCTCTTGATCTCTTGCCTCCTGAGTAGCTAGGATTACAGATGTGAGCCACCGGCACCTGGTGACTGAGACTGTAACTAGGTGACACCCTAGGTTCCTGATCACTGGGTCAGTCCTGGCATCTTCCTCCAGGGACTTCCTTCCTCCTGGCCTACTTTGGGTCTGTCTCTGGGGCACGGACTCATCTCATACTCCAGCCCTGGGGGACCAGGAAGCTGGGCCACTTGCCAAGCATCCACTGAGCCTCAGGGCTGTGCTGTACTCTTCACCATTGGGAAGTTCAGACCCATTCACAGTCAGGAAGCTGAGGCTCAACAGAAACAACCTGTGGAATCCTACAGCCAGTGAGGGCGGAGCTGGAGTGCATGCCTGGGCCCTGTTCTGCTGTGAGAGGCAGCCACTACCTGAAAACAGGAATGGGGTAGGGATGTGGACGAGATCATGGATTCAGTGCTCCAAGTCATGCATGTGTCTGCTGACTCATCCCTCTGGCCTCATGTCTGGCATCTGTAGCCTGTGCAGGATTTCTGAGAACCCACTGGCCACCCAGTAGTTTACAGGGAGGAGGTACACTTGCCCCTCACCCCCTCCCCCTACTGGAGGAGATGATGCTCTGTCCCACTTCTGTGTCCTGGGGCTTCCTTTTCAGAGACTGAGGGGATCCTGCAGCAGAGCACCAGAGGATCCAGCAATGACCAGGTGGGTCTTAGGCAGGTGGGATTGCCTCTACCTGGGGTGGGGGGCCCCACACCACTCTGTGCCTAGCCCCATCGTGATGGCGGGGCTCCCCCCAGCTCCCCTGTCTCCAGAGTCGTCTACAACGGCAAGAGGAACAGCAGCCCCCGCTCTCCAACCAACAGCAGTGAGATCTTCACCCCAGCCCACGAGGAGAATGTGCGCTTCATTTATGAAGGTGGGTGTGCCACCTTGTTGCTGCTCATCCTTAGAGCCGCTCTGTCTCCCAGCCTGGAGCCCTCTCCTGTCTCCACTGCCTGCCATGATGGTGATGCCTCATTATCCCTCCCACATCTTTGGGGGACCAGGCAGAATAGGAGTAACAGAGTGGCAGCCAAAGAGGAGGCTGTGGGGAATGGACAGTACCCCAGGAGAGGGAATATCTGGAGTCATTTCTAGCATTGAGGATTTGGTGGAAAGAGGAGTGAGCTGTTGAGGGACGGGGTGCACCCCGCTATGAATACAGAGTGTGACTGGCAGAGTGGCTCAAGCAGTAGAGGGTTTGCTTAGCAAGCATAAGATCCTGAGTTCAAAACTTTAGTACTGCAAAGAAAAAAAGAAGTTCCAGAGTGTGGCATTGGCATGGCCAGAGGTGGCTGTGGCTGGGATTAGAACTTTTAGGTTGGGAGGTCAGGGAAAGGTAGGGTAGAGCCAAGGTACATGCATTGCCCTCTGTGGCTCTGGGAAGCCCAGGGTAGTGTCAGGTGGGCCATTGCACAGAGGGGACAGGCCTGCTGGAGGAACAGGAGCAGAGAGAGTTGCCAGGGGAAGGAGGGAGGGCCAGGACACTGGAGGACACTATCAGCTGGCAGGGGGCAGATGAGCAAGGGCAGAGGACACTTCTGAGGGAGAATAGGGTCTGGGGTGGTCCCGTGGCAAGACAAGATGCTCTCCTGGTTTGAACTCTGCCAGTAACTGACCCAGTTGTCCTTTGCTTGCCTCAGCCTGGCAGGGTGTGGAACGAGACCTGCGCAGCCAGCTGTCAGGCGGCGAGCGTGGCTTGGTAGAGGAGTATGTGGAGAAGGTCCCCAACCCCAGCCTAAAGAGTGAGTGGGGCTGTCCTAGGAGGGAGGGGCTCAGAGGCAGGAAGGCCAGCCAGCCTGCTTCCCTCTCCCACTGCTTCCTGCCTGCACCGTCCATCATCCTGTTCCAAGACATCTTGGTCTAAGAGCTTTCTGAGGCCAGGGCTGGATGGGAGGCCTGCACCCAGCATCACCCACACTCTTCCCCGGCAGCCTTCAAGCCCATTGACCTGAGTGACCTGAAGCGCCGGAACACACAGGATGCGAAGAAGTCCTAGAGCCCCTAGCATCCCTCCCCTGGCCTCTGGAAGATCAGGGTGCACTTGATGTTCGTCTCCTCCTGTCCTGTGGGCCCTGCTCCCGGGAGGGGGAATGGGGCCATACTTAGTGGGCTAGCAGGATTGATGGCCAAGGCCTGCCCCTCCTCCCTGAGTCCCTTCCTTTCCTCTTTGGAGATCTCAAACTGCCCCTGTCACTGGGGGAGCAGGAGTCTGGCCCTTCCCGCCCTCAGAGTTCCTGGCCCCAACCCCTTCTTTGGTCACCTGCCATTGCCCTCTACCTCCCTGTTCCTGGCCACTTCAGGATCAGGAAGGAGAAGAGAGACCTGTGTTTCCCAGGCTGCTGGGACTGGTTGGTTTTGTCCTTGAGATGACCAGGAAGTAGCACATGTGCAGCCCCACTGCATCCATCTTGGACCCCCCCATGGACTGCGCCTCTGACCTGGACAAGGGGGAGCTTCTTCCCCTGCCCCCCACTGTCCAGCCTGCCCTTTCCTTGCCTCAGCTTCAGAATGGCACAAGCTCTGGGCCTGGGACAGTCCCCAGCAATCAGGCCTGGCCTCCTGGTGTCTACACCCTGTGACCAAAATGGTGCACTTGGGCAGGGTGCCAAGGCTGACCCTGAAGGGGTGGTGCTGCCAGGCCTGTCCTGGCTCTCTGGGGTGTGCTGGGAGGGTCACTAGGGCCCCTTTTTCTTCCTGTGCCCTCTGGAGCCAAGTGTGTATGTGGCTCTGGAGCCCAAGGTCCGTGAATAAAGGCGGGTGGCACTGGGATGAGCTTCTTGGCAGTCTTGTCAGGCCCCTGTCCAGCAACCCACACAGCTAACAGGCCCGTGAATCTCAGGCCATGGTGAAGGTTCTGTATGTCCAGAACTCCTCAGTGTGGGCCCCTAGTCACCCAGGAAAGAGGGGGCAAGGAGGGGCGCCCTGAGAGGAGGGGCTGGACTGCTCTAGGCAGTTGCTGCCTTTTTCCAAGCTGCAGGGGCTCCCTATGAGGGCATTTCCCATGTGTGGAGGGTCCCTAGATGCAGTAGGTACCCCTCTGCCACCCCACACCTACCTTCCATGGCACAGTGTATGGGCCCTTGGGGGAGTAGCTTCCTGCACTATCTAGATAAAGGGGTGGCTGCTGGGCCTTAGGAGAAACCTGGTTACTCTTGACCTTCAGATGTGGAAACAACCCTGGAATGCGCCTACTCCAGAGACAGAGCCAAACCAGAATTTATTTCAGGAACATGGTTTCCCAGAAGAGTATTCCAGAGCTCTAGAGCCCCAGAGACATCTCTTGGGGTTGGCCTGGGTGAGGCTTCCCAGGGAGGAAGGGATAGACAAAGACAGGACCTGTGACAAACTGTGCAACATGGGGCCAGGCCAGCCCCTGGAAGCATAAGACCTTAGGTCCTCAGGGTCTGTGAGACATTTTGCAGGGGCTGAGTGTTGGGGTGTGTGTGGAGGCGGGGGTGCTTCCCATTGTCCAGGCCTGGAAGGGGGTGGACATGACCCAGGACACAGCGGGACAGGGTAGGCTGGCACAGATGACTCACTTAGATTCCTCATCAGCATACCCATACCCTGCACCCACCAGGGACCAGACAGTGGAAGGGACAAGGCTCCAACTATGTGTTTTCTGCCCCTTGGTGTTTGCCAGGGTCAGCAATGGTGCAGAGTGAGACCCAGCTGCACTTGGATCTGCTAGGGGCTTCCCAGCCTTTCCTGAAGGTGGGCTTGGACCCTGGCCAGGCAGGGACTGCACACATGGCTTTGACCAACTTATAAAGTCTGAGCCTCTGTAGTTTTTGTAAGTGGCAATTAGTACCTACTTCCTGGGGCATTGCCCAGTGCTGAGTACCTGCTGCAGCATTAGTCACCTCATGAATGCACTTGGCAAGGTTGTCAGCCTCACAGTGAACTCAATCCACCATTCCTCAGGTAGAAACCCAGTGCTGGTGGCCATGGGTGTGATGTGAGCCCTGGGCACCTCACGCTGCCAGGCTTCCCGAGTCTCGCCATGTGTAAAGGTGGAGCATAGGCTGTGGGTGCCCCTCACTAGCATGGCTGCAGGCCCAGGAAGCACGTAGCAGAGAACAGCTGCAATGTAAGAAATAACGTGATCTGGGCTTACAGCCTGTACGTTGTACTGGTACCAGACCCTGAAGCCAGGCCTTCTCTGCCCATGGCCACCCATTAGGTGATGGAGGATGACTGGAGGACCCCAGCCACCTGGGCCTGTGTGCCTGTGCTTTTCAAGATTTCACTCGGAGTCTGCCAGCTGGAGGCCCTTGGCAAGGAGTCTGCAAGAACACCTGGGGTGGGGTGTGGAAGGAGGGTGTCACATGGCACCCAGTGTGCTGAGATGATCCTGGATTAGAGCTGTCGCTGTGGTGGCCAACATGCCAACGGCACAGCACTCCTACCCCAGCCAGCTGCTCTGTCACCTCTTAGCGTCTGAGATGCTGGTGACCCTCTCCAGCTGGGGGTGCTGTTGGGTCAAGTGGCTCTGAGAGTGGCTGGAGGAGAGTCAGGATCGACGCCTCCCCACTTGTGTTTGTGCACATGAACTCATACGTAGTTTGCTCTCATCCAATGTCAACAACTCCATGGGAAAAATTTTATTACCCTAATTCTTAGTGCTAGGAATCAAACCCAGGCCCTGATACATGCTAGACAAGTGCTCTACCTCTGAGATACATGGTGGAATTCCAGGCAGAGAGGGAGACCTGTTAGAAGGGTGATGCAGTGGGTAGGTAGAGAACCCTAGGCAGGGAAGTGGGTTATGAAACTGCGGGGCCTCCCAGTGGAGGTGCCAAGTTGGAAGCTGGGTCTGAATTAGACTCCAGAGGGCCAGGGAGCTGGAGACATAGATGAGGTCTTTTGAGACAAGATCTCACTTTGTAGCCCAGGCTGGCCTCAAAGTTAAGATTATTTGGAGCTTGCAGAGTGGTTCAAGTGGTAGAGTGCCTGCCTGGCAAGCGTGAGGCCCTGAGTTCAAACCCCAGTACTATACCCACAAAAAAAAAGATGTATTTTTGTGTTGCTGTTTTTGTGGTATGGGATTTGAACTCAGGGTCTATACCTTGAGCCACTCTACCAGCCCTTTTTTGTAAAGGGTTTTTTTGAGATGGGGTCTCAAAACTGTTTGCTCAGTCTGGCTTCAGACCGCCATCCTCCAGATCTATGCCTCCTGAGTAGCTAGGATTACCAGTGTGAACCACCAGCGCCTGGATACAAAAAAGATTTACCTCAGCCTCTTGAGTGCTAGGATTACAGAAGTACCCAATCATGCCCAGCTAATGTTAGTGAATTTTAAAACTTGGTATTAAAAAAAAAGAGTGATAGCCGGGCACAAAAGATAGTTCACAGCCATCCCAGGCAAATAGCTCTGTGAAACCCTACTTCACAAAAATAGGGCTGGTGGAGTGGCTCAGGGTGAAGGCCCTGAGTTCAAGCCCAAGTACTGCAAAAAAAAAAAAAAAAATGAGTTTGGGGGCATGACTCAGGTGATGGAGTTCCTAGTACCACCAGGCAGCTGTGATAGTTGTGGGCCAGTGATAGATTGCTTTCCTAGCAAGGCCCTGGGTTCCATCCCTTGGATGGCAAAGAAAAAGAAAAATAGGATGATATGTGATCTCTGGGCACACCAGTCTAGAAGGGGCAGGAGAGGACAGAGCAGTGGAGAGCAAGGTCAGAAAACATGCAGGGGGCTAGGGACTGCAGGCTGCTAGGGTATCCTCGAGGAGGCTGAGCCAGTTTAGAGAGCAGATCTGCAGCCCCTAGCTTTCTCATGTCCTCCTCACTTGAAACAACCACTTATTTATTTAGAGACAGATTCTTACTATGTAGCCCAGGCTAGCCTTGAACTCTGAAATCCGCCTCAGCCTCCGGAGTGCTAGGATTAACGGCATGTACCACCATGCTCAGGCTGACAACCACTTTCAATTCCACTGATTCTTTGATCTGCCTTTTGTTTGTTTGTTTGTGGGACTGGGATTTGAACTCAGGGTTGAAGCTTGCAAAGCAGGTGCTCTACTGCTTGAGCCAAACCTCCAGTCCATTTTGCTCTAGTTGTTTTGGAGATCGGGTCTTGCAAACTATTTGCCGGGGCTGGCCTCGAACCACCATCCTCCCAAACTCAGCTTCCCAAGTAGCTAGGATTACAGGTGTGAGCCACTGTGCTTGGCTGCATTAGTTCTAAATAACACATGGAAGTTGTTAGTTCTTGATTTCCCTTTTCCTTCCTTCCCCACTCCTTCCTGTCCACCATCCTCCCTAGATCTTTTTTCCCCAGTAATTTTAGTTACATCAGTGTTGAGTGTTTACATTTCGATGTCTGTGTTCAGAAAAACTCTGTTTTTCTTGGAATTACTCATTGCCTTCTTTTCTCATTTGTGTAATGACAATGGAAACCAGGGCTTTGCCATGCTAGGTGGGTACTCTACCACTTGAGTCATGACCCCAATCTCCCAGCTCTTGGATTGGTGAGGCAGGGTCTCACTCTGTAGCCCAGAGGGCTCAAACTTATGGTCCTCCTGCCTTAGCTTCCTGGGTGCTGGAATTACCAGTGTGGGCTGCCGTGACTGCCTTCATTTGCTGAGTTTTCCATACACTAATCAGTCATTATATCCTGAACTCTCCACCCAGTCACTTAAATTGCATCTGGGTGTTCACTCTTACCTACTTGACTGGGTCTCTTCTGAGCCTTCTTCCTGGCCTGAGGTCCCCTCGCCCAAATCACCCATGACTTGACTGTCCAGTTTGATCTTGATTACTGTGGTCCATGTCTTCCTTCCCCCCCGGGCCACACACACATCCCTCTGGAACATGACTGCCCTGTCCCACAAGCACACAGCAGTGCATTTCCCTTCCTTCATGTTTGCACACCCAGTCACCCTCACTCCACAGTACTGGTGTGCGTCCACCTACTCCACTGAGCGGTACACACACATTCCTCTGGGGGCGGGAACGAGGTGCAGAAGTGAGGTAGACATGGGAGGGGCCATAGCGATAGGGAAGGAACAGGGTCTCCTGAGTGTTGTATGAGACCGAAGACACCTGGGCTGAGTTAGAAAGAAGGTTCCTCCACTCACCTGTGGGGTGGCCTGGTCAGAATCAGTTTATTGGCCAGGTGAGCTCAGCACCTGCCAGCTCCCCACCTCTGCCCCTGATTCCACCAGCGTGCTCCAGTTCCGTTGGGGACAGAGAGGGAGACGGGTGAAGGAGGGATTTGGGATGGGGAGGGCTGTCAGGAGGCTTCAGGTGAGCAGCACACTTCCCAAGGGAGCTAGCAACCCTGAGCTCAGCTGGCGTGAAGGAGAAGCACATGCTTCTTTGCCTACTCAGAGTGGCTTTGTGCCCACAGCAGCACCCAGGCAGCCAGGGCTCAGAGAGTGAGGCCCCTGGGTCTTGGGGGCTGAGATGAGCTGGCCTCAAGGTCAGAGGCCTTAGGCCTTCAGCAGGTGTAGCTGCCCCCACTAGTCCCAGTAACCCATCCAGGTGTGCGAAGAGCCCAGCTCTTGAAGCCCAGCCTTTTGCCTGTTCTCTCCGTCCCTCCCTGCTGCCCCAGGTCTTCAGTGGATGGCAGGCTGAGCCCCCCCCCCCCGCCCCATCTCGGGCCCCAGCGCCTGGCAGGTGAGTAATTCTGTTTACCTTTCCTGAGAGGCCCCCTGTCTTTCCATTTGCTCCAATTAGCCTGGCTCTGCCTGAGCAGCTCCAGTCCACGTGGCCCTTCGTGGCTGTGGGCACCCCTCCCCCACAGCCCCGCAGAAGCTCCTTGGAGCAAAGACACCTGGCAGGCTCCTTCCCTACCCTGAGCGCACACCCCAACAGGCATCAAGGCACCCACTGCAGAGGGGTTGATCCAGTCCCTTGTGTACTCCCTCTTTGGACTTGCCTCTGTCCAGCAACATGGTTCTGAGAGGCACAGCAGAGTCCAGGGAGGTACAGCCCACATCAGACACACTGTGCCTCACAGACTCAGGGTGCATCCCAGAGAACCAGGCACCCAGGATGCGTCCTGTCTCTTCCTGTGTCAAGCACTTGAGGGGGCATCTCTTCTGGGCCTGTGTTGACCTCCCAGCCTGGCAAGCAAGGTGCCCGTCTACCTACAGGACATAGCAAGGGCTGGAGTAGGCACGGCCTCAGAGCTAAGTACAGAGGCAGAGCAAACTCTGCACTGCATCTTCATCTGCACCCACAGCAATTTTGGGGTCCATTTCCCCCTACTTCAATCTGCTGTGTGGCCTATGAATTTCCAAGTAAAGCTGATGTGAAGCAGAGGCCAGGCCAGCAGAAAGCAAGCTCAGAGTCCAGTGCCAGTGCTATGCTGCCCTTCAAGAGGGGTGCTTCTGGACCACACCCTCTGGGTAAATGTGCTGCTCACACGGGGTAGCAGGAGGGTTGCTATGCAGTAGCCTCCCTCTGCCACCAGTCCCCCTCCATGTCCCTCTGCTGACAGATAGGGACATTTGGGGGACTGGGGTCCCCTGGGGACCACTGCCCTGAGCCAGGATGGGAGGGTGGTCAGAACTTGCTCAGGAAGGGACAGTACTGTTGGCACTCTTGGGGCACTTCAGCAATCTGCGGAACAGGGTTAGTTGGAGGGCCCCTTGAGGGAGTGAACAGCCTGTGGCCCATTCATGCAGCTCCTGCTCCTTGAGCCCTGCCCAGCCTGCCCCCACTGCTGTACGCAAGGTAGTTACAGCCCAGCTCTCCAGGATGTGTAAGGTGGCCACTGCTTAAGCTCTTTATTGGAGGACACACGTGTGTACATGGGATGCACTAACACATGGGGACAAAGGCCCACATCCCTGGCACAGCTCTCTTAGCACACCTGACCCCCAACCTCCATCCAGCCTGTCCTGGGGAACAGGGCAGGTGTGGAGAAGGGGAGATGTAGATTGTGGGAGCTGCTGTCCAGATGCCCTGCCCCTCCAGCCATGGCCTGGCATTCAGTTCTAGGCTGTCGAGTGGCGTCCTTTCTGAATCCAGCCCCAGCTGGGTTCCAGTGGAGATTCAGGACGGGCTCTCAGCCAACCCTGGGAAGCCACTGGCCAAGGGAGTCTGCACAGAGGAGTCCTGGCCAGCCCGTTGCTGCTACCACTTCTCATGAGCTGAAGCTTCTGGCAGTGGACACCACGACTAGGCCCTGCCGGGGCCATGTGGTTGTTAGTGAGTTGCTCCTCCCACAGTGCTCTGCCTTCTCGCCAATGTCGCCAGCGCCGCAGCAGCTCTGCCTGTACCTAGGGGTACCAGGCGTCAGGCCAATCCCATGGCCTGCCAAGGCAAGCTCCCAACCAGGCACAGTGATGCCACTCATCACTATGGGCAGAGGGACCTGCAGATGCCAGGGACCACCAACCCATGCACTCCCTGAGGGCCTGGGGACCTGACATAGCAACCACACCCAATAAATGGTGAGGAAGGGAATGGCACACTGTACTAGGTCCAGCGTCTGCACATCCCTCTGTGCTGCCCTAGCCCAACCCCACCTACCTCCTTGTTGAGGAAACAGTAGAGAACAGCCACCAGCAGGCCCTGGAGAGAGAGGGTGGTCAGGGGCAGCACCCTCAGCCTGGGGAGGGGAGTGGGAGCAGGCAGGGGGTCACCTGGAAGGAGCTGAGGAATAGGTCGAAGAAGAGCTTGGTGGAGCGCAGGGTTCCCTGGGCCTGTTCGTCAGTCACGAAGGCAAAGACCACCTCGTGGACCCCCAGCAAGGGGATGAGGGTGAGCGTAGACTTGGCCAGCCTGCAGGGGTGGAGCTTGAACATCCTTGCCTGCCTGCCCACGGATCCAGCTCCACCCACATAGGTCTCTGGCCTTGGGTGGGGGGTTCGTATCCATACACTCTGGCCCCAAGGCCTTCACTCACCGGAACTTGTAGTCAGCATAGTGCATCTGGCGGGCTCGCAGCTTGACCACAAGAAGGAGAATGATTCGGACAAAGATACAGAAGTTGATCTGTGTGAGGATGGCTCAGGTCAGGAGCAGCCCAGGGACCGCTCTGCACCCTGGATGGCCCCCACCTGTCCCCCCGCTGCAGGTGGGCCTGCAGCCAAGAGAGCTTTGGCCAGGCACCTGGCTCTGAGACTGGCAGCTAAGAATAGGTAGCTTGGCTTGCAGCCCTGGGTGCACAGTGTCCTAGGTGAGTGCTGGGGCTCCCACCCTTCCTCCTTCCTAAGGCCTAGGAAGGAGGGATAGGGCAGCTCCCTCCCTGCTGGGGCCAGCAGGTGCCTCATTCCTCACCAGGATGGCCAGGAAGACAGGGATGCGCAAAATCCACCAGAAGCCCATGTTGTCATTGCTGGTCCAGCACCTATGGAGGCGGACTGCTCACATCCTGGGGGTGACACAGCCCCCAGCCCCCACCTCTACTCTGGTGAGATCTATAGAGTGCCTCAGGAAAGGAAGGGAGAGGTCTCAAACGACCCCAATCTCCAGGTGCCTCTGGCTAGTGTGCCTCCACCCCAGTGCTCCCTACTTCCCCCAGGGCTACTCCACTGGCCCAACACCAATTGCCCCAGCTGCCCTGTCTCATCCCCATTGGCTCATACTCACTGAACGTTCTCAAACAGACACTTGACCGTGGCCCAGGGGATGACAAACAGCAGGGGTGCACCTGTAGATGGGCAGCAGCTGTAGCCTCGTGGCCCTGGTCAGCCTGGTCCCCCACCCCCAACCAGTCCACTCACCCCAGCCAATGCCCAGATATAGGGCAAAGAAGCTCCTCTCTGGGAAGGTGGCAAGGCTCAGCAGGTTGTGCAGGTACACGCCCTCCACCAGCAGCCAGCAGTAGTTGGCCACGATGCCATACTGCATGACCACAGCAGCCACACGGCATCCGGTCACCGCCTGGGCAGGGTGCAGCATGAGTGGGGGTCACACTGCCCCTGCCCACCCTAGGCGGGGTGGGTGTAGGGTGATCAACCTGGGCTCACCCCATCACTGAGCCACACGCTGACCCTGAGGTCATCACCAATCTTCTGGCTATAGCGAGTCTTGAGCAGCTGGTCAATGACCAGCACGGAGCCAGCCTTGAGCACGAAGGATGCAAACAGGTTCCCGTGGATGTAGTTGCGGGTGCAGTGCAGCTTGCTGTGGGGACAGCAAGTTAGCATCCCTGCCACCCTGTCCCTCCACTGCCCATGCTGCTTGTTTGTGATGGCGTACCTGAGGCCCAGCAGGATGGCCAACGCAAGGAGCAGGGCCCCCAGTGACAGGCTGTAGCCCGTCGTGTACATCACCTGGAAGCTGCTGTACATCTTGGCCACTTCCTTCTGCAAATCACAGTGGGCAGTCAAGGCTGGGCAGGGGATACCTCCCCTGTCCCCTACCCATCCTGCCATGCCCTTCTGCTGCCTTCCAATGCTGACCTGGACTTCGATCTCCTCGTTGTCCATCTGACACTGGGAGGCATTGCGCCATGGCTGCCCCCGGGGCCCGCGCTCCCACTGCCCGTCGGGTCCACACCTCTTGAACACCAGGCGGTGCTGCACTGGGGCGTGGGGGCAAGCTCTGTTCAGCCCACCTCCAGGCCCAGCCCCCTCAACCTCCCCCGGCCATCCAGTGTTACCTTTGTGATACCAAGGCAGGTACCAGGGGCAGGAGATGTTGGCTGTGGTGTTGGGAGGGGTGTCAGGCCAGCAAGAATACTTGTCAAAGGTTCTGTTACAGACCAGCTCTGCAGAGGTGGGGGACGAGGCAGGACTAGGTTCCTGGTCAGGAACCATCTTGCCTCCTCCAGGAAGCCTGCTGAGCAGTCATTGGCTCTCCCAAGTCTGCAGCTGGAGCTGCTGCCTCCTCCACCTGGGCCAGGGGCCAGGTGCCCTGCTCATCTGCCTCTCCTGCCCAACCATGCCCACGTTCCCTCCATCCCAGCCTGGTGCTGTGCTTGCTCAGGGCACCTTCCCTTGGAGGCCTCCTATCTCAAATGTTACCCCAAACCCATGCTGGAGTTTCCCCTCTCTCCACCTGTTTGCAGAACCTTCCTCTCTGGAGGCTGAACCCCAATTCTGTTGGCATCCTTCCCAGGTCCAGTGCGAACCTGTAACTCCCACACCCTGTTCTCCCTCTGTCCTACACAGACTGCCTCCTTTGTCTAGACAATGGCACCATGATAGGTGGGCTTTCTGCCCCAATTTCTCCTTGTACTCCCAGCTCAGGTCCCTGTCTGAGCTGTCTGCATCATGGCCTGTCTCTTCCTTGTCTTCTGGCCTGGGTGCTCTGCCAGCCCTCTCCCCTGTGCACTGTCTGCCCACTGTGAGCTCAGCAGGAACAGAGATACTATTCCTGGACCGGGCATGGGTGCACCCAGCACAGAAAGAGTTCCGGGGAAGAGAAGCATGTCAGCTCTGAGGCTGTTCTGCCATTTCTGGTTATGTGGCCTTGGTCAAATCACTGACCTCTATGGTTCAGTCAACTCACCTATAAATGGGGGCAGATAGGGACTGCTGGAATAGCTTAAATGATAGAGCACCTGCCCACCAAGCATGAGGCCCTGAGTTCTAAATCCCAGTACTCTCCCCTAAATAAAATATATGGGGGCAGGGGGCTGGGAGTAGAAAGCTCCCCCGCCAGCAGCATTACTGCAGGGCCAGGGCCACAATAGGAAGCCTTCCTACAAGGAGAGTTCTGAGCCACACGGCCAGACAGGACACTGGAAACCTATGGGTAGGGCTCACCCGTGGGTGGGGGCAGCAGGCTGAGGTTGTGGTGACATTGGTCACCATAGAGCTTCCACTTCTCAAACAAGAAATCCATCACCTGGGCAGAAGGGGTCTGTAACTGGGGAGCAGGTAGACACACAGTCAGAAAGACAGACATGAGAAAGCCAGGGGCAGTCAGCCCAGAAAGGCAGACTGGTGGCCCTCCATGCTGGGTGGGGGCCCTGCACCACTCACCTGGCAAGCCAGCAGCAGTAGCAGCAGTAGCAGGCAGCGTGGCCCGGCAGGGGGCATGCCTCCTCCAGGCAGCCACCCCCCTACATCTGGCAGGGGCCACACGTCTGGGAGCTTGGGGTGTGCACGCCCTTCCTGGAGCTGCAGAGGACCAGAACATCAGAGTCTGGAGAAAGTTCCAACCAGGGAGTGTTCTGCTCCCCTATGGTCAACCCTGCAAGACTGAGTTCTGTTGGTAGATAGGGGCTGGCAAGGAGGGGACGTGGGGTGCCCCCAGTACCAATGCAGATTGTGGGCCTGGCTGTCTGGTCACTCTGACAGTCCCAGACCTGCCCTCCCACTCCGTGGCAGCCAGCTTCCTATCAGAGAAGCACCCAGTGGCCATCTCCTCCCTCAGTCAGCTGGTCCCAGGGGGTCCCCTCACATCCTTCCCACCTAATCTTAATCCCTGGGAAAGTGGGTTGGCCAGGCGACCTGGCATAGGGTACAGAATTCAAGGGTGGAGTGCCCAGGCCCATCTGTCACATGGCCCCCACTGCTTGCCTGGGTCCCAGCCATGCCAGGGCCAGGTGGGGGAAGGCACATGTCAAGTGGTCTCTGCCACATGCGTGTCCTCTTTCCCAGGACCAGAAAGTCCATGTGACCCCATCAACCTCATACAAGGCTCAGGCTGGGCTTCTGGGTCCCCTGGGCACCACAGGCAGCACATTACTTGGAGATTAGCACTGCCAACTGCCAGGAGCCAGTCGAGGGCACCCCTGCCTAGTGGAGCACAGGGCAGCGGCCACCCCACAAATCAGCTTTATGCTGCTCTGACTGAACCCCATGCATGAAGGTGGGAGGGGCTTCCCAGGGCCTGTCTGCAGGGCCTGTCTGCAGGGCCTGTCTGCAGGGCCTGCATGAGAGTCTCACAGCAAGACTATCACAGCGGCAGGGCTGTGGTGGAGCCTTTCCTGTGCGCCCTCCAACAGAATGAAAACAGCTGGCACGGACGGAAGGCAGCACTAGGCAGAACCAGGGAAAAAAAGAGTTGCAGGCTACAGCTGTGGCTAAAGTCTGGGTTTCCAGGCAAACCTGGACAGCTGCCTGGGGAGCGCCAAGCCTGGATTTTAGACTCCTGCAGTCAGTTGAGCCCTAGTGGGGCCAGCTCAACAGGGCTTCTTTGTACTCCTGCCGCCAGCAAGGTGAATGCCCAAGTGCTAGGCAGCTCCTGGCTCACAGCCTGCTATGGGGGTCCTGACCCCAGTCCTTGGTCCCTGGGTCATGCAGGGTCTGGCAAAAGACAGGACCCACAAGTTGCAGGTCCCCAGCCTCTGAGCGAGATGTGAAGCCATCTTGGGGCGAGGGTGAGGGAGCCTCAGAATGGAGAGCTCTTGCTGGGGAGAAGGAGGCAGACAGGTGGAGGGAAGAAGGACAGTTCAGGCATCCCCAGCTCTGGGGTTACCAAGGGGCCTTATCTTCTTCTCCTGACTCTGACCCCACAGCATCCTCAACCACCACTGCCTCAGCTGCCCAGGCCACTAAGGTAGGGATTGACCCTACCCCAGAGCTGGGCTCTCTCAAAGACCCTAGAGGAGGAGGGGTGGTGGGTGGGTAGGCTTGGTGGGCAGGGGCAAGTGTGACAAGGGCTGGTCAGGGTGGATGGACAGTGGAGATGCGTGCAGGAGATATGGGGAGAAAGGAGGCTGGACCCAGGTGGCTGGCTCCCCCATTGGGGAAAAAGGGGCTCCCTGAGGTCCTCTCAGGACCCAACTCTGCCTCAGTATGCCTGTTGGGGAAATGGGAGTTTTTTGGTTCTGATTTTTTTTTTTTTTTTGCGGTACTGGGATTTGAACTTAGGGCCTTGAGCTTGCCGGGCAGGTGCTCTACCACTTGAGCCACACCTCCACCTTAGGAGTATTGTGATACTCATCTTGCTGATCCCCCAGTGCTATTAGCACAATGGAGCTGATTGTGGGGAAAGAAAGGGACAGGCCCACACCAGGGCTGTTCATGCTGAGTGGGGAATCAGCCGTATAGCTGGGGGTCCATTAGTTAGTTTAGGGCCCAGAGGTAGGGGTGAGGGGAGTTGGGCTGCTCTGGGGCCCATGGTATTCCCCAGATCTTTCTTTATGGCAACTTATCCTGGGGCTCTCTCCATACCTTCCACTCCCACCCCACAGAACTTTGGGAAGGGACAGAGGCGAGGGAGTCCTCTGTCCCTGTGGGAGGGACAGGTGTAGGGAGTGTAGGTGAGAATATGTCCTTATACTGGGGGGTGGTAGGGAGGATGCAGACCTATTCCAGCCATGCAAGGCTGAGGGTCTAGGGTCCCTGCAGGAAGTACCCAGACATAAGGCTGGCCACAGAGAAGACAGTAGACACAAGGAGCCTGCGATCAAGGGCAAGTAATTCAGCTTCTCCACTGGGAATCCCTATTTCCCTATGGTTGAGGATGAGCACACAGGTAAAGGGCTTCGTCACCTGCAGGGAGGGACTGACTGAGCAGGCCCCCACTGTGGGGTAAACACTAAGACCCAGAGACAGCCATCAGTGCCCGTGACAAATATTTGTTGAATGAGTGAGTGGCCTGGAGCCCTGTGATGACATGGTAGCCAGATGTGGAAGTGCCCCTCAGAGGCTCAGGTGGTGGCCAGAGCCTATCTTGGCCATTTTTCCACTTTATTACCCTCTCCAGCAAGGAGCAGGTGGGGTGGAAGGGACCCTGCCCTTCTCCCTTCTTGGACCAGGCACCTGAGCTCCCTCAGGTGGGGTACAAGTCAGTGGAGGATTGGAGATGCAGGTGGGGCTCCCCAAGTGGCATGCCCTTCCCCTCCACCCCTCCCTCACAGCACACACATCCGGACACTCCAACCACCTAGGCTGACCCTGCTGCTTGCTGTCTTGGCATTGCCGCATGCCAGTCCCAGCACACATGACTTTCGGGTGTTCATGTTGTGGCCAGTGTCCCCTGGCGATAGCTGAGGGACACCAGGTAAGGTAGATGGCCCAATGACCAAAGAAGGCAATTTTAAATAAAACTGCCCTTAGCGCCCCAGGATCTGAAAGGCAATTCCCAGATGTTCTGGGAAGCCCCTGAGGATTAATGGGGGCGTGGGGGGGTTGAGCCAGAGAGATGTTTTTGTGAAACCAGGGAAAATAGCAGAGGTCATGGCCCAGGGGCAAGATCAGGGGCCACAGGCTATTGACAAAGCCTGATTCCTCCCGCAAGGGGGCAGACAGATCTGGGATGCTGGCCAGGGCGCGCTCCCACCCCCCCACTACCCCTCAGGTTCCCCAATACAGGATATCAAAACAGCCTGGCCGGGATGACGGGTGAGGGGAGGGGAACAGTCCTCAGAGGATGCGGGCACCCAGAGGTGAGAGACCAGTGGGGTTCGGTGGGATTGGGACATAAACCCCTCCGCAGCAGAGGAAACGAGGGGAGGGGGTGCTGAAAAGGTCAGAGCAGGGCAGGGCAGGGCAGGTCAGGGCTCCGCGCTGACCCAGGTCAAAGTCACAAGTGTGGGCTGCGGCAGAAGAGCCGGCCAGGCAGGGTGCCAATGCCCCTCACCTCATCCCAGGGAAACCCATGTACTAGTGGGGAGTCCTGGGGAGCAGGGGCACGTGGGAGAGCAGCAGGCGCTGCGGAGGGGAGGACGCGCCTGGCCGGTGCAGCCCCAGGGCCGCGTGCGTGGCTGTGGGAGAAGGGCGGGGGGCTGGAGGGAGGAGCGAGTCCCCGCGCCGTGGGGCGGCAGGACAGAGACCAGAGGAGCGAAGGACAGACTGAGCCCCCTGAATGTGGGTGACTGTTGGATCCCGGAGGGCGCATCCCCGGGGCTGGGAACGGAGGTGTCCGATGGGGGAGGATCCCCAGGACCCCCGGGGATCGCCAGCCCAGGCCAGAGGGTCCGCTGGCCAGCTCCCCGCTGTCCCTAGTCTGCGCGCCTCGGCCGCGCCCGGCCGCTCCCGCACTCCAGCCAGGTCGGCTCCGGACCGTCCCCTCGGGGTCAGGCCCAGTGCTCTCACCTCTCGGGCTCGGGCTCGGCTCCCCGCCGTCCTCGGCGCGCTCTGGTCGGGGCGCCGGTGGCCGCTCGTGGCCGCTGTGCTGTCGGATCAGGGTCGGCGCCGGCTCCGCGCCCGCGCCCCGCGCCAGCCGCGCGCAAACTTTCCGGCGGCGACGCTGGGCGGTGGCGGAGGGGGCGGGGGCGGGAGCGGCCCGCGGGGCGGGGGCGGAGGGGACAGTCGAGGTGCCTCGGTGCCGCCGACGCGCCCCGGAGCAAAGCCCCTTCCCCTTCGAGCGCGCCCCGCAGGACCCTTCCCGCGGACCCCTGCGCACTCGCCCCGACCCCGGACTCCGGCCCCGCGGGTCCTTCCCCGAGGATCCTCCGCAGACCCCTCGCTGCCGATGTGGTCTTCGGACTCCAATTCTGCAGACCCTCCGCCCCAGGGACCCTCGCCCAGTGGATCTTGGCCTGGCAGGTGGCGGTCACCGCGGCTCTTAGCTCCCCGCGGGAACGCGAGTAGGAGTGTGGGGGAGGGTGCCCCAGGGTGGGAGCTGTGACTCAGCGTCCCTTCCTTTCTTGCTCTTCCTGACCGCTGAGACCCCCGATGCCTTCCTGATTTTCTGGAAGGACCGACAGACTCCCTTACCTACCCCCAACCTGGCTCCTGGGTGACACTGTTCCTGCCAGCTCGCCTGCATTACAGGTGGGGGTAGGAGTAGGGAGGAAGGTATGTGGGCTGCTCAGGGTGTCCCAGGCCAGGCCATCTCCTAAATGTCCCTTTAACCCTTTATGTGCCACACAACCTGTGGTTCAGGACCTGTCCTGTCTGCTGAGCCCCCTTCGACACTACCCATTCAACCCTCCTGCCACACACACACTGACCTGACTCCTGCCCCTGCCATTTGCCATGGCCAAGGGGAAGGGAGTCCCCCTTCTCAGATGCCTGCTTTCTTGAGGACTGCCCAGTCCTGAGTGGCAATCCTGAACTCCTTCTGCCCCCAGACTCATCCTAGAGAGGACATTCCTCCCCCACTGTCCCCTAAAAACAACATCCCACCGCTGTGGGCCTTGTGC